CAGGTTTGTTTTGACACGTTTGCGTATCTAAATTCCAACACGAAATTACACGAAAAGTAAATGTCTGAAAAGGGGGGATAAATTTTCTATCGCTATAGACTCAGGGTGAGTGTGCTTCTAAAGCATAAATAAACTACAAAGAAAGCCTAAATGTGAAAATCCAAATTTGACAAAGTTCTTCTACATGTTTTTGTACATGTTCCAAGTGTGGCCTTTATTTACGGAGGTAGTCCAGTAAATTGGCCACATTTATGGGGCTAGAATTAGAAAGCATAGAGAAGGAACACACGGTAATCCTTACTTTTAGGACCCCGTTCCTATATAGGAAGGGAAAGACTCACCAAAACAGTTGACTAAATGACACTCAAAATTGACATTCTGATACTTCTTGGCACATCTGAACAATTGGCAATGACACCTTCTTGAATATCAGCAGGTTTATGGTTTAATTTTGTGGAAAGAGGGCAGGGCTTTGATTTATGAGGGAAATTCAGGGGTAAAAGACGACAATGACAACCAGAAAACAGACTCAAAAACCAAGATGGCAAACGTGAAAGCTCGATGCGATGAAAGCTCGATGCTGATTGGCTGATAAAAAATAAACATCTTGGGCCCTATATTTAGTCTGGTTCCCAGACCAAAAGATTCAGGAATAGTCAGAATCTTTTGGTCTGAGAACCAGACTAACTTATTTATTTTTAGTCTGGTAACCAGACCAAAAGATTCAGGAGTAGTCAGAATCTTTTGGTCTGGGAACCAAACTAGGCTAATTAATTTTTTTAGCAGCCAATCAGCATCGGGCTTTCATTATGTAGGGCTTTCACGCATGTGAGAACTACAACATGCACGTCTGACTGCGAAAAAAGGTAGGAAAGTCACATTTTCTTCGAAAGTGCTTTCAAAATTACAACTAACATGAGTTTATATGAAGAAAAAAAGACTGCTTTAGCCTGCAAAAGTCACTTTGGTACTGGACAGTCATCTGCAAAAGTCGGTTTTGAACAGAACTTGTAAAAAATAGAGGTGTCCTAAAAGTAAGGATTGCCGAACACGCTCTAGTCTATGGACTATGACTATGTTGAAAGTAAACCCATGTTCAACAAGAGCCAGAAAAAAATCACCAAAAGTGCCTACAAAGTCAAGGCTGCATCATTATGGAAACGATGTTGTCAGGAGCAGGGTGTGCTCTTTCCATTACAGCGCCCTCTTTAGCCATGCCCATGTTACAATTTGTTAGCCTATTGTATTGATTAATTGAATCGCAAGCAACTCGCAAGTGCATGCCAATCCGTTTTCCTTGCTCCATGGTACAAACAACAAACATGCTTCATAAGTTGATCAAACATTACTGATTTGGTTTCTCAACATAACGACTTATACCTCCTTTCCCCCGGCTCCCTTCCTGTCAGTTTACGAATGTTCTCATCGACGCTTTGTAGATTTTCTTTGGCTTTGTCAAGCCTCTCCTGCAGTATCGTAGCCACGTCCGCCATGATTTTCTCTAGGGCGTTTGTATAGTCGGTGTACCCGGTCATCAGTACGGCGAAGCTTTCAAGTACGTAGCTTTGTACTGTCGCCGGTGACGTTTGGGAATCGGACTTAGGCACAAGTATGGAGCGCAGAATGCATTTTTAATATTACAATAAACAGCAAATTCATTTTTTAATAATAATAGGGCTCGCTCAATGACGGCTAGTCTATGTAATAGACCATGGCGAAAGCCATGGTCTATTATGCGTTAACAGATTCGCTGATTAATTAGGCAAGACCCTGCCTCTTGACCCCTCCTAGATTTTGACCAATTAGCGGGCACTTTCTACATCGGTTCTTCGGTCATTCACCCGTTGCGCGTCATATAATGGATTAAAAAAATGTGTCGCGCTCTATATCATGTTAAGCGATATCGCGCCCGGCTGTTGTTATATTACAAAACACTGCATTCCAATTGATCAATCAAACCATTTAACATTAAGATTAAGGAATGAAATGATTAAGGAAAGATTAAGGAATGAAATGACGTCACAATTTAGTAAAAAGTTGACTCCGATTGGCTGGCGCGCATCTGCATGTCTAGCAGTGGCGTAGCCACCGGGGGGCGTGGGGGTGGGCGACCTCCCCCATAAAAGCTTGTCGCCCCCCCCCCCCCCCAGTCGCCCCCCCCCCCCCCCCCCCCCCCCCCCCCCTGAGATTTAGAGTTTCTAAAAAAATTATCATTGATCTACATGACGCCATGGGCCCTATTATGTACTACAATGTATCTTTTGCTTAGAAAATATTGGTTAAAGTGGTCAGAAATTGCCTCAGATAGCACCACAGAGCATTTAGAATCCAAAATTTGTCGGGGCCCTTAAGCGGGCCCCGAACCCCACGCCTATAGCTCAGAATTCTGGTAGCTGATTCAATGACTCCAACCTCGAAAACAATGTTCAGAAAATTTTCTTATGCCTTTAGCTGAGAAAACCTCGAAAATTATGTTTAAATTATTATCTTTTGTGCTAAGATAATTATTGGTTAAAGTGGTAAGAAATTGCCTCAGATCACACCACAGAGCATCGAAAATCCATTTTTTTTTCGGGGCCCTTAAGCGGGCCCCGAACCCCACGCCAATAGCTCAGAATACCGATAGCTGATTCAATGTCTCCAACCTCGAAAACGATGTTCAAATAATTATCTTTTGCCAAGAAAATATTAGTTAAAGCATGGAGGAAAGTCGTAAGAAATTGCTTCAAATCACACCACAGAACATCTAGAATCCATTTTTTTTCGGGGCCCTTAAGCGGCCCCCGAACCCCACGCCGTAAGGGCTTCGCGCTTCGCGCTTGCATCAGTTATGATCAAGGTATGTCCCCCCGAAATGCTCGAAATGTCAAGGCCCCCCCCCCCCGGAAAACGAAAAAAAAAAGGAAAAAGAGGTGCGAAGCCATATTGCTGTTAATAGATGAGGGGGGGGGGGGGGGGGAAGGGAGGGCAAATGCTCCCCTGCTCACGCTCGGAAAAATGATAAATTGAGAATATAATGAAAAAGTTAGGGAATTTTGGAGAAAAATTTGCTTTGCCCCCCCCCCCGGAAAAAATCCTGGTGACGCCCATGCTCGAAAAAAGTTCGAAATTACGACGCAGCCGATGCGCGTTATACAAGTTGACGCTCAAAATGCCGATGCACGTGGATGGTCTGTAGGAAATGACGTCATTTGAACGAGACCTAAAGTGGGGTCATGCATTGAGCAGTTTTAAACCGTTCAGTGTACGTGTAAAACCGAGGGGCATTTTTGTCGATAATGGCAATTAAGATTAAGAGCCCAAGTAAAAACTGCAAAACTCGAAAAGTTGGCAAAATTCACCCCAATTTTGTCCGATCATTTTAATGTTATACTTCTATCCACGTTCTGGGGCTCTTTTCAGAGCCACCAGACCTGCTCTAATTAGGTTGGCCACACAAAGTCATGTTTAAAAACGAGATTGAACTTCTTGCAGTTTTGGACAAATTTATATAAAACAAAATCCAAGCTAGAAGAAGACAGCTTTTCCACATAAAAAAAATTCCAATGAAAAAATAAAATCAGTACAGCAGCCTCCAAAGTCCCAGTTTCTTAAGAAAAGAACTTACTCGTTTTGGGAAAAAATATAAGTTAAACAGTTCCCAAAATCCATATGTTTAAAAAAATGCTTCGTTGGGAAGAAAAAAAATAATTAAACTGTTTCCCAGACCCAGTGTCTTAAAAGAAAATACATCGTTGGAAGACAAAACAACCACACACAATCTCGCACGGAAGTCTGTGGAGATCACTTGTCGATGTTATCGTCAGAATCCGATCCCTAAAAAAGAAAAAAGGAGAATGGTTACAATTCACGAGAAAACACAAATCGTTTAAAAGGCAATAATTGACAATTGAATTAAGGTACGAATTCTCCAAGGTATGAGTTTTTAAAAATGTATTTATTCCTTTATATATCAGGGTTAACCCAAACAGCAAAAAAATGGCTTTCACCTGGCCCTGCATTCAAATAAACTCATTGACAAATATGAATTAAAAAAACAAAACATTGAGGACTTTCAAAACAAATAATGAAATGATATGCACTTAACTCAATAGCAAACTGATTAACTTGAATAAAAGAAAAGATAAAAGCAAGCCAGCTACAAAAACAAATCAACAATATCTGTAAAATAACGTTACTAATTTTTTTATAATAGAGCTAAAAAGGACATAAAAACGCTGATAAAAAGTACATGTACAAATACAGACAGGGAGAATTCAACAATAGACATGATCGAGTGCGGAAAAATGTTGAATGTTTTAAGAAAGTATAAAAACAAAAGAATACATCAAAAAACAAACTCAATATACTTAAAACGAACACAAAAACTGATACATATGAAAATGCTAAAAAAAAAATAGAAATGATAAAAAAAATTATTATAAGTAATTAAGCAGTTCAATTTTAACAACAAGAAGGGAACGTTAACACTAAGTTGGGCATGAAGACCCAATGTTTGCTCTAGTGACTGCAAAACTTTGAGAAAGCATTAGAGGTGGGAATCTTCAAGGTGCCATTTGTATTTTGTCTACCGGGAACATGGTATTGTGCAATACATGAAAAAATAAATCAGGCATGCATTTAGGAGACAACTAGTTTGAATATTTACAGACAAGAATTCCTTCCTTTCTTGTAGATTAATCTTTTTGAATATGGGAGCCATTTGTGAACGTTTGACGCGTCCCACCTGGCTCTCATAGGAACGCGCACATGTAAACAAAGCGTGACGTCATTATGTTTAGGTCTATTCGAAAGCTCTTTACTGGGACGTAGCATGTACTGTTTCTAAAAAAAATGACATCCTCAAAGCAACAATTTGGGGATTAATTTGCTTACATTATATATGAATATTATTTTTACATACTAAATACAGTATTTTCGGCATTCCATATTCGACATGAACTTCGGAATGATTCCCTGACGCAAGCTTTTGCTTATCACACAACCTCAATTCTGGTTGCCTGACTAATTAATTAGCGCCTACTAAACTCGTTTGTTGGCTAGCAAAGTGGCAGGTGTTGTTTTAACAATTTCTGGGCATTTTAAACGGATATAATAAACAAATGGCAGATGACGTATTATTTGAATTTCTGCATATGGAGATCGTTTCCTATGTAGAACAATCAGCAAAGAAAGATGAAAAGGTATGAATGATTTGGTATTATAAACAGTTTGCCTATCTGCAATGTAACTACGTTAGGGAGGCGGGCCACTTCACCCTTTTCGTGAGAAAATTTGGCTTTTTGGGGGTTTTTTTGAGCGAAACTAAAAGTATACTTTATGACCCCTGGCCCTGTATCATAAGCCTTATCATAAATACCGATTGAGTGAATTTGCACAATGGATACCAGTAGGGATTACTAGCCCCATAATTTTTGTGAAATTTCATGTTGAAATTTTGATACGCAAACGTGTAAAAATGAATCTGGAAATTTCACGAAAAATATACATCTGAAAAAGGCAGCACTTTCTGATTAGCCTATAAAGAGGGTGAGTATGCTTCTAAAGCAAAAAAACCCTACAAACTAAGCCTAAATGTGAAAATCAAAATTTGGCTCCGTCGACACGATTTTTGTACATGTGGATGTGTGGCCTATGTTTACGGAGGCAGTCCAGTAAATAGGCCACATTTATGGGGCTAGCATGATACCAGCCTAGGCATGATAATTGACATGATTGATTGGCCTATTTATCATCTGATCATAGACCCTAGACCCGTGAACTAGCCCCACTAGTAGTGTGGCCGTCGGTATGCTGCGCTGAACCTAAGGCCACACACCGTGGTCCGCGCACTACTGAGGACGTTTTCATAAAATTTGCACTCAAGGCGCTGGGAGATATCTATTATTAGAGACAGGTGAATGAAGTACATGAGAGATATGAGACCCATTATGTGGCACCTTATAAGGGTTTACATTTACAAGGTGCTGCGGCCAGAAACACCGGGGTGAACCCCTTCTCTTAGCGACAAGTGTTACTGGGTTCTTTAACGTGCATTATACAATTTACGTTCCATCCGAAGGACGGAGCAACAGTGGTAAAGTGCCTTGCTCAAGAGCACAAGCACCATGTTCCCACGGTCAGGATTCGAACTCATGTACCACGGCACAGGAGTCAAACACCATAACCATTGGACCACAGCACCCCACATCATTGTCAGTACATGCAATATGGCTGCCTAGAATGTCTGCATGCTGTCCAATGTTGTGTGCATCCAAAACGTGCTCTAAAAACACATTTTTCCTGGAAAAAGCTGAAATGTATACACATTGCCGGAACTTTCTGAATTTGTCTTCATTGAAATCACAAGATGAGTTGAAAATTGATGTGTTTGGTGGCAGATACATGTAAGTGGGATCCAAGTACTGAATTCAACCCATCCCTTTCTGCGTCCTTTGGGCCCAGGACTTTTGTGCAAAATCACTTCAGTGATATTTGCAATAAGGATTAATATGTCTTTAGCTCAGATTTCTTTTTATTAGGCCTACTCAAATATGACTCAGAATATTTTGCAACCTTAAGCAGTATTCCTTTCCTCAAACGTTAGTTTTCAAGATTCGCAGTGGCTATTGTTACGGCAGTCGACCATCCTGTTCCCTGACCTAATAATAGTATTCAATGTCAGGATCTTTGGCTCTTAGAGTTGAGATAGCCCTACAGTGCATGACCTTTTTATCATCCATCATTTGACCACTGTGATGTGGGATATGATGTTTTTAACACCCGACGGGTGCATAGTTTCAATTATAACGCCTCACCCACAGATCCTGAATCTTGATTGGCCGAGAGCGAGTCACATGGCATATGCTGTTTTTGCTATCTTGCTGTGCACAGCCAAAAGTACTTTACCCGTAGCAACCAAAATACTATACCTGTAGCAACCAAAGTACTACATGCAGGCCTATAGGAATAAGAACCGGTACTATGTGTGCAAATGCATATATACGGGTGTGCGCATTGCGCGCATTGTTCCCAAGCGCTGGCGCTACAGAGCTGGGTTCAAACATTTCGTGAAGGGGTAGTTTGGAAAAGTGCAAGTAAATTTTCAATAATTTTGTAATCAAATAGATGTATGATTTAATTGTATTTAGATTAAATAAATCAGTTATCACTTAAATTCAAGCAGAATCTGTGGGAGAGGTGTTATTATACAAATATGGAACGCTTCGAGTGGTGTAGTAAAACTAGCCTCCCGAGGTGATCCATGGACATGCTATTTTCCCGAGGCAAAGCAGAGGGAAAATAGATGCTCCATGGATCACCGAGGGCTAGTTTTACTTCACCACGAGATAAAGCATTCAATATTTGTTTTATAACACTTCACTGGGTGAAATTCACCCAAAGATTCTGCTCGGTTTTTAATATTTGAAATTATTTAAATCTGATTACAGTTAACATAAACTTCAATTTCAATACAAAATTGGTGGGAAACGTAGTTCTCTCTTCCAAACCACCCCTTCACGAAATGTTTGAACCCAACTTTGTGACGCGCTCTCTTAGGAACAATACGCGCTACGCCCAACGCTCAACTCGCACAGCAGCATGCATTTGCCATTTGCACACAAATACCGCACCATGGGTATAGTACTTTGGTTGCTAATGGTATAGTACTTTGGTTGCTACGGGTATAGTACTTTTGGCCGTGCACTGAAAGATAGCAAAAATAGAAAGTACAAAACTCGCTCTCAGCCAATCGCCGCCAATGTGCTTATTATTGATTGCTTGCCCGGTCCCCTCCCCGCCCCCACCCCTAAAAACTTCTCTGATAAGAATTGCTAAATTTCAATGTTCCTTTTCATTGACGCTAATTGAATTCCCCTTTTTATATATTTCTTTGTTCATTAATATCCATTATTTATTAATTTATTTGTCCATGTACTCGTGTTTTGAACATTTTGTTTCTTCATCAATGAAAATCCCGCCTGCAAGGTTCTCAAATTGCGATCGCCTTTGCGCAAGTTGTAACATGCGCACGCAAATTAAATTGGCGCAGTGTAATTTGCGTGCTTCGGAAGTCCCTCGCGCAAGTTTAAATTTGCGCGCGCAAGTTTAAATTTGTGCGGGAGACTCAAATTGCGCTCGACAAAGTCAATATTTGTATAGTACATGTATTCCCATTTGGGTGAATTAGTATGCATCGCCTCTACCACTTGACCCTCCAAAAATGTATACATGTATCTCATTTACCAAAGCCAACATGTTTTTAAAAAGCATTTTACCTGTACAAGTTGAAATTTTCCACTTTTTCATCTATCTTTATATCTGGCAGTGTCATAAACTGAACTTTTTTCTGTCTCCTAAACCCTCTCAGGATCGTTTGGTAGCTAAACTGGAGCAGATGGGGTACAGAGTTGGCCAAAGTGTGGTAGAACGCTTAACTAAGGACACCCCAAGATTCTCGAGTGAATTGGACATCATTAAATTCATTTGTAAAGACTTTTGGTCCAGCATCCTCAAAAAACAGGTTGACAATCTTAGAACAAACCACCTGGTAAGTTACAACCAAAAAAAAAATTGTCAGAGTGAGGTTTAAATTGTGCCTCAAATCCACCTCCAGATTGCCATAAACAATGAAAAAATTCTTTTTGGTACAAATGTTTGTGGTCTTTACTCTTTCCTAAGGCCAGTCAACATTGATTTTTAGGTTTTCATCACTCAAGATTTAGAGAAAAATCGGTCGGGAGGGGAATTGATATTTTACATATTCCACTTATTCACATTCAAAGTGAATTGAGGGGACAACGTCAGATAAACCTAAAAGAAGACACAACAGACATGAAAGCTACTTACACATGTAATACATGTATTAAGTACCAGTCAGCTGTTTGATGACCTAGGGTGTGTGTCTAGAATTTAGAAAGGATAATGAACCTCGCAGCTTATAGCAGACTGCATGTAGGTTTACAGTTGACTTATAAGTGTTCAAACAAACAATGCAACAATTGGCCTACCCTTGCCAGCTAGATGTCAAACTTTGAACTTTAACAACTTTACGACCACGAGTACTGTATGGTGCCTAGAGCGTTGTCGTATCAATACCACATCAACTTGTCATGGTTCCCGACTTTACGCTGACTTACTAAGAGTAAGAATTTGCGATGTGCTCAGTATGTAGTACATAATGTTTCCGTGCTAATCAATGCGACCGTGCCTGTGGATTTTGTGAGAAACTTGTCTGGAAAATACACTTTTGTTGGAGAAAAAAAACACTTTCAGGAAAAAATATAAAATATAAAAAAAATTGGGGTGGGAGTGAAAATCAAGATGGGCGGTGATGAAAACCTAAAAGTCAGTGATGCTTGGCCTAACTACACACTCTTTAAACAGATATTAGATTCCATGGCTACATTTATAATACATTTCCCTTCACATGCCTACATGTACCTTGATGTTTGATAAGTGATGACATTGGGCATCACAACTCAACCAGTCACTGATTAGGTTTTCTGTTTAATCTTCAGGTTTCTTGTGTGTTATGTGTGCATACTTGTCAGACATTCATACACCTCTAGAATTACACTCTTGACACCTCCACAGAGATTCAAGATATTTTACAATGAACGCTAACTCTGTTTCCTTATTTTTTAATTACATTTTAGTAACCACATCAAAAGTGATATCACTTTTGAATCATTTTTATTGAGCAGGTCACTGTACTAATGTGTTTTTGCTTGTTATCATACCAGGGTGTCTATGTTCTGCAAGACAACAAATTCAGGTTTCTTGTCCAGCTGTCAGCTAGCAAGCAATATCTGGAAGCAGCACCAAAGGTGATTAGCAATCTTCATTGTGAAACGTTTTTCTTTCTTTGACTTTGTTAGGTTTGTACACATTCTTGTTGTAATTTGATTAACTATTCACAATGGAATTGCCAATATCAGAAGTTGTAAGTGAAATATGAGCCTTTGCCTAGTGGGGTATTAGTATTGTGGAAGTTCGCAGTAACTCCAACATGGAAAGCTCCAATGAGCAGTTTGAACAAAACCAGTGATTGTTGTTAAAATCACTTTAACTTTCATTTTGTTTCACTTTGCGATGATGACAGTATTTAGCATTTACATGTGGTCTGGTGCGTGGAGCTCTAGCCAACGTGGGACTGAATTGCATTGTCACAGCGGAAGTCAGCAATATGCCAGCATGTGAGTATTTGCTTGTATTTTAACAAAACAATACCATTGTTAGACGGTTTAGGCATGCAGCTTTGCCTCGGATCTGCCATTTTTCTGAGTTCTCTGTTAATGGTTCTTCTTAATGCTGGTGAAATTCTGTCCCTTTTTCTCTTTATTTTTTTTTTGGGGGGGTGGTGACTATCCAATTATGTATCTGAGTGCTTATTGATCATGTCACATGCATTTTTCTGTCTTTGGATAACAAATTGTGCCAATATTAAATTTAGAACTTCTAACTTTCATGAGTTCTCTTTGTGGATATTTCACACTATCTTCAATCAAACTTGAATCCTCACCCCTGATTGGTCAGTTCATGGCAACAACAGTGTGATATTATCCCATATACCACCTTCCATATCACACTCTGTGTATAACGTTATTCTACAAAAAAACATATTCTATGATGCGCGCACTATTCCTGCCACACACACGTGTGTATTGCATAACTGCGTGAAAGTTACATTAGCGTGTACATTCCTTCTTTGTTGTGTTTCAAGTTTGATTGAAAATAACTTTTTCGGCTGAAACGGCATACGGGACACAGATGCACTCCATATTCCTTGTTCCACGAGCGCTCTTGGGATAACTAAAAACATATAAACCGGACATGAGAATGGGAATACCAAAAAACAGGAAACCAATTCTGGATGGGACCATCCAGAATGTAATGTAATGGCCAGGGATCCAAGCATGCACAGAACTATTGAAATCCTGGACCCTACTTCTGGATTTTAGGATTTTTGTGACCCAAGGAAGGCTATTTCAGGGGAGATAGATTTCATTTTAGTGAGGTACATGCAACACTTCAATACAATTAAGCAGTTAGACAAGATTTAAAATGAACTACTATAAAAACATTTTAATAACCCAAATGCAGATTTTGATTTGTTTTCCTTACCTTGCCCGCATCAGTATTAGCTCTCTGGTTCTAGTTCCCATTTGTTGAATTGAACAAGTAAACCACAGAGCTACTGCAATCTTTCATCTGGAGTTCCCTTGCAAAGATACTTCTCACACCAAGCCCAATTCCATTTGTTTTTAACCCTCTGATCAGTAACTCTCACATCGGTATCTCCATGACTAAAAAAAAATCACAGCACATGCATTTCACCATCGCGATTGTATGAAGAATATTTCAGGATGTTCCTTACTCATTTGAAGCAATGCCGCCGTCCGTCCTTTCTTCACAGCAGTGTCTGATTTACATTGACAACCAATGCAACTTTAAAAAAAAAATATTTGTCAAGAAGCCAACTACACTTTCTTATACAGAAATATGTTGTGCACTACTGCGGCATATCACATTTTACATGACCGATGCCAACTCAAATTATAAAAATATGGGTTGACGGAGTCGACTCATTCAAAAAGTCGCATTTTATTAAGTGTTTTAAAAATATTTTTAAGCTCCTTCTGCTGATTGAGAAATTTTGTTGTTGAACCCCTGTCAGTCTTCATCCCCCAAATTGTAATTCAAATTAAGATCACAATATGTGAAAGAAAGAAAAACGGAATTGATAAACAGGCCTTAATTAATTGTTCCATTCCATTGATTATTACACATGAAGATATATTATAGAGAAATGCACCAATCCCGGTACCATAGCAGAATTTTGCTGTTACATGACAAAAGCTCCTTTTTTTATTTGTAGAACTTGTACCCTCCAAGCATTGTTCGAAGTTAGTGTATACATGTAAGTCAATCTATGCACAGTAGTTTGTTGAACACTGATTTTGATCATTTTTCCAGGTAAATTCCAAATCATGATCCAGAGGTCATAGCCACTGATGAGGACAACTGTAGCTACAGTTTGCCATCATACAAGATGAGACCAAAATGGTATGGTCACTGTAACAGCCCTCAGTGGCTGAGTAAGCTTCCCCATTCCATGTATTCAGGGTAAGGCTACAGTGAATTAACCAAATCAATGTCTCAAAGGACTTGCTGTCCATAGGATATTCTGATGTATTATTGATCTGAAAATTATGCATTTTTAAGTAGGAGCATGCTTCAGCGAAAGCTTGATTTGGTTTTTCATGGTGGCATAAATGGTTGGGATTTAAAAAGCCTGTAGTGGCCTCCCATATTGTGACTGCAACACAGAAAATTTCAAATGAAAATGAATTACCACCTATGAACTCTCAACTCCAAAGCACTACAGGCATCCGAGATTAAATCTCCAATTAGGCCTTAACTCTGCTGAATCCAACCACAGTAGCCATTAGTTGCCAACTTCTGTTGGATTTTTCATATGCAAGCAGTAAATGAAAATCCATTTGTTCTAGCTTTTGGATGCTTGCCAAATCCTCCAAATCAAAGATCGAGTTCAACAGAGAGTTGAAGATATTTGTGGTGGTAGTGTTATCCAGTGTGAAAGTCCATTAGTCTAATTTTGAAATGTGACTGAACCAACAGAATAAAGGTCAGACAGTGTTCATTTTATCACTCCGTTTTATTTGGAATGCTTGTATGTAAATCACATGTAAGTGTTTTTTTAATCATTGAACTTGGTGTCACAGAGCATGTCCCAATTTGCCACTTGGTTAACCAAGAGAGTCTACTCCAATTCCATGGTGCTGTTCACATCAGCACAAAGAGGCTCTGTGCTACCACTATACCCAGTACGGAGATATCCATTGTTCCATCACAACAAATACTCCGGCAAAGATTGAGCAAACTCTGTGCTGCCGCATATGCTACTTCATGAAGTGAAGATTGCTTCCATTACAATCGCAGATTATGTGCTAAACACGTTAGTGGACAGCACCAAAGTTGACCACAGTGAAAGAAAAGTTAAATTATGTACAAAAGTCAATTCGTTTGCCCACATCTCTCTCTAGATGACTACATTTGTAGTTCCTTATAGGTAATGATTTACACATAAACCTAGCAAAATTTGGGAATAGCATCAGCAATGTGAAGTCTATCGTCGAAAAATTAAGTCTGTGTAAATAAACAACACATTTACACCAATGTACTGTAAATATATATAAACTGTAAATTTATTGTAATAATTGATTATAAAATTGAATTGTTTCGCTCAAGCCATACTCTGTTTGTGTCAGTATATGTACAGCATACAAGCCTGTCAATTCATAGCCAGGTTTCTGGTAGTCGATAATTTTGATCCATAAGTGCTAAGATATCGTTTTGACTTCTTGGAACCTGGCTTACAATATAGATGGTTTCAGAATCTATAGTATCCATTGAGTATTTAATCATGTGGAATCATTAAAACCCTAACCCCCTTAGTACTTCCTCAGGACTACCTTGCTTAATCCAACAGAGTTCAACCGGACTTTCCTGCTCAATCCACTGTGCCTCATTTTCAGTTGTCTGCTGAATCCAACAGAGTCCAACATGGCGTTATAATGCGGTTCAGTTGCCTGCTGAATCCAACATTTTGCATGAGGAATGTACACAAGGGGTTAACTGCTCAATCCAACAGGCTCCATCGGGTATGTGACATAGTTGGATCCTGCTGGATTCAGCAGGGTTAGGGTTTTGAATCAACAAATAACAGTAATTTTAGTGAAATATAAATAACATCAGTGATCTTTCTTTGACCTTTACTTCCGGGGTTACTGTGAGTGGACATGCAAAGAGAAATGATTATAACTTGAAAATGGAAATGTTTTATTACAGTTTATACAAATTATACAAATGCTTAATGAGGCATGGCAAACACAAAAGGCGGCATTTTTTTTTATTAAAAAATAATTGGTCAAAATTTTACCAAAATTCCCATTAAAATTGTGTAGACAATAACAAATTACTTTCCAAAGTTTCAGATTGATGATGTCATCAGACCAGAAATTATTATAGGGAGAATTAGAAAAAAAATTCTCATTTTCCCCTTTTTTTAATCAAAATCCATCACTGATTGTTACACAAGTAATGATGTCATCGAACTGGAAAGTATGTGTAATCAATACATATCCATTATATGTGTAATCAATACATATCCATTATGTTCACGTAATTTTCATATTTTTCGACATTCTTTTCACTTTATCTTGCTAATGTAATCTATCTAAACTAAATCCATATTCATTCTACATATTTTAAGTGATGTCATCATCAAACCGGAAGTAACATGTTATTAGAGTGTTGATGAAATCTATTAAATCCAAAGAGATGCATTTGTTCAAACTAATAAATGGTTTTAAACTGAAAAAAATTAGTTTCCTTACTTTTTCTGTTTTTATTTCAACATTCACAATTGCACTGGACAATTTCCATTGAAATAGTTTAGTGCTCTATCTGGTACAAACGTGAAATCTCTTGCAATTTTTTTTCGAGGTTTGGTGGGGATGGGGGTTGGTAATTACTCAAAGTTTTGCCGTGAAAAATCTAACTTCCCCCAAAATGTGTGTGAAGTTATCAAAATTAGTGGGTTACATTTCTTGTAGATTAAATGCAAAATGTATCATTTGCTTTTCATGCATTTTGTTCGCTTTCCTCGAAATCCGAAGAAGAATGTTCAAAACTAAACCTGTTGAAGTTTCAGCTCAGTGGATATTAGGGGCCACTCAGAATTTTCAATGTTTTAAAATTTCGACTTTTTTTCCAAATTATTTTGACCCACCCACCCACCCCTAATTTCGATTAATAAAAAACCTCTTTGTTACGCAGTATTAAAAAAAAAAACATGAACATGTACATGTACATGCACAAGGCATATACATCATTACATCCCACTGGCGGGCCTGTGCGGGTTGCGTGTCCTTTCGGGAAAACAATCCGTTGCTGCTGAGTGGTGGGCGGAGGCAAAAGCTGTCTCTTTGCAACTTTTCGACAACAAACAAAAGTCAAAAGATCTTCCCCTTTTTTATTCTCTCTCTTTTTTCCATGAAAAGTGAAATTCGATTTTCAGTTATTTAGCTTGACCCACCCACCCACAATTTGGAAAAATAGTCGAAATTTTAAAACATTGAAAATTCTGAATGGCCCGTTACACTTTTCGAGAAAACGGTGATAAGATTAAGTTAACGGTTGTACCATAATCTATTTTAAAAGAAAACAGTGAACAACTATGCACAGCCTTTTGATCGCGAAACACAATTTCGTCCATACAGCACTCTGCGCTTTCCAACGATCAGTCAATTGACTGATTGTAGGAAATCACCTACATATCTTGATTTCTTCTAAATGACAGCAAGCCAGACGGAGTATCACGGAGTGTTTAGTACCGGTACGATCTTTAATCCGAGTAAATTTTTATAATAATTTGGTAGGTTACTTTTTGGATAATGCAAATGATTCTATTTATATCTTTAAGGAAAAAATAACAAAGCCGGTCCCAATTTGAACTGTCTCATTTCATTCATTAATTCCATTTCATTGAAACAGACATGAGCATCTAAGAATTCTCCACATCGAAATTTGTTGCATTATTTTGTATGTAGATATGGTTCCTTCAGACCTTCTTGACGGAACACTGTATCTGAAATGAAAATACAAAAAAAAAAAATCCTACATTTCATTTTTTTTGTCAACTGTTTATCTTTACGTCAATTCAACGTGTTATTCGTGACCATCACATTAATTATGAATACTTTGAATTTTTAATGTGTGCATGTATACTAAACGAGGCTTCACCTCGTCCGCTTCGCGGGAAAGGTGGCTACGCTGCCCTGCCCGCTTCGCGGGAGAAGCGGCTTCGCCGTCTCGCCCGCTTAGCTGTCGAATGCGTATTCGCGGACGAAATCAAGCTGCCTTTCCATATGTGCATATCATCGCTATCACGCATACGTTCACTACGTTTCGTTTTTACGGACACGAAAAATCGATCTCATAATGTATGAGGCACGCATCCCTTTTCATATGAATAAGTAGTCTGCCCGGGCGAATTAGTAATCCGCCCGGGCGGAATGGTAATCCGCCCGGGCGGAATGGTAATCCGCCCGGGCGAAATGGTAATCCGCCCGGGCGAAATGGTAATCCGCCCGGGCAAAATTGTTAATCCGCCCGGGCGAAATGGTAATCCGCCCGGGCGAAATGGTAATCCGCCCGGGCGAAATGGTAATCCGCCCGGGCGAAGTAATGGGCCTAAAAAATATTTTCGGTCATGTCCTAAATACGCTTCCGTAGTATTTAGGACATGACCAAAAAAAGCCATACCGGCCCTCTATTTCGCCCGGGCGGATTACTAATTCGTCCGGGCGAATAAGTGTTTCGCCAGGGCGGATTACTAATTCGCCCGGGCGAATTACTATTTCGCCCGGGCGGATTACTATTTCGCCCGGGCGGATTACTATTTCGCCCGGGCGGATTACTTATTCGCCCGGGCGAATTAATATTTCGCCTGGGCGGATTACTATTTTGCCCGGTCGAATTAGGAGTCTGCCCGGCCTGGAGAATGAGTAATCTGCCCGGGCGAATTAGTAGTCTGCCCGGGCGAATAAGTAATCCGCCCGGGCGGAATAGTAATCCGCCCGGGCGAAATGGGCGAAATAGTAATCCGCCCGGGCGAAATAGTAATCCGCCAAGGCGAAGTAGTGGGCCTAAAAAATATTTTCGGTCATGTCCTAAATACGCTTCCGTACGTTTCGGTCCTCGGTTATTAAATCGCTCCATGGAGCAATTTCGACGCATCCGCAACGCATACGCAACGCAACGCAACGCAACGCAACAAAAAAATCGGATAAAAAAACGCGCATATCGAAAGTCGGCAATCAACTCATGAACACTTTTTACTCACATAATTATAGCGCTTAAAATACACTTTAGCGGTTAGCGGTGATGACAAGAACACATTTGCGAAAGGACAAATAAAACGACAACGTTTTGTAAGCGCCATAATTGCACATGATTTCTGTTAAATGTTTTTTAAAAGAAATTTCTTGTGTTGATTTTGAAAAACAAAATCCACTGCTGTAACTTAATTGGGCAGTGGAACTCAAATTGTACACTTCTCTGCTTTGGTTATTTTGATTTAATATCAGGAAACTAAAACTTCCTTTGCAGGGCTTGTAGGCCTAAATGGAATTTTCCAAGCAGAGACTATATTGCACAATATCGATATGTTTCGATCGATAGTTGTTAAGGTTTATTGTATTAGGAAAACAAATCAACTTTTGTGTCAGAGACCCTCCCCTCCCCAAACAAGAAAAAGCTGTTCAACTGTACCGAAAATGTTGGGTGGTGGGTGAAGAATGGATATGGCGTGGTTCAAAATACAGAATCGTACATCGAAAATGTTTACCGAAATCCCCGTGTGCCTGACGAAGTGAAGTAGTTGTGCTACCGTCCACCCATGTGCGTATGGCTGAAAATGTATATGGAGCAAGGAAAACGGATGGCTGAATGAAGCTTCCCGTCCATGCCGTGTTGATAAACCATCGACAGCTAGCTTCGATGGTTCTCCGGGTCTCGGTTGAGGAAAGACCTGCAACTTGCAAGAAACCAAAAAAATGGGGGAGGCCGCGCTCGCTCGCAACCAGCGCAAGGCAGCATGCGGTTGAAATTCGGCAGCTTCCAGCACTCTTAATGTGCATGATTTGCAACTCAGTGGCTTTTCTTTTCGATGCCTTATCAACTGGCTGGAAGTCTTTCAAAATTCGAGAATCGCAAGGAAAACCCTCATTAAAGCAAAAGCGCATGTTGAGCATGATTGCTGCCTTATGACTGCAAAACAGACTATCGACCGGGACAACAACAACAACAATAACAACAACAACAACATGATTAACAACACAACATCAACAGACCTGTGACTTTGGAGCGAAGTCCTTTGCATTCCAGGGGGTCGATGTTAAAGCGCGCCCTCTCCGTCTCGTCACCGATATCGCCTATCTGAATGGCCGTCACAGGTAACTGAGCCGCGTCTGTCAAGTACCCTTCGTCGTAGCGCACGACGTTCTCTACATCCCGGTCACAGTTGCATCTCCCACCTCCGGCACAATCTGTAAATATAGCATTAAACTCTATAACCTAAATCTTTAACCTAAACCACACAAATCTGGATATTGTGAATTAATACATGATTACACACTCCGCCAGGCGCGTTAGACAATAATATTATTGTCCAGCATAATTCAAGTGACTGTCCTGTCTCCCGTCTTGAAATACTCGTACACTCCTTCGAATTATACCGTACATAGACAGAGACCAGTGTTCCGGCAGGTATAAACTTGTCAATAGACGTTAGACTGAAATGACTTTGCTGTCAGGTTTTTTTTTATATCTTAAATTTTAAACTACAAAGTTATCATATAGCTTGTATATACCAAATGTTATGTACATTTTCATTCTGTGTTAAGGGATGGTTGAAAGTGTGTGGTTGACTCTTATGCTATAATACAAAGGCTTATCTAAGTCAGTGAAGGTAAAACACTGAATTCCGTTTTCGAAGAAACGAATAGAAACAGGAGGGACGCGTGAATTTATTAAGTTAGTCGTAAAATTTGTAAAATACGTACCGTTGTCAATGCTGCACTCACACCCTTTCCAACCACTTGGAGCCCCGCCCCAATTGGGCATTTTCTCTTTGTTACGTGACAACAGCCACGTGACCTGTATATCTCCTTTCCATATGGCCGCCAGCCGGCATTTGTACCAGATGTACTGACGGCAGACCTCGGATGTGTTGATCAGGGCAACCATGTGCTTGGGAGGGGAGATTGAAATAAAACAAAATAAAAAACTTCTGTAACAGAGGATGAAGCTTTGGTTTTAAAAAGTTTTTAAAGAAAAAGTCTGGTCCTGTATCACTTGAAATAACATGAAATGACTCATACACAACTGGCCATGGAGTCAAGTTTACAACTGCAATGATGAGTGACCGAAATGTGACTGTGAATGTTCAGATTGGCCGTAATGCATAAAAATACATCCTTAGCATTTTCAAGTTTTTAGAACCGACTAAATTTTAAAACTTTGAACTTAGACTATTATAAAAAAAAAAAATTAAAAATTAAAAAAACTGACACAAATACTTTGCAGTTGGAAAATCCTATCATCTTTTTACATAGTTATGGTCAGTCCATATACCTTTTGTGTAAAGACGAAGTTCTTACCTCCATTGATGGGGCTTCATATGCAAGCTTCTTGGTGTACGCACCCGGTGCCTCATAATTTCGATCGTTAGAAATAGACACAAGGATGTCAACATCATGCATGTCGTTATCTATAACGGTAAAAGCTGTGGAATTCATAAAGAAAAAAACATCCACTTTTTTAGCGTCTTTTATCTCATCATGGGTAGCGAACCCGCGGTGGGGGCGGGGGTGGGCGTGATTTCCCTCTTTTTTTGCGTGTGGACGCCAATGGCAATTTTCCCAAGTCCCAACCCCAATAAATTATCGCAGTACACGTACTTTTTTCAGCCGATGTTACTTTAATCTTCACAAAGTTAATCATCTTATGGCTACAAAATGGGTCCTTTTCAAGATTGGGAGGCAAAATACTAACATATATTTTTTTCAAAAATTCGCAAAATATTATTTTGTAAAATTCGGGTTCTTTATGATTGCTTTTTCTCCCAAAAGTTTATCAGGTTATCAAAATTTTGAACCAAACATAGTTCCTGTCAAACTCCAATATTCTATAAAGGGAATAGGAACTCAAAAGAATGCAAACTAGTCTGTATAGGCCTAAACTCAACACAGGGTTTTCACGGTCATGGACACATCATGGAAAGTCCTGGAAACACGTTGTCCTGGAAAGTCATGGAAAGTCATGGAAAATCGGGAAAAATATTAAAAAAAGTAACGTGGAAAAGTCATGGAAATCATCATGTAAGGGATTTTTGTGATGGTCCGCTTTGAGGGTGCACACAAGTATTAAAATAGGCCAAAAATCCGTCTGCCGAGCTCATGAATAAAAATTATACACTCCATTATTCTTCTATATTAAAAAGTTCTGACAGCCTGGAATTAGAAAATTGAAGAGATATGGCAATACACCTTTGGCCCGGACTTGGGGCTTCCAATTCTGAGCATTTTCGATGCAATCTCGAATGTGGCGCTATTTAGCCATGTTGTGGAGGGATCCGTTTTCAAGATGTCTACATTCCACTTTCTTTGGCAAACATTTCTCGTTTATCTTCTTTGGGTGAAAATTTCTCAAAAAATCATGTGTCAATCAGGCCTAACCCACCAAAAAATGAAAAGAAAATGAAAGACGACATGTTGATCATCATTTCTCTGTGCAGCCTGTGAGAGTTTTGAGGGTATTTTTAAAAGGATTTTGAAGTATGCGCATTTAGCACTGGTGTCGATGGGAATTGATTTGATTGTGTGCACCCAATAAGGATGGCTGTAGGGGGAGGAGTAAGCCATTATTAATTAAAACTTATTTTCAAACGCTTTATAGGGCCCTAGTTAGCCTTAACATCAGCGGTTCATCAATATCATAATACCAAACAACTTTTCTCTGCAAAATGGCGTTAAATGTCATGGAAATTGTCGTATTTTAGTCCTGGAAAGTCCTGGAAAAGTCCTGTGAACAGTGCTCAGCGCAACCACATGCAGACTGGGAGAAGTTTGCTTCCCTCGACAACAAAATACAACGGCAAATAAGAGGGCGGTATTTTGGAAGAAGCATATTTTTTTCAATGTATTACATCTCCCGTGATATGAAGTCTGCTTATTCTCTTCCTCTTAGAAATTTAATCTTCACTGACAACTGTGCAAGAGTATTCAATAGAATATGTGTACCAGCCATCTTATTCGTAGAGTGCACTTTTGTTGTTTTATTTCAGTAACAATGAGAGCACAAAAGGTTCACTCATGCATTATGATATCCCTGCAAAACAAAGGCACTGCCCTCTAAGATGGCTGCATTGGAAGCAATGATGATTTCTCACCCTTGTCGCTTTTGAAATTACACCAGACTCTGAAGCCTGCTAGTGGGCCGTCTCCGTCTGGGTCGATCCGGTAGTAATCATCCCTTTGCCTACCGTTCAGACGCAGCTCTTCGCAGTTCCGGAATAATCCTGTCAATAAGAAATCAGTTAGATATGGAAAAAGTTAATCTTAAATAAAAATGTATGGGAGTATATATCAGGGAATAAGAAAGGCCAGCACCTCAAAAATGAAACTAGTATAATACTCCCCCTCCTTTTTTTTAAACAATTTTTACGAACAAAAAATTGGGGTCCACATTCTCTACGAAAAATTACCATTTTGCCTCCCTTAATTCCCACCCAAAACTTGTGCACGCTGCATGGTACCAACATGCTTCCTGTGCTGAGGTTTTAACTCTCCATTTGGCTCACTCACACTACACCATTATGCTATTCGATTAAAGTGGAATCCGCAATTAGTCTTTATTGAGCAACAAGGACGGATCAAAGGGGAGTGGTTTGAGTGGCTACCTCCCCCCCCCCGCATCCCGGCCCCACCCACTTTGAAAAACCACGAACGGGAAACACAGAGTCTAAATAATTATACTTTTAGCCTAAAGCTAAATATTTCCTTAAACTTTGAGATTCTCTTTCACGCTTCGTTTGGACAAATATTTTGCAATAATTATTGAAACCGGATTTAATTTAAATCGCTTTCAGTAAACCCTGAGGCAAAACCCACGCAAACACATCCATCCGTCTGGTTCGAAAGTCGAAAACCCATGATAATGAATTAATAGTGCACGAAGACATACGAAACATCACACCATGTTGCGATTTTTGTTGCAAGTGATTTGATCTCCCTTCTTCAGGGCTACGATACAAAACATGTATGACTTTCTCTCGACTTATAATCGATGGACACAATGATGCGAATTTTTCAAGTTTTACCCCCCCCCCGCCCCCGACACAAAACTGATTTAAAATCACTATTTTTTTAGCAATACAAAGTTATTTAATTTTGAATGAGACATTGAACAAAAAAAGTGGATCACTTTTAGTTTTTTAGTTATAGAATAACTTAATTTACGAGTTTTTAATTATTTGTGGCCTATCCTTTTGTGCATTAGGGGCGTCAAAGCAACTCAAAATGAAAGCCTTTTTCAGAGGTTTGAAGACGATTCAAAAATCATTTTTACGTTAGAATAGAACTTACAAATTGAAAAGTCGTCAGGAGAAAAAAAGTGGAATCTCTTGAGCACGAACGGTACATAAAACACCAAGCTGGTCCACAAATAAACGGGTCAAAATTTGTACTGATAATTTGCTATGCCAATAGACTGCATGCAAGGATAATATCGCTGCGTCGAGATTTGAAAACATTTGCTTAGAATGAAGTATCGCCCGTCTACGCCTCGAAACAAACTTACCTAAGACTGGAAATATTACGTTCAGGAGACACAGACATAAAGATACGTTGAAAACAATCTGGACGTAGGTATCCATTTTAATGAAGAAGTCATCCTTATGGTGCAATCGCACACGCTGTTCGTTAGTTGGTCGTCCTCGCTCCCGAGTATTCAGAGGCGAAATCAACAGGCAGATTGTACTCACTGCACTGCCGCAGCTGGAATAATTCCCTCGACCTATGCGCTATGTTTTTTTCCAATGCGCTTAAACCATTGTAGTGTTTCAATCTATTGCCGCGAATCGGTAGGCACTAAACAAAACATCTTAACTTATCTACACAATAGATTTGACCTCGTGAGAGTATTTTCCCCAATTAGGCAATCAATTGTGATTTCGGTACTAACGTTTTTAACGAAGTGGTGGTACTTAGTAGCATATAACCCCCCCCCCCCCGTTTTGTTGAGACAACAAATTATTGATTGCCAGTATTTCGCTCGCTCTCGACCTCCATCAACCAAAGAAAATATTGAGAGAATCCAAAGCCATTTAGCATGCATGCATTTACTGTACAATAGGTGCACAAATCATTTATTGATCGACTCGTCCAGTAGCCCACTTCATGGATTTCAAAGTGTTTGATAAATTTGCTTTCGGGAGGTGAGAGTTGAGAGCCTAGACTGTCCGTTAAACGATTAAATTTCGAGTACATAGAAAAAGTGATTATTCGTTTATGCAAAGTGACCTTCGTAAGTTCGACGTTTAGGTATCTCCTGATAACTTGCACTTGGCATTGTAGAATCGTTCAGAAATTCATTGTACAGGTGGGTTATCGTCACGTGCACTCTCCGATCAAGTGGCTTGGCTAACGTTTACGGAATCTCCGCCCGCCCTCCCCCCACCAATAAATTAATAATAATAATAAGATAAAAAAAAAAATATTTTGCTACCGGAAATTTCCCCTGCAGCATCGATATACAGTCAAACCAGGAGAAGGAACACAACATCTTAGAACGTTACTTTGTTAAGGACGCAAGATAAGAGCCAGGGTTCACGAGAAATACTGAGAAGCATATCACGCCGCGGCGACTGCTGATAGCAAATCACGGCGGCGTGGTATAGCAACTGGTTGCGATGACTATCTCGTTGTGAAGTGGTGCCGAGGTACTGGCTAATGAAATTTGACAACTTTTGGCTTCCATGATGCGTTGGAAGTGGGGACAAAAACAAATGAAAGTTGAGCGTTTGGTTCCATGTATACAGAGGTCTAATAAAACTACATACAAGCTCTCGTCGCGACGATTCACCTTCGCGTGCATGCTCACTTTCTGCACCGTAGCACCGGAGCGGACCGACCCGGACGTTCGCCCTCTCTCCCCGGTGGCCAACGTCACCAACACGGACTTCCCTCACCGGTAACTTGGACTTGTCAGTCAGCAATCCCCGGTCCAACCTCCAAATGGAGCCACCTCGCTGGCTGTCATTGTCGCAATTGCATCTCTCTCCATTCTCACATGCTTGGGGAAAAACGAATATAAACCTGCAAACTACGGTATTACCCGCCCCACTGAGAAGGAAGTTACGGATTCAGAATTCCTTTTAAACTGAGAAAAGGGAAAATGGGGGGGGGGGGAGAAAAATCGTCAAACCGACTGTCATTGGCCAACGGTCTTTTTATAATTGGTATCATTTACCCGGATTTTTTTCCATTGTTCGAAGTGATACCCGTAATGCGTATTGCACCGTAGCACCGGAGCGGACCGACGCTAAACTGCTCAAGGGCGGATCCGGGGGGGGGGGGCCAAAGGGGGCCATGCCCCCCCCAAAAAAACGAAACCAATTGTTTTTGTTTTTTTATGTGACATCGCAATAAAGGCAGGCAATGAGTACACCACCATCTTTTCCTTAAAAAACATTGGCTAAAGTGGTCAGAAATTGCCTCAGATCGCACCACAGAGCATCTAGAATCCAAAAAAATTTCGGGGCCCTTAAGCGGGCCCCAAATCCCACGCCGTAATTTTTTTACCCACTTTTTGGGGGGACCAAAATTTTTTTGGGCCCCCCAAAAAATTGTGTTCTGGATCCGCCCTTGAAACTGCTGAACTTGAACCAAATTTGTTCAACACATTTATTAACATTGGAGTCACTGAGAGACGATATCAGCTTAACTTTGAAGAAACCATGTTACATGGTAAACCGTAAGCATGTCTATAAGAAGATGATGGAAGATAATGAATTTGTTCCTAGCAATGATTACATATGGTAAGAAACGTCTACTGAAATAGACACGTGAGGCGAAGAGTTTCGGATCATCTGACCGTTTAATTTGTACTTATCATGCAGTTGGGTATAAAAGAGGGGCTGAACTAGCAAGATTCGGAATGATAGCTTATAGCTATATCTTATAGCTCTGCAACATTCATAGAGACGCAAAATAGTTGCCTCGTTTGTTCAATGCAAACATCCCCATGCATATAGCCAGTGCCCGTCAAGCTTAAGATCTGAAGGTTTGATTTGAATGAAGTAAAATCTCTTTTGTGAAATTTTATTTCACAGGGTGCAATTAACCGCTAACTCACTTACTGTTGTTCACATAGCAACCGCATCCATTGAATCCACTAGGAGCCCCACCCCAGTTGAACATCTTCTCCTGGTCCTGTGACACCCACCAAGTCATCTGAGTGCCCCTCTCGTTCCAGATTTCTGTGTTCATGCACTCCAACGAGACAAACTGGGAGCAGCGGTCCGACGCGTTGGCCAGTGCCGCGATTTGAGGTAGGGAAGCCGTGGTGTAGTTAAGGATTTTCCGGTAGGCGCCAGGGGTCTCGTACTTTATGATGTCTCTTCCGTTACCCGTCACTCTCACTGTAAAGCCTTCGACGTCCTTGTCGTGGTGTACAACCGTATAACCTGTCAAAGGTACATACATAACTTTTGAGAATTGATTTTATTTAATTATTATCTTTATAAAAAACGAGTTCCTAATCAACAGTGTAAAAGTATACCTATAGTACCAGTGTTGGAGCAAAGGCTTTGACCCTCAAGGCCAAGGCCAAGGCCAAGGCTTTGACCCTCAAGCCTCGAGGCCAAGGCCAAGGCTTAACCCTCAAGGCCAAGGCCCTGTTTTATGAAATGACCACTGATATAGAACTAATTATAGTCACATGAGTGACACATCATCACGCAAGGGCGGATCCAGAACACAATTTGGGGGGGGGGGCAAAGAAATTTGGGTCCCCCCAAAAAAAGTGGGTCAAAAAATTACGACTTCGGCTTCGGGGCCCGCTTAAGGGCCCCGAAAATTTTGGATTTGAGATGCTCTGTGGTGCGATTTGAGGCAATTTCTGACCATTTTAACCGATGTTTTTTGAGGAAAAGATGGTGGTGCACTCATTGCCTGCCTTTATTACGACGTCACATTAAAAAAAATGGTTTCGTTTTTTTTTTGGGGGGGGGGGCATGGCCCCTTTTGGCCACCCTGGATCCGCCCTTATCATCACGAATTGCTCGTTACGAAGAACAACATTTCTTTAATTGCAATCAACATACTCGCATAGGCCTACACCGTTTTATGACTGCACTGTATAAGTTCAGGTCTTCAATATGGTTCAACTAAACAAAATAATGATTTACTTCTATATTGACACACAATTCTCCCAAGTGTACCAAAAGGAGGATCCAAGAAACTGATTTGGGAAATTTTTATTTGCAGGCCCAACAAGGTCAGAAATATCAGCATTATCTAAAACAGATACATGCAAATCTTTAGCACTTATCAGGGAGACATATACAACCAATCAGATCCATTCCATAGTTATATGCAATTAAAGTGATCATCTCATTAGCCCCACAAGTGTACGGAATATTTTTGCAGCAAATCCACTACAATGGTAACAAAATGTGATGCTACAAAAGTGGAAGTGTGCCCAACACACAAATCTATAGGGTGCTTCCCTCCTCCATGGTAATACGATTAAAATGGTAACAGCAAAATTTCGAACAGATTTATCTGGAAAATGCAAAAATCTATGGGCCTTGAAGAGCCTTGACTCAAAATTGCAAGGCCCTGAACCCTCAAGGCCAAGGCCAAGGCCAAGGCTTTTGCCCTCAAGCCTCGAGGCCAAGGCCAAGGCCCTAAAATCCAGCCTTAACCCTCCGGCGCAGAATCTAGCCCTTTTGGGGACCCAATTTGGTTAATTACCTTAATTTTAAAAAAAGTTTCAAACCAATTCTGGTGATCTTCCATCTAATCCTAGCAAGAGACACCCTCTACGGATATATGCAGTCACCTTTAGTGTGTGACCCCGGGTCAGGCATATCTGAGCATGACAACCTGGGCTAAGGACCGACGCAATTTCTGCCCATCCGGGGACCCACCATATACACGCGCACAAAACAACTCCGACGCAATTTCTGCCCACCCGGGGACCCACCATATACACGTGCACAAACAAGGTCACTTGCGAGTAGACAGTGCACGGCTTGACCACAGACTATGTATACAAATACACCTCCTTAGTCTACAGACATGGCAAGATTGTGTTCATGTGGATACAGTGTTGTGTAGCCTCAAACCGTGGCGCTAAATATTTGGGTCCCCGGGGGACCCCTTACTGTAAGTGTGTTACTAAATGGGCTTTCTGCGTCGGAGGGTTAAGGCAGCCTTAAGGCCAAGGCCCAGCATCAAGGCACTACATCACTGACCTATACAGGGTGAGAAAAAAACAAACGAAACCCAAATGTCGGGACCAATGTTTTAGTGAAGTTCTGCATGACTTTCAAAATCTAGGATATGAAAACTCAATTCATAAGCTTTCTTTTAGTACAAGAATCATTCAAATCACTCTCGTAATTATCAAGTTACGGAATTTTAAACACAAACACCGTTTTAAAGTTATATCCTCGGATCACAAAAAGGTAAGTGTTCTATCAGCAAAACGAAAACAAATCACATAGGGATGTGTGTGAATTGTTTTCGTTTTGCTGAAAGAACGCACACCTTTTTCTGTGATCAGTGGACAGAACTTTAAAACGGTGGTTGTGTTTAAAATTCCGTAGTTTCGTTTTCTGTACTCACCCTGTATAGTTTATAGTGAGATATGTCTATACCATCTAACGTGCGGTTAGTTGAAGACAATAATTGCACGGAGTTTGTTAGAGAACCTGCCGAAAATTGTATTTTATAGCTTTAGAACTCGGAGAAAAACATGCATGGGACTTAATGCCTTCCTTATGTTTTTCCAGGCTAAGATTCCTTTTATCTTTAATGTCTTTTGCCATACTCTTTGGCGGATTTGTCACAAAATATGTTGCTCTTTGTATCTGAATTTGTACGATTACTGTACAGTGTATAGGTTTGCCTTAGCCCAGGTTGGACGACGTCTTCATTGCTGGGCTAGGTTTGCCTTATGATTTGTTTACCTTCAAAATTAGGCTCAATCCATTAATGACATGATTCATAGCCGACTCACATTGAAACGAGGAAGTCTATGTACTGTTAATGTTTCAGATACGTTGTTATGCAACAAAAGGACCTTTCTAGCTGTGAAATAGTTCTCTCTCTCTTTGCAATCTGGAACCGCATTTCACTTACCTGTATCCATTTCGCATTCCACTTCGAAAACTTCCAGTCCTCCAGGCCCGTCTGGATCCACCTCGTACGTCCCATCACCCTCGTACCCCGCGAGTCGCCACTCGTGGCAGCTTCTGTAAGCTGATAATATTGAGGAACAAACGTCACGAATTAGTATAAAATATTGTATTTAAAAACAAAACCGGAGCGAAGATAAGGCTAATTCATGAACTCACAACAACATGAAAACTGGGCTTAACAATAGTTCAGAGTAAAACAGTTAATACCGTAAATTCGAATCAATAATCCAAGGAAGAGAATCAACCAGCCAACATTGTTGGCCATCATCGCGTGTACATGGCTTAGAACTTCTCCCGTGTTGCAGAACTGTTTCTTTTCATTCCAACAGAAATGGCATAAATGGGAGCTTGTCACCCAGAGTAATGATATTTATTTGGTATAACACAACCGAAACTAAGATTTTTTTTATCTATCGTTAAATCTTGTATCACAATCGTGGCAGTATTACTTTTCTTTCGTTTAATTTCACATCTGCGGGTTCCCACCAGGAACTGTTTGCTCAATAATGCTGCAGGTTTCTACTCCGTCAAGACCGGCCCTGAACACGACCTCAAACTTGAGCTGAGCCAATTAAATATTGGAAAGTAATAACATTTCTGTTTGCCAGACTCGAGACGAAACGTGCTGTCAACCACCCCAATAATTTCCCATCGGATATACCCGAGAAACGAACGTGTCAGGAGATGTAAACGATCTGTTTAGCTGGAGTCAACAAGACAGTTCTGGCATCTGTTAGTATTTCATCTTGTCAGTGACAGACATATTTGATTTGCTTTTATCCATTCGTGTATTTAGTGCAACACCTTGTTTTGTTTAATTTTGCTTTCACTCGTTGTGCAATAGTCAATCCTTTGACGATTCCTCACCTCACGACGACATATCTGTTCCAAATTCGATTTTCCCCTATATAAATGTGCACTTAATATATAAAGTTCAAGGACAAGATGTTATATATGAAGTAAAGATCTTAATAGATTTACATCACTGATGGTGCATTATTTTGTGGTTCACATGCTTGAGAAAGTCTGTTTCAAAACAGTTGACGAGATTTCAGGTGTTCAGTATACTATTGTCCTCCCCCACATGGAACTGTTGGGACACGTCTGTCTGGAACATGATCAGAGATGGGTGGTCGCAGAACGAACTAATTCAAGCAAAATGCATCTTTCATTTTGTATCAAACTGATTTTTGTATCAAACTTGAGAAAACTGTGATAGACTTTTCAAGCAAGTTGCCACTATCAAAATGACTTCACTATTCCAAGGAAGGGTCGTCCTAAATTTTACAAGTCGCAATCTGTATAATGGCCGTTTAAAGTAAAGTATTTTAGGCCAAATGAAAAAAAAAACATGTTTAGCGTCCTGCCTTTTTGAAAATAAGGAAGGAGGAGGCCCCTTTTTCCCCTCCAAAATGGCCGCCCGACTGGGCTATTTTTCAAGATGGCCGCCAGCTTTTTTTTTAAATGGCCGCCAATTGGACTCAGGAAATGACATATCAGCTTTATATGGGCTAGATGCAACAGACAAAGAGGCCAAAATGATGTCACTGTTTAAAATTTATCAATTTTTCGTTTTTAAAAAAAAAGAGAAAATAATAGAAAATTAGGAGGGAGCTTCCAAAGAGGAAGCGGGCGGGGACGCTAAACATGTTTTTTTTTTTTTTTTTTTTTAAGATTTGGCCTTATTAAAAATTTTTTTTTTATTTCTTTCATAGAATGGTTACTTACAAGATGGTAATTCCTTCACTGACTCGTTGCTCATCCATACAAGATTCCAGCAGTAGTGGTTCGGCTCCGCCCACGACCGTTCAACCGTCCAATCAGCGGTCGTCACGCGTGCCTTCCGTCTAATCTCCATGAATCTTTCCCCTCTTTTGTTGCAGCTTGCCCAATCAGATGCTACCATTTCTTCAGTCATTCATTTACCTGTGCGCAAAGCTTATAGGCCTATACCGCATCGCACAGCTAGCATTAGTCGCCCTATACGGCAGCATCGCAATATGGGCGAGTTCGGTCTTTGCAGGCAAAGCTGTAAAACTTCATCTATCATTCAGCCTCAACGGGACAACGCTGGTCTCAAATTTAGCAAGCCAATAAGAGATATTCCTGTAGCGAGACCATCATTGTATGCCAGTGCGTGCGGTGTGAAAACGTGCTCTCGCTTTGCAGCAAACAGTAAACAACAACAAAACAACAACCGGCATGAGTAACAGGAAATAACCTGTGATTCTTACAGAAATACTCAATCAAATTACCTATTCCTTGGCATCTGAGTGGTCCAATTTTATACCCAGACCGTCGATTGCCACCAGTCACTTCGATAAATTGTATCCCCATCACGGGTAACTTCGCTTTCTCTGTAAGCTTACCCTCGCATAAGCATTTCAATTCACCCGATAGGCACATGTTATCTGAAAACAGAAAATTAATTATTAAGGAAAAATAAAATTCATATCACGGTATCGTGTGTACTTGTTGTTTTTCCCCATACCAATTATTATCAAAAGAAAAAAAGCATTCAAATTCAGCCACAGGGATTGGTACGCCTGCATAGGCATAACCCATATATCCTTCGCTTTTGAATCAAGGCGATCGTTCTCCTTTGTCGGGTATCCGTTCGATATGTTTTCCGGATACCCGTTCCAAACTGATCATAATTATACAGCGTTAATGCACATTCTACGTCACCTCCATTACGTAACTCCGAGACATGAGATAGCGCTTGCCGCCCAGCAGATCATTGTGCTTGAAACCCAGCCGAGGATCAGACGGACGTAATTGGTCCAGCGCGAATTTCAATTGTATACTTAGCACACGCTGTGTTACATACCATGACTGAAGCCTGTGTCGACAGCGTGTTGGAGTTGGATACCTTGTCTGCTATGTCAGACTTTTCTCTGCATGCCACACCTACTAGAGGTGAGAGAAGCCAACCTACTATGGAGAAATCTCCGGACAGTCACACAGTGCCACCCGCTGTTAAACAACAAGGTGGTAAAGGCAAAGGCAAGGGTACTGCAAAAGGTAAAAAACCTGCACCTAAAAGGACTCGAGGATCGCGGGCAAATGCCTCAGATTCATTATCTACTCAGCAAGGCGATAATTCGCTTAATAATGCTGAGATGTGGCAGAATTTAAATGATTCCTTTATGGCTAAAACATGCAACAAGGTTTTTCCCAAATAGCGGGTGCTATGACAGCTCATATTGCGGGGTTAAATAACCCAAAACGCAACTAGCTAAAACCGAAAGCGGTAATCATGTGGGGAAAAAAAGTAAAATTGCAGGAAAGTAGTGCTGAAGAAAATTCTGACGCACAAATCGATGATTTACTGATTTCTGCCAATGAATCATCAGATGAAACTGATTTTCTAGGGGACATTCAGCAGGAGTATGAGGCTGAGGACAACACTGGACCAAAGGTTAAGGACAAACTGGCAACACTAGTGGACAGAATTTTGAAATCAAAAGTTTCTGATGAAAAACTAACAACAAAGCAGAACTCATACCCTCGCCCAAAAAATTGTGAAAATATCACAAAAACTGTTGTTAACCCAGAAATCTGGTCGCAACTAAAACCCAGTACAAGATCAATGGACATCAAATGTCAAAAAGTGCAAGGATTACTGATAACATCCTTTGTACCACTTGTACAGCTAACTGACAAACTCTTGACTAAAGAAAATTCTAAGGAAGAGGTTAAACTTGCAATTGATGCAATGACATTGGTAGCACATGCCAATTTTGAGTTGAATAATCGCCGAAGAGAATTGATTAAGCCAGATCTGAATTCACAGTACAGGCAATTATGCACCCAAAGCATTCCCCAAACCAAACAACTGTTCGGCGATGACTTGCCCAAGAAGGTGCAACACATCAGTGCAACTAACAAAGTTGGAAATAACATTGGAAGATTGAATGCACAACATGGCTTCAACAAAGCAGCATTTACATGGCCGCCCCGTAGAGGGCAATATTCTCACTACTTTGCTGCAGGACGTGGCTCCTCGTCAAAAAACTGGCGTGGCAGCAGCCATTACAATGCAAATTACCAAAGGGGCAACTACTCATCCCTACGAGGCAAGAAAGGCCAAGGATACCGCATGTAAATGTCATTAAATGCAAGGAATGAGCTGACATGGTGGATTGAAAATATCGAATCAAAACAAGCTTTTAAATGCTTAAATATACATTCCCAGCCAAATGTAATTGTATCATCTGATGCATCTCAAGTAGGATGGGGTGCAGAATACAATGGGGAAGCTACTGGGGGGCATTGGACCCCGCAAGAATTACGAAATCACATAAATGTCTTAGAACTACTTGCTGGATTTTTGGCTTTAAAGTCATTTTGCTCGAAATTGGAGCAAGCACATGTCTGATTACAACTGGACAATGTAACGGCAGTGACTTACATAAATAATATGGGTGGAATTCACTCTAAGTCTTGCAATGATCTCGCAAAAGAGATGTGGCTTTGGTGTTTTACCAGAAATATCTGGCTGTCAGCATCACACATACCCGGCAAATCCAACGTGCAAGCCGACATGGAGTCCAGGCGCACGAATGTCGATATCGAGTGGATGCTTAAGCCGCATTTGTTTCGGCAATTGACAAAAATATTTTTCACACCAGATATGGACTTATTTGCCTCAAGATTAAATTATCAGTTGAAGCCCTATGTTTCTTGGAAACCAGACCCTGAATTGATGCGTTTTTATTACCGTGGAATAATTCCCGTTTTTATGCTTTTCCTCCATTCAGTCTGATAGGCCGTGTACTTCAGAAGGTACAACAGGACCAAGCGGATGGATTGCTTGCAGTCCCGAATTGGCCAACTCAACACTGGTTTCCGAATGTGATGAGTATGTTGGTGGCACAACCGGTGCTGATACAACCATACAGGGCACCACTTTATTTACCGCAAGACCAGGCGGCAGTACACCCCCTACATCAGAAGATGTCCCTTCTGGTATGCCACTTGTGCGGAGACGTCTCCAAAGCTCAGGCATTTCGGACCGCTCTGCAGAAGTCATCCTGTCCTCTTGGCGGCCAGGAACGCAGAAACAGTATCGAACATACTTACTCAAGTGGCAATTATACTGTAGTAAAAGAAACATTAATCCAATATGCCATCTATAAGCGAGGCTCTAGATTTTTTAACCGAATTATTTGAAGCAGGGTTAAGTTATAGTGCTATTAACACCGCCAGATCGGCAATAGCCACTATTGTTGAGTTTCCTAATGGAATATCATTTGGTAGTCACTCATTAACTTGTAGGTTTATGAGAGGAGTATTTGTAAAGAGACCCTCCTTTCCTAGATATCGAACAATCTGGGATGTAAGCATTTGTCTTACGATATTTTGATTCATTGGATATCAATTCAAAATTGTCACTGATGTATCTATGTAAAAAAGTAGTAACGTTGTTAGCATTGTTATCAGTTCAGAGAGTGCAGACTTTGTATCTACTGACACTCAGTGAGAGTAATCTAACAGCCAATGAGTGTCGTATTTCAGTTCACAAACTACTGAAACAAACACGCCCAGGAGTGCATTTGTCAGATATTATTTTGCCTGCGTTTCCTTCTAATAAGAAGCTTTGTGTGGTTGAAGCACTGAACGAATACTTATCTCGCACTTCTACACTGCGAGGAAATCAATGTAGTGTTTTTATTAGTTACAGAAAGCCGTATAAGGCTGTTTCTAGAGATACCATCAGTCGATGGATTAAAAATGCGTTAAATGACGCGGGCATTGATGCTTCTGTCTTCAAAGCACACAGTGTACGAGCAGCCTCAACATCAGCAGCCAGTAATTGTGGTGCTCCCATTCAGACCATACTGGCCACGGCAGGCTGGTCTGGATCTGCAACTTTCGCTCGGTTTTACAACAAACCAATAGAGAAACTTGCTGCATTTTCAACAAAACTTCAGGAAAGTTTATCTTAAGACTTTACAGACTTACAATTTACTTCCTTTATTTGTATATGGAACAAAACGGTCTGTATTATAATATTTTTTATATATTTTGCAGTTATGTATTGTGTGCTGTACAACAATAAATATTTATGTGCAAAGATGATCTAGCCATGGTCGTTATATCTACATGTATATTAAAGTTTCGTTTTACCTGGCTCTAAATATCTCATATGGTCTCGGAGTTACGTAATGGAGGTGACGTAGAATCATAAAATTAAACGAGTATAATTACGATGTTTGATTGAGATTCTACGGACCGTAATTACGTAGCGAAAGAGATCATATGCCCTCCCTAATTGGTATCCAACCCCATTCCCTTGTTTTCTTCACAGGTAAACTCAACGTTGTGCTAAAGAATGATCTGCTGGGCGGCAAGCGCTATCTCATATGATCTCTTTCGCTACGTAATTACGGTTCCGTAGAATCTCAATCAAACATCGTAATTATACTCGTTCAATTTTAGGACTAACTCACCAGTATAATTGCATTTGCATCCCATGCCTTCAGACACTCCCCAATCCCAGACAAGGTCTCCCTGTCGCGATCGCCACTGCACCGTTACAGTCTCCTTAAAATCTTCGCTCCAGATGTCAGTTCCAAGACACTTCATTGTGAAGGACTGTTCACAAGACCTAGACGTTGCGATGAGCGATGCGAACTGCTGGATGGATGGGCTGCCCTTATCGCCACCGTACGTTAGAGTCTCGATATAAGGGTCTGTTTCACCAACTAGCCTTGGGGATTCATGATCGTGGTGTATCACAGTCAACATACCTTGTGATGTAAAGAAACAACAACAAAACAGTTTATTACAGAACGAGTTCCCGATTATTTTCATTTAAACGTCTGTTTCGAATAATTCGTATTATGTCTGCGTATCACGACTAGGTTTTTTAACACACTGAGGAACATTACTCAGTGTCTCACTGGCAAAGTGATTATTCTGGCAAGGACATCATTTGAGTCTTTTTCTTTTATAAATAAATGTACTTGCACAAATCGTAAGAAAACCGATCACTATTTACATGTACCCGGGTATACGGGTGAGTCATTCTCGCATGTTTGACGAGAATTATGCTTCGAGTTGATGGCAAACGCACGACTATATACAGCTATAGACTCGAAGTATAACAAACCTCATGAGCAATCATAAGTATACTCGGACCTACATGTTGACAGCTTGAAATCGGTCTTATACATGTGTAGGGTTTCCTGAGACAAACGTTCTAGCCCGACCATGTAACCGTCCCCATTCCGATTCCCACCATCATGACGTTATAATCATGTGTGCATCTTAATTACCAGCATCCGTCCTTTCGCAGCGGACCCAAAACATCCCCTCGCCCTGTTGAAATCCATCCGGAACTATGAGGTACTCTCCATCATCTGTGAATCCTGCAGACTGAATTTCTTCGCAATTTCTGAGGGAGACACCTAATAGCATATATATAAATTATTAACCAACAAAGGATGATGTGATAAAATCAATATTAAATTGAAATGATACAAAATTATTTAGCGTAAACGTTTTTGATAAAAACGTTACGCGCACATGCTCGTGCTGTAATGTAAATTATTACCTGTTGCTTTAAATACACTGTTGTCGACGCACCGGCAGCGCATCCAGGTAAAAATCGAGGGAGCAAAATTTGAAATCTCTAAACCCATCGGTCAGTGGGTTATTTTTTTCTGCACCAGGGGCAAGTTCGCGCAACAACCATTAGTCAACCAACTTTGGTTGGTGTCAAACAGTGCGCATGCGCTGAAACTTTAAAGCGCGAACGACTCTAGTCGAACCAATGTCAACATAATGGCGGTCACGACTATGTTTGGATTGTTTACGTTCTTTGACCTGTTGAATGAACCGGAAGATACTCTCCAAGGCCCACCAGCGAGTAGTACAACTCGCTATACGTTTATTTCGACATCTGCACTTAAGTAATGAAACGAGGGTATTGCTATAACCAGCGATGCGACCAGGCCCAGTATAGTAGGCTGGTTCCAAATAGCGTAGTCCAACCATCGTCGACTAGACAGAGTTCGGGCTAAAGGCGAACTATGGTTAACTATAGTTAACGGAACGGTTCTCGGACTCAACCTCTCTTAAGAAAATCCTCCAGATTCATGAGTCACAACAAAAATATGAAATCTACTGTATCAATCAGTAGGACTTGATTAAACCGATTTAGGAAAGAAAATTCACTTTCGGTGGAAAAAATCAGGTATAAAAATGTCTGGGACTCGAACCCAACATAATACAGTACCGACCAGTAATCTTGCATAGACGGCATATCAGTGCATGCTGCCACGATCTCCGACGGATATCTAAAACGTTATTTCAAATCACATGACATTATCAATCGCACCCTTCTGATGATCTCGATAATGCAACGACGCTCCCAACAACCCCCCCCCCCAAAATTTCAAAGGCTATAGTCGAGACAAATTGCGCTAAATGTAATAAATGTGCACTTTTAGCTAAATCCGCGACAAAATCATCAACATCATTATTTTGTTCGGCAAAGGCGGCGGAATGTTTCTGAAAGCGGAGGGGCTCAGTACATAATAATGCTTTTCCAATCACCAAAATATTAATGTATAATGTTGAAAATGTAAAAAGCCATTAAAATCGTCATATAGGCATTACTTTCTGGCCTAAGTGGCTTCACCGTGGCTGAATCACGGGCTGATTCGGCCATGGTGAAGCCCGCCGCGATTCAGCACCGCGAAATTTGGTGCCGGTACCCCGAAGCACACGGTAACATTATTTTTTTTTCACTCGTGCGGAAACGAGTTCACCCTCGTGCGCACGGGACGAATGAGCAATTTCATTCTGTGTCCCCCCCCAAAAAAAAACACCCACTTTGGCCAGAAGTAATGCCTACGACAATTTTAGTGGCTTTTCTAAAGAAAAAAAGCGACAAATCCTGGATAAATTGAGAGAAAATAACCCGAATATTTGGACCCCTGTACACTTTCCATGCATGGACAGCTTTCGGTTCTTGCTGCCATAATTATGAAGTTATTAATAAAAAGGTCCATTAAATAGTATTATGACTCTATTATCTCAAGCTTCTTCAAACGATCGCCACCCTCTGAAATGGGTCAGAAATGCGTGGCCTATCCAGTCATTAATACGTCTGCATTATGGCTCAAAAATGCCCCGGTGAAAATGGCATCGAGTTGATTGAAGTTCTTTAGGCCTAGTGTTTCGGTAATTATCCCTGAAAATTTCAAAGCATGTGCCCTATATACCCAAACTATATGGGAGATGATTTTTAGCTATAACTGACTACCCCCCCCCCCTGCATGTTTCCAGTTGAAAATCACGAAAAGATACGTGTACACATAACCAGACCCGTATATGTACAAGTTATCAGTAAGTTGATTCGTACCACCAAAGATCCTATAGACTATTATCATGTTGAGGCCATCTTGATTTTTTCCCCATTCAATAAGCGTAACCAAAGCGAGGCGAGAAGGAAAAATAGTCTGGATCATTTTTGAACAAAAAACATTATCGTTCAGTACTGTTATTGGATGCAGGGAACATGACTGAAATGGTGGCAGCATGATAAAGGTCTACAGCGCGCGCCGTTGGCGCACCCACGCTTACCTGAGCATGGTCGGCTTGCTATGAGGACAACACAGAGCCACACTTTGGTCCGGATCTCATCCATCATTGTGCTCACTCGTCATCAAGATTGTTCTGACTGATCCAGATCCAGCGCGACAAAATTCAACCAGTTTTGTACCCCATACCCGATCAATAATATTGAGGGCATTACAGTTGGTCAAACATGAGACCTGTATGATGTAGGGCCTAGGCATGGGCGTCGCGAGGGGGGGGGGGCAAGGGGGGCACTTGCCCCCCCCCCCTGGAAAAGCCACAAAACAAAAAAAAGGAAGAAAAAAAAAAAAAAAAAAAAAAGAGGCGCGAAGACAAAGTGGTGTAAATTTAATGAGTTGGGGGGGGGCAAAATGTCCCTGCCCCCCTCTAGAACTGATAAATCGAGAATGTGTTGAGAAATACAAGCATTTTTGGGCAAAATTTTATTTTGCCCCCCTCTAGAAAAAATCCTGGCGACGCCCATGGGCCTAGGCCCATCGAGCCTTTTGCGAAGCAAATGTGACCTTCTCGTTCATTTTAGTTGACACAGGCTCTCCCCCCCCCCAAAAAAGGGAAAATAATAATTGTATCATGAAACGAAAGTAAATTAGGGTCTATAACCTTTCGTGGGGTATCGATTTCTATTTGATACGATAGGCCTACTTTAGAAACTTTGGACCCGATGGTATGGACTATGGCATCAAACATACGGGGCATATGCGCCACTGAATGCATTTTCCTATTTGCAAATCGTGTGGGAGGAATACGTATAGCTGGCCAGATGCCACGCTATTACAAAAAGTTGTATGGGTCGTTATATGCGATTAAGTGTGAAACTATCAGAACATTTTTTAAAGTTAGTGTCTGGTATGATCGATGAAAACGGAACTGCAACGAAGAGGTCCAAGGACAAGGTGCCATTCATATGGTAATACTAATACACAATGTAGTTTGTTTGTTTGTTTGTTTGTTTGTTTGTTTGTTTGTTTGTTTGTTTGTTGGGGGTTTTTTGGTAATTTTTTTTTCAGTCCCACGATTTTACCTTGGTGATATGTATGGGGCCTATTTTCGAGTAGTATAATAGGGGTGTAAGTGGCGCCACCATCGTCAAAATAGTCCGCCCCCCGAAAAAAAAACTCCATTTTTTTCTCTGCCGCCAAAAATGTTGGGCAACATTTTTTGAGAAAAAAATTGTGCCCAACCCAAATCCTGGGTGCGTCACTGGTTCAAATAGAAAATTCTGAGTGATAGCGAGACCACAACTTAACTGCATGGTAACTTCCATCCTCCATGGTAAGACGGAGAAAAATAAGTCCTTGTGGGGTGCATGGAATCTTTTGATCTTGGATCTTGGATACTTTGAACTCCAAATACTCCATGTTAATTGATCACTTAATAATTATTTTCCGCACATACAGTTATTTTAATTACTGAACGCCATGGTCCAGTGGTTACGGTGTTTGACTCATGTACGAAGGTGAGTGGGTTCGAACCGTACCGGGAACATGGTGTTTGTGTCCTTGGGTAAAGAGTATAAAATGGGTACGGCACCTGTTATGGTCGAGGACCGATTGAGCGCTGATATCGGCTGCCGCGTGGTCCCATGGCCTGAAACGGGGTAATAATTGTAAAGTGCTTTGAGATCGTTGATACGATGGAAAACGCTATAAGCACAATTATTATTTATTATTTATTATTACAGGTCGGATTAAAAAGTTCACTCACGAAATGTCACGTGCATGCGCTATGCACAGTGATATGCATACTGTGCTAAATCCCGGGACATACCGTTATTTCGTTTTACCGTTTTGCATTTCCTCAAAAAAAAATAGTAAACAAACCATTGACCGTTTTGTCGTTTTACAGTTTTGTAAAACGGTCAAACGGTATTAAGATAAATACGGTTTCTCTGTTTTATAAGTTTAATAAAATTCATTACAGCATAACGATCAATGATTTTTGTTTTACAGTTTTACACAAATAACTTTGAAAAACAGCAAAACGGTCAGTATTGAATACAGACTGTTTTTTTTTTATTTCAGTGTCATAGTGAACAGTCCGTGGTGCATTTTGTGGTGCTGGGCAAGGGGGATGGAGGGGGACCATGCTTTACATGAAAAAGTGTTACCTCGGCATAATGCGTGGTGTGATGATTTCTGGCGTGACCCTGACCCCCTTCTCACGCGATTCAGTTGGTGGGGCTTAAGAGTTGCAAGCAAAAATGGCGCTGGAAAACTTCAAGGGAGGACATTACTTTTTACAATGGATACAGGATGGTAATACGTTTGAAGAAGTTGCAGATATTTGAAGGAAATTGGAGTTCATTAGTCGTGAGAACGAAATGTGAGGAGGGTAATTGGGTCCCAGGCAATGACTCGATCCCATGAGGACGCATAAACATTCCTAAGTGCATTGCTTAATTGCCGAACCTAAATAAAAAAATGGTCGACAGGACTATTGACCGTTTTTCATTGTCATGTTCTTGTAAAACAACACTCTGAAATGAAGCAACTAACCGTTTATCGCTTTCAACAATTAAGAAAAACAACAAAAAGGTCAAAAAACAGTCTGTATTCAATACTGACCGTTTTGCTGTTTTTCAAAGTTATTTGTGTAAAACTGTAAAACAAAAATCATTGATCGTTATGCTGTAATGAATTTTATTAAACTTATAAAACAGAGAAACCGTATTTATCTTAATACCGTTTGACCGTTTTACAAAACTGTAAAACGACAAAACGGTCAATGGTTTGTTTACTTTTTTTTTTGAGGAAATGCAAAACGGTAAAACGAAATAACGGTATGTCCCGGGATTATTGTGCTAGCAGACGACACTAATATGCTAGCTGCAGTCCAGTCACATGATGCAGTTTCACCAATCAACACGAGTGTTATGAAGTAGTTTGGCCGTTCTTGTTGCTATGACGTCACTTATATCATGCAGCGCATGGCATCAATGCACCCGTCGACCGCCGATGTACCGTGTTCGCTTTGAGTTTGACTTCAAAGTTGAAGTTGAAAGTTGGAGTTCAGTCTATAAAAAGCAAGTAAGTATTGAGTGAGACAAATGCTATTATCCTCAAAACTCTTTGACGGCCCTAGAGTTCTTACTCGTATCATCAACAACATTTAAGGAATTTTGAACATCACAGGTTTTCCGAATTTGTAAGAAAGTCGTTCGCATGCCTGTGTGTGGCTGTGCAGTGTACGTGTTGTGCTTTGGAAACCGTGCTTTGTAACGTTCGTCAGGCTGTAGCATGCATGTACATGTACACTGTACGTACGTACTAGTAAACGGAGCTAGCTGGCCGGCCTGTCTACCAAAGTCTACTTCTAATTCTAGTACGCCCGCCGTCATGGCTGTGCAACCCATTTAGCCGTAGATGCATTTCTATAACTAGTAATGTATGCTGTCATGATGTAGCCTTCTTCTCTTCTTCTCTTCTCTTGTTCCTTACAAGTGCAGACTTCATGGCTGAAGATAATCGCCTTGGTGCGCGTGCGTGTGGCGTTATATAGTGACACATTTAATTTATTTACTAACTCACTGTGGGAAAGATTCCTATATCTGGCCATCACTTGTCACCCTTAGTCCGAGTAACTATCTGTATCTGTATGCTACTGCACAATCGCCTATGGTGGGGCTAACTAGGACTCTACGAATCGCCTTTTTTAACATTTGGACATGGTCGGGCGATGTTAAAAAAAGGCGATTCGTCAATTGAAGGTCATGAGGAAAGAATTCCATACATGGACATCACTAATTTGTCCCTGCAGTGACCTATCACTAGTGTCAGCCATCAGAAAGTGATAACATCATAAGCATGTCCTAACAAGTCAAATTTAGCAGGGAAAGTATTGAAGCATTTACTTGACAAAACACTTACAATTTTTTTCGACCAGTCTCATAGAGTTTGTGCACAGGGTGTCAAGTGAGGTCCAGGTATGGAATTCTTTCCGGTCATGAATTTGGGACTGAGAAACATTTCCAACTTTGTTAGAAAATACTTTGAAAGTGCACTCGGCTCTCCAAAGACTTTGTAGGACAACCAAACATGCCAAAGAAGTGGTGTCTGGACACTACATGTACATTCTTTCCTATTCTTGTCATGTTGAATTTGATTTCAAAGTTTACAAAATTAACAGGCAAGTTAATAAAGCTTGCCAAGAGCTTGGAGGTTTCCTTTTTAACTAGCTGAGCCTAAGTAGCTTGGGAAAACAGGTATAGGCCTACCGCCATGTTTACGGGTAAGAAACCCCAACTCTAATGCTCATCGGAAATTCGCCAAAGCAATAGTTGGGTGTGGACATCCAGGAAATTTTACATTGGCTTATCTAGCTCCCAGACCTATGTTCTTGAAACTCAATGGTTCTTGAGTGCTGAATAGTAACACATAGCAACCGATGAAAATTGGTGTGCAGTGCAAATGAATAGGCCTAGATGTTTTCATCGGATGACGTCAGCCCGCCCCACTGTTCACATGATTGATTTGCAAATTATATGATGACCATTAGACCTGGGGTTTTCCAAGGTAGTTTTTAACAACCCATGAACAGATCTAGTCCAAGTAACTTACCTGGATCCTACTTATCGCCTTTTTAACATCTGTGGCAATCATTTCCAAATGTTTAAAAAAGTAATAGGGTCCAAGCATGGAGGTAGACTGGTGGTGGCTTATTAAGCAAAACTTCTGTTATCTTTGTTGGTAAGGCCATGGAGGATTCCTCCTTGGTAAGGCCAAGATTCTACTTGGCCAGATCATGGAGGAATAGAATTCCTCCATGGCCAGATACACTTGTAAATAATTGGACTGCCTTCGTGGTTGCTTTCAAGGTATATTTGGCATCTTTATTTCTCTAAATTTCGTCAGATTCTTTTTTGCTTACACTAAGTTACAGCTACCATTTTTGTTGACAACAGTGCGTGTGATCGCTATGCTCTGTTGACTGGTTGAAGACTGATTGAGCGAGAACCAACAAAATGATGTTGATACCATAAAATGCCCAGATGCAATGATAAAAAACAATAGGGCATAGTCATCTGAGTACTTTTCCGAAAGAATGCAATACAATGATTTGTATTTACTACTTGGAAAGCCCGATATACATGATAATGATTTATGTACAGAGGCTGCAGACAATTGCATACCACTTTTTAGTATCGCCTCAAGTAAGCAATATTCAGACTTCGTCCCTAACTATGTTTTAATAAACCAAGCAGGGATTTTCTTCAAGTTTAAACAGAGTTGCAGGTATGTGACATTGCATGTAATCTTTTAATTCGTTAGGAAATATGAATGAAAATAGTTCTTCACAGGATTACACGTTTACAATTATCAACGCCAACAATCTGTGAATTGTACACCAATTTAGCTCATCTTGCAAAATCAGTTACATGCATCACACAGTTGGCAAAGCCACCTTTGACATGGAAATATGCAAATTTTATATGAGTATTACATGTGTACCCATAGATGTGATACTTGTGAGGTGTTAAAAACCCATATAGGTACATGTACTGGTACATTGTACATGTTACTTGCCTAATTCAGTTTTAACACCATTCAATGCAAATTTCTTTGAAATTACAGAAGATATCATTTTTTACACAATAAGTTAGAACTCTTTGATATCCACCCAAAACTCCCTGCCTATCCTCCACTTAATGACTAAGTCTGACTCCTAAACAAACGCCTGCACATATCCATACTGTACATCTCCAGTTCCCTCAGTCATAGCTAAGGTTCCATGAGCAATAAAGGTCAAGTGGTGTATTAGCATAATAGAAAGCTGAACAAAGACATTGATGGCATGCAATCAGAACAAAACAAAGCCAACAATCACTTCGTATTTTTCTTGTTCGCACCATGAATGTAAACAACGCAATTGAACTTTGGCCCACACTGTGACAACTGAAAATACTCAGTTGCATTATGTATCAGAACAATTTGTGCTGAGTGTATAGACAGTACAGAATCTTGTTTCCTGTGTTATGTATTCGTTTGCTCAGTTAGTTTTGACATTTTTTTTCAAAAGGCCTGGCCAGCCACAAAAACACATCATGTTTACATCATCATTTGGATAGTTTCATTCACAAAAGCAAAGTTATGGAATTTATACTGATTATGCAATTTATACTGTGTCTTCAAACATGCGAATGGCTGACACTGACTGTTCATTTTGGAATATTCTCGTAGTTGTATTTCATTGAGATCATCAGGAAAGTGAACAAATTTATCTGTTGATTCACATTCTGCACTTTGTTCGCTTGCTGTCACCCATTGCTCAGTGATGATGATGAATGCAGGAGCAGAGTCAATTAAAGTGCGGAGCCAGAACAAAATTCAGCAAATATAAATAAGAAATTGCTGACTTCCTTTGTACATCAGAGATTCTCATTGAAATTCAGCGGGGAGTACCCGGTTGCCATGATTACCATCTAGAGGTCCTGGTGATACAGCTCTAATTGATTTTTACACTTCTGCTTTTTGCTTTGTTCTTTCACAGATGAAAGACTTACAGGATGTGTCAGCCAAGTAGAGCCAACACACTCCACATGTAGAAGAAGCTGCCTTTGTTAATAATCCATAAACATCAAGTGGCAGTGTTCAAAGGAAAGTTACATCATTAACAGAACTCAAGGGAGCCATCATGGATCTGAAATAGTCCAATTCAAGGAGTTTGACGCAAGCAATTATGGCAAGGACCCATTAGTAGTCATCAACGGCTTCTCTCAGGCCTGCGCTAAGGTTGAAAACAGTCCACCATGAGATGAGGAGTGAAGCCTGTAAGCAAGAAGTGAGCATCAGTGGCTGATGAGCAACCCTTGTTGCGGGACACTGACCAAGATGAAGAGTGTACAACTGAGTGCAGACTTACCACCAGCCGACTCGCACATAATGTTGACCTACAACAGTCTCCCAGCCAGGCCACACCGAGCCATGCCCAGGAACAAGACAGGAATTTATTTGGGCAGTGTAAGTCTTGTTATTTTTCCTTTTGCCATGTACTTTACACTGTGAAAATTGGCATAATATCTGTCATGTGTGAACACAAGACAAACCTGTTTTGATAACAGTCCAGGTTTTCCTGATGAAGGTGGGTGTAGCGTTTCAGATTCTAAATCACCAAACATTTTTGTTAAAAGCTCCGATACTCTGGAAATACAATTTGTGAAGCGACTTCCGCTAATTAGAAACATGTTCTTGTAAAAGAAGTAGAAGACTTAGTCCATGTAAACTCCCTTATCATGAAATAACACTCTTTGTGACATGTAGAAAATGACTGAGTTACTGTGAATATGTTATTCTACAATTAAGACTTTCACACACAATTTGAAAATGATCATTTTCTGAAGGGTTTTCAGGTTCCAGATTTGTTTGTCTCAATTAATAAAAGTAAAGTTTTGTTTTAAAATTCTAATGTTGGAGAGCAATGCTTACATTTTCAAGTCGCTGAAGGAAAGAAGTAGAATTATCTAAACATATCTCAAAGTCACCTTAGCCTGTGGCTTTTGGTAAACATCATCATGGCAACAGCACATAAGCCTCCATAGTGTTTGACTTGCCACAGTGTTAAGCTTATGTCAATATTTTGGTGGCATAAACCTGTGGTACAAAATAGAGAGGTATTGATTCTGGTCCAATTTCACAGTTATAGGCAGCAACAGAGTGTATTGGCAAACAGGTGGTTTATTTATTCAATTGCAGGATTAGCCCACAAATAGTATACAAACAGGAATATTCTACATGTCCTGTCCCATTGAAATTTGAAATTTATTTCCCATGTGTTTATATAACTTTCTTTTCTCCAATCGTGATTCACAATTATTACCCTAGTATTATAATCATTGGTTTATTCGGTTAATTGTATTTATTTACTTTGTGGTCATCCTTTTTATTTTTAGGATGCTCCTCCAAATTCTCCACGTACATACCACTCAGTCCCACCTTTGGCCAAGCCACGTGGTACATTATTCAGGCCACGTACACCCACCGATAATAAAAGAAGACGGGTAAGCCTGTGAATGAATCATTTTGCTTATATTCTCAAATTTTTAATTGAAATGGAATGTAAAGATCAGTTACATACTTTAGCAGCTAAATTTTGCTTAGTACCAGTACTTGGTGCTATTCAGTCTTTATTTTTCTTGGAGAGAATTCTATCTAGTTCATATTGTTTTTCTTGTACATGTAGACACACATGAACTCATACCTTTTGGGGGTTGTCATTCATCAGTCAAATAGAAATTCAGAGAAAAGAATATTAAGTTCATGTAGCTGATGCATGAAGAGTTGAAAATGTAGAATTTTTTGTGTGTGTGACTGTCTCACATTCGTCAATTACAAACACGTACACATTCATTTCACTGTTGATTCGAACTTCAGATACAAATTTTATTTTGACCTTTCTTGCCTATAGTTACGAATACACTAAACAGCTCACAGATAATGACGCATGTGTACGTGCAGACCTTGGTCTCTGATTAAGCTCAGAGGCGGTCTTATTTTTCCTGAGTAATGAGGACACAAGGAGCAGGGACCTTCAAACTCTATGTGTTGTTTTTTTTCCAACCAGATTCCTTTTAGCTATGCCAGTGTATGTGCTCTATGGTTTGACGTAAGCAAAAGGACAAAATTGCATTCATGCATAGGAGTTACTCTGATACGCTTGGGGTTATGTAGTTTGGAGGGTGGATCAATATGTCCTTGTTAAAGAAATTCTATTGAACAGTGTTTCTTATTGTTGACATTTGTTTAGGGCGCATCATAGATCACCAGCTCACGGTATTAATGGCTCAGTGTCTTGATGCTACAGACGTGTCTTGGTTATATTGTTATACAGACATATGAGGCATTTTTTTGGTACTCTGTCTTTTTGGCACAGTGTTCGTGACATGGACATGTACCGGGTATCATCCAATTAAGAACAAGAAAAGGCTAATGAAACGACCAATCCATTTAGTGTAGTGGTATGATTATGACAAAAGCAGGCCTTTTCAGTTGAATGCCAGGTCTAGAGGAAGGCCTCTTGGTGCTTAGTAATACATGAGCAGTTGTCATCGATTTCAGTTTGGAATATCAAAACAGGTCCAACAGATGAAGTTAGTGTAGTTGTTTGATTAACAACAACAGGCTTACACAGTACCAGGGCAGGCAGACCTAGAGCAGGGAGAATCACACCTTTTACCGCAGGTTAGCGTCAAGCCAGTGCTGTTGACTGACGATCCTGATTGTCTTTCCACCTCCCTCCTTTACATCTACAACCACCCCTGTCCTGCCCCCATGGCCCTTCCTTACACTCCTCCCATGATCCTACGCTTGCCCATCCTTCGTCCCAAACAGCAGCAGCGAGTAGAGGCCCTCCGGATCCGAGAAGAGCCACGAGGATTCCATCCCCAACCAGTCAGGGTAAGTTCTTTGAGTTTGCCATGACCACCTTTGTATAAAAGCTGTTTAGATATGGTGACCATTACAGTTGTTTTCTCTTATGAACTGTCCTTGCTTTTTTAAATTTTTTATCCTGAGAAATTGATTATTTTACTCATTAGTTTCTTTAACAATACAATAGTTAGTCTCTTTTGAATGATATGTCTAGACTGTACGACATCCACTTATCATCCATTCTTGTGGTCCACATATGGGCAAAACATGAAAATCCCTTCATCCCGCAAAAATAGACTGCACATGTTTGCATAAATTAGCAACAAAAATAATCGTTGAATTTTCATTCTTTCGACAAACCAGATGTCACGTAAGCGAAAGCATTCAGCAGCACCTTCTGATTCAGCCAATAAGATGCACTCTAATACAGTCTTCGCCATCAGTCAAGTTTTGCTGGACTGATTTCATTTTTTTTTTCTCTCATCTGTACACATATTTTGATGCCAATAATAATCGAAATTGAACATACAGGTAGGATTACTATTACAGCACATGGCCTATTTAAGAATGACTTTCAGAACTTTGATTAGTCTTCCCATTCAGAAGTCACATGAATGTGGTGCAGATGTAAACAAAATGTATTAAGCTGAGCCATTTGAGGGGTTTGTACAGAAACACCAGCTTCATGGTTGTATGACAGAGAATGGATTTTGCGTATGAACTTACAGATATTTGAGAGTTGGCTGTCATTCTGATCTTTGCATAAATACACATAATTAATTGTTATCATTATGAATTTATTCAGTATTTGTTGGTTCACAGCATTTACATATTCATTTGTCAAGTTCATGTCAAATATACCGTCGAAACCTATTATTCAGAGAGCAAGTCCAAAAAATGTTGAAATTGTGTAACTTTTACCATAATTGCATAATTAATGAGCATACGTACATACATTTTACAAATGTGTGGTGCTATGAATCTAAATTTGCTTGCACAATAAACATGTATAATATATATGTTACTCTGTATCCAGACCAGTTTTTGTTGAAATGCATTACTCCATGAATGGGATCTGAAGGAAAATTGGTTGTATCGACCCTGCCCCCAGCTAGGGGTGGGGGTGAACTTACCACGTGACCTTTGCATGAATGTGCAATGTGAGGATGTGGGATAAGTTAGAATATGTGTAATCGTCACTCTAAACAACATTTCATCTTCTGCCCACAAGTGGACCACACACACACACAAAATTCTGATGGGGTATGTAAGGCATGGCCTATATCATACCAAAACATGGCCTGCGTTTTGTTGTGGAATAATTACTTAAGAAATTTTGAAATATTGTGGCCCAACAATAGGCCTAATTCAGTTGTCACAGGTTAGACTGGTTCCTGTCCCCTATCAGAATTGATAATGTTGGGACTGGGCACCAGTCTACTCGTTGGAGAGATCTGTTTGTGCACAAAACAACCCAAATAAACAGCCTTTATGCTTGGCCCAGAGGACAAGCCTTGTGTCCTCTTTGTACATATCTCACTGACTGACTGACTTTTACTTGTGAGTTACATTAATTGATCAAATTGGTGTGGGACCAGCCAGACTTGTAATTGAGTCCTCAAACCTAATGAGTCTGAGTCAGAGTCTCAAGTCATGTGGGTTGAGTCCAAATCTGAGTTATAGGCCGTAAGCCATGAATGTTGAGTCTGAGTCACTTTAAAAAAATAATAAACACAACAGACGCAAAAAAACTCATGAGTGGACAAGTAAAATACATGGCCAAATCTTTCTTTTACGGGCCTATATGCACAGAGAGAGTGGGATAATGGCTGCATGGTGTGTATGGAGTTGTTATGGTTGTGATTTGAGTCACGTGTCATACATCTCTGGGACCAGCTGTACGATGCTTACCTAGTCTTGTGTTGCAAACTCTCAAAATAAGGAAACAAAAATCAACTTTGTTGAAGAGCATGGACATTGGACAGTGCATCTTTAACCCTAACCTTACCAACTCCATCGAAATGTATCCCCCTATTTGGGGGATTTTGGCAGATAATTAGCCATGTCTACCAAGTCCATCGAAATCCACCAGCAACAGTGATGGATTTCAACGGATTTGGTCCTGAAGCATTATGTGAAGTAGAGTGAGTGATGGATTGTGATGGACATGGTCTTCTACTTAGTAAAACGAAGTGTGGAGTAAGGGTCATTTCTTTTGAGATCATTCAGATAAAAACAAACATGGGGGGTGGGAGGAGGAAAGGGTTTTAACCTTGTGACATTCACTTTTGAATTATTTGCCATGATGTAGAAAGCCAAACCCAAAGTCAAGCAGGATGAGACCCAGTCACTGCCAGGCAACACAAACAATGACCAGGCACCGGTTTTAAGGTATGTTAAAAAAGGTTGGTGTCCATAGGGGTTGGTTCATGCATCTATAGTGAAGCAAATTTGTATGTGTTATGGCCAGTGTCGCTATTAAACTAAATGTTTCAAGTTCATGAAATTGCAAAGTTGCATGATTTTGCGTAAAGCATGAAAGAATCCAAAGAGATTGTTGTATTTGATTATACTGAGCACAGACTGAATTGAAAAACAAAAACAGATTTATTTTACCACTGATTTCCCATATCTACCATTTCAACAATAAAACTGCAAGATCTGGTTTCATTGGATGTTTGCCGTCAACTATTTTGCTACAGAATCTTAAAAAAAAAACCATAGCTGTACATTATGCTTGAAATTATGTACAACGTCTTTGATTATGCAGGAAGTCGGCCAGGAATTTTGTAGCGGCAGCCAACAGCGGGGTGACCCACCTGGAAGACCTGGGCCTAGAGGAGCTGAGTTTGCGCTCTGTCAGCACAGGTAGAGAGTCCAGTATTCCACCTTCTATCATTGAAGATATCCAGAATACCAACAAGAGAATGGTGGGCCTGCAGGAATGCTACAGTAAAATCTGCAAGGTAATATTCAGAACAGTCACTTGTCTAGTTCCCATACTCATAGCATCTTCATTGTGTGTGACAAGGTCAGTGTTTAGCGCCTGTCCATTTGTTTGAATGATAATACCGGTATGTTTTGTGTTCAGGTTTTGCTCTGATTACTTGAATCTGTATTGGGGAAGTCAAATCAATAAAAAATAATAATAATATGACAGCCAAATGATAATAGCCTTTGGTCGTCTTGTTACATGTAATGTTGTGTCCGGGAGATGTAAATTGTTGATATTGGGTTATTCCTCCGTATACACAGCCTTTGTATTGGCAACTACATGTAGGCAGTCTCTTTGTTTTTGTGAACATTTTGTACCGTTAGGATTGATCTAAATTTGAGTTTTTACAAACAAAGTTGAAATGGATTCTTCTGAAGTTTTCTTCTTGTTGATTTTATGCGCAGGGTAATTTGTCCAGTTTACAGAGTCTTCTGCCAGCTAGGAAAACTACAGGTGGAAGAACAAAGACCATAGCAACACCATTAACAATCAGGTACAGTAGAAACATGGACAAGTGCAAGAACAATATGAATGAAAACAGGACTTGCATAAGTGTGATTTGAAGCTTTTGCATGATTGGTGCAATGAATACAAGAATGAGGTATCTGGATGACACCATGTGACAGTCTTTTTTTGGTACGGAGATTCTTTTTCTTAAAAATGTGGTCCTGAAGGTTTTTCAAAACCAGAAAAAAATGTTAAACATGGGCATTTGTAAGCAGGAACATGGTAATTTCTTTCTACCAAATATACGTGTCTGCCAACACCCTGTACAGAAAGCACGCTCACAAGTGATTCTTTGAGAACCCATACTTCTTCATAGAAGATATAGATCAGCCTCACAATGTCATCTGCAAATCTTATTGTAGGTATGATTATAGTCATTCACATTCCATAAATATCACTGAGGACAGACAATTGGGGTATTAGTGCACCCCTTTTTAATTCTTTGGTTCTCATGTCTGACCAACAAAATGTTCATGCAAAGTGAATTTGATGTCACAAAACTTGGTTTCGAAATTTGCTGGAAATTTGTACAGGGTGTTGGCACACACGTATATTTGGTAGAAAGAAATTACCATGTTCCTGCTTACACAATTAAATTGTGTTCAACTTTTGTGAATTTGCAGCATGAATACTTGCCATAATTCAGAATTGTTCTTGGAATTTGTTTTTTAAATACTTAGAAAAGATATATTTAAAAATTCATAGAAAATTGGTGTTAATTTTAGTGATCCTTTATCAATGAAGGTGTAGAATTACCAAGTTGGTTAAGTTTTTAAAAGAGAAATTAGCGAGTACATTTTTTTTTTAAATTGAGTAAATTTCCATGTGTTCTTCTGTTTTGCCACCGCCGTAATTGACATTTTGTGATTTGGTGGTTTTTTTTGTTCTTTTGCTTTCTCTCTTAACCAGGAGTTTCAGAAATCCACGCAGCCCACATTCAGTGGTGCAGTACAGTGACCTGAGACACAAATCAATGGGTATTGGTACATCCACCAAGCCCCTCGTACCTGCCCCATACTACTATAGCAGCAAAGGCTTGCCCAACACAACCGATGATGGAGGCAGTAAAGTTAGGCTGACTCGCTTGCCTGGTGAGTTAATATTTTAGTAGTATTATGAATTAATTTTTGGTACTGAAACTAAGTAGTCCCCAAAAGTGCCCATAGCACTAGATCGTAAGCTTGAGGAAAGCTGTAGAGAGAAGACAATGAAGAAATATTTTGGAGGTGGGAGAAAAACCACAGATATATATTGTCTGTGGAGCGATGTAATCTTCACTTCATATTTCTTGAGTTTGTCCTTCAATTCTAGTTATTGATTGTTTAAACCATGATTGGGAAGCTTTGTCCAAGGCAACAAGGTTTCAGATGTGTCAAACCAGTTATGTTTCTTTCTTCGTAAAAACCTTAAACAAGCATTAAGAAAGTAAAACTGCATTTTTTCCCCCTTTTGTATTAAAAGTTGGCTTTTTGTCAGTCTCTGTGTCTGACCGTAAGGTAGCAGGTAAGACAGACATTTTGTCTGAGCACCAACACACAGATATTGGATGTGAAGTGTTTTTCCAAGATATACACCAACCACCATGCATCTTTCTTCTCAACACTTTGCAGACTTCTGTTAGGGCATTGGGATATCCACACATCCCTTTTGTTGCTAGATGATACATGTAACCTGTGTTCATAGGAACCTTTTTAACACCTGTGTGAGAGTTGCCCTAAGGGGTCAAAGGTCAAAGCTGCCATAGTGAGTAACCTGATTTTAAATAAAATCACTTGAAACCCATAGCTTGGATGAGAGATTGAAGGCATTTTCACTCTCTCTGCAAAAGTTTCAATAGCATCACTTACTGTACCACAGCACTTTCTTGGATGCAAATTATCAAAGTTTTTAACAGGCCTTCTGTCTTTCTATTTACTGTTGCACATTTCTTTCCATGCATTTTTAATGAATGCAAATTCACCAAGGAGTATCCTTATGCTCTCATTCTCAGAATTTTAAAGTGGTAATATTTCGTTTTATGTGCACAATGCGGTTTGAGCTTCAGAGAGTCACATCTGTCGGTCTATAAGATGTCTGAAAGTGAATTTGTAGGCTTGTAGTAATGAATGGCACGAGGTATGCACAACTAATTTTCATCTGAATGCGTACAGATCCCAAACCCTCTTTGTATAGGGGCCATGCACATGGTGGTATAAGCATTCAAGTGTCTGTCATATATCTCTCCTTTTGACCGTCGCACAGAGTCCCTGTAATTTGCCTGTGATTTACCTCCCATTATCTCCACACCTGAAACTGAATATAAGAATTTATATGGCTGGAATGGATTGGAACCTGCATCCTCTAGAACACTTTACATGTGTTCTACCAACTGAGCTAGTTAGCACAATGCTGTCAGTCTCCCAATTGGTCAAATCCTTTGTTCAAGTGAAACTCATGAATTTTTCCCATTTTTGGGTTGTCCTCAAAGCCTCCAGCCGAAGCACAGAGAGAGTCTTAGCTGCCCCTGGGGTGGGAGCAATCAGTCAGTCTGCATTGAATAGACAGGCAGCCAGTCTACCTTCTGACCCACCCCAGGGTATTGAAGGAATCCCCCCACCGAGCCGGAGTAGTAACACCAAGTTTATGGACTCGGAGGACCACTATGCACACAAGGTAATCTTGTCATTTTAAGCTGAACATATGGATCATTCTATAAATTTAGGGTTAAAATGACTTAAAACTATTTCTTTAGTTGTTGGGTAGGTAGTTTGATATTCATATTCACTCTTAGAGGATGACTGCATTAACTGGTTCGCGCCGGATGATGTGTATACACGCAAAGGTTTTGCGGTTTTCGGAATGGATGACAGATAAACACGCAGGTAGTGAGGCTGGAAATATCTGTCAGCGACCTGCTCGCAGGGAGCGAGGCCGGAAATATGAGTGTGCTGCCCGAGGGTGATGGCTTCAACCCACCTGGCTTGAGGTCGAGTGAAAAGTAATCCCATGCCTCATTCTATTCTTGTCAAAATAATCCCGGCCTGAATTGGTTAAGGAGTACATCCAGAATTATAAAATCATAGATACCAGATGTAACAGGGACACGGCAGGCAGTTACACACCCATCTAGTTTTATCCAGGATGTAATTACAATAGTAGCGGTGCCACAGTCATTCGGACAGGGCCTTGGAATTGCCTGCCCTGTGGATATACTGGATATACCTCAACCTCTAATGGGTGGAAATATGCACTGGATAGCACAGCAAGAGCAAAAACTAATGTGAAGCCCCCCCCCCCCCACCCCCTCCACAGGACGGCTTCAGAGTGCCAAGTGGTACCCCTGCAGTCTCTGCAACAGACCTACACAAGATTGGCAGTTCATCAAGTGTCAATGAACACCAAAATGATGGTAAGTTAACTGCTCTTGTTTTGTTATTTAATGACCATACAGTTTGCAAAACAAAATTAAAGTGTAGACGATAGTTTGGTACGTAAAAATACAAGTGAAATAATGTGCTGATTCTCCTGTGTTATAAAAATGAATTCCCAAACAGTAAATGGCATCTACGTGTAAGTGCCAAAGAGACTGTACTGTTAGCTGTAGTTTGGAATAAAAGAATATTGTATTAATCATAATCAATAATTATTGCCATAAATTGTATGTAGAAGTACAAACAATTTCAAAAATTTACCAAAATGTGTGGTTTTGTTGAAAGGTAATAGATTTATGTTAAATTTTAACTTGTGCTGAAGTGCTTGGATATGAGGTAAAATAAATCTTTTTTATTTAACAAGGACAAAAAGCCTCATTACCAAAAGACCCCCGTCATAGTTCTGAGGTACAGCCTGCCGCTCCCCCAGTGAGCCCAGCAAGCACCCGCAAGCTCCGCACCCATGTACCAGTCAACCAGAACAACTCCCACAGTATTCCCACGGGCCTGACCAATGGCGGCTCCATCAGTGAGTCAGCCAGCGACGTGGAGGATCCCAGACCTGATCTCTGCAGTGCTAAGAGCGAGGGATCCAGCAGGAGCAGCACCATTACCCAGGGGGATAGGGTCCTTCCATCAGCTGTAGCCATTGTGGTGTCGGTGCAGGATGACAGTGGGGAGAGCCACGTGGTGGATCTGGAGGAGGAACTGGAAACAGAGTATGAAGGTAGGTGTAATGGAAGGCTATGTCTATTATAAGCATTACCCCACGTAGTTCATGGAAGACCTAGACTGTACAGTCAGTACAGATGAGGTTCAGACACTGCTTCGTAAAAGGAAAAGGTAAAAAAGTAAACATTAGTGTCTTGGTGTTCATGTACCACAAATGCCATTAAATATTACATGTTTACTTTAGGGTGCTTTAGGGTGCTGCATGCAGCAAATAAATCAATGAATAAAAGTGTCATCTTTGAAAACTGTCCCATAACACTAGGCAATGGCTGTGTGGTCAAGCCAGCATCGATTCCTTCTGGTCATAGCGTGTACATTGCCCTACTGAATCCAACTAGCTATGTTGTAAGATCGGCCTAATTTGAGCAGTGAACAGAAGCGGTACAGCAGTTACCATTGCAATTAGGACTACACGTATACATGTACAAGAGAGTGCCTTTTATTTGACCTGTACAGATTCACAGAAAAGAGTCTTAATTAGATAAGCAGGAGTACAAGGAATAGACTGAAGTTGAAATGATCATTTAAAGCTTTCGTTTCTGAGCATTTTTCCTTCTTGCGCACTTTTGTGTGACCAGCATCCCAACAACCATAAGAACAATATGGCAAGCAGTACCGGCCCAAATGAACCTCCATCCATGGCTAACAGCTGCTATCCATGAGAAGGCTTCCTCCAAAGCATGCTTGCAAACGGAAAATCAAGGGTCTGGCACTGTAGGTCTCATGCATGGCCCTGCTAGACATTATTTTGAGCAAAAGGGGAAATGCCCTTTAAGGGAAAATGATTGCTTCAGCCAAACAAAGCTGCTCCTTTATCGTAACACAAAATAGCTTGTTTATATGTATTTGCTTCTTCCATTTTCTTGTATCTGCCTTGTGTTACTCTCGTGTGGCCATTGCTGTGGACTGGCACTAGGTGATAGCAAAGATGCAGTACCCCACGGAGACTCTGAGCAGCTGATTCATGAGTGGCAAGTAAGTGTCTTTAGACTGCTTGATGTCAAAAGGCAGAAGCTGTAAGGAATGACGTTAGCACCCCCCCCCCCCCTTATGTGCTTCCCTGTGCTTTTATTGCTTTGACATACTAGAGCTACAGATCAATTGAGTGAAGGGCTGGATCCTTCTTTGCAAACATTTGTGCAGATGTTTGCTGTATGTGGCTGTAAATGCTAAAGCAGAGTGATTGATACTGCACTGTCATATTGTATTGCCCTGATGTCAAGTGTTGTTTCCTTGAAGCAGATTGGTGGATCTTTTATAAAGATCCTTCATAAGGCCCAAAAAAAAGTCTCCGGTTTCTGGTATGCGCGCGCGTCGCCGTAGCCATGTGCGTCAGCAAAATGAAAAAGTTTTTTTTTTCAATGAAAGTTGATGTCTCAAAACCGCCAAACTCACTGGTTTGACTGGAATCCTGCTGCTGCACAATTTTAACGTGTTTTTAGATGGGGTTATGATCGAGAATAAGCTTTATGTGGCCTCTCTGGACTCCCATATATTTGCACTAAGTTTAGTCGGGCACCATTTGCAGTCATCAGCCGACATTTGAGGCAAAAAAATCAGGTAAAAAAAAAAAAGCCGCGTCGCCGCACCACTTTTTCGGCAAGCTCCATACCAGAAACCGGAACCTTTTTTTTTTGGCCTAAAGGTCCATCGTTATGCACTTTTGAGTGGAAGTCAAAAAGAAATTGCTGTACATTGTCCTGCTAAGGGGCACAGCACATCGTCTTCGGCATGGAGTTCAAAAGGCTTGTATTGGCATGTCAAGAGCTTGGCCACAAGGCTGTAACCACTGTACCCTTGCGTCTTAACATTCCCCCATAACAAGACTGTCAAAATAATTAGTAACCACCCTTGCTTTGTACAAAAGAGGTTGTAAATCAGGACTAAGAGTGGATGTTCAAATCATATTTTTCATTTATCTTTAGGCATTCATCATGTACTAAATGTTCATTAAACCAGTATTTACAAAAAAAATATCATTGATTTCATTGATCTGTGTGTATATAAAACGTAACTTCTAGGAATTCAAACAGTGCCCTGCTTTGCTTTTGCCTGCTAACTTTGCACTGTCCTTCATATTCTGACTAAGCTTGTCACTAATCACATCAGGCCTCCTAGCCCTGAACCAACCCTCACTCTTTCTTATAATAGGAGGCTTCAGAGAAGAAGCAGGCAGAGTTCCAGAGGCTCCTGGAGGAACACCAAGAGATTGTCTCTCGCATTGAGGAGCTGGAGAAGGTAAAGGAACAGGGAGGAGGCGACATCCCCCAGGGTGAGGTAGAGGAGGAGGGGTAAGCAGTGCACCCTCCTCAGAGAACCCTATGGCTGTTTCACACTATCGTCTTGCCTACCCATGTAGAAATCAACACGGGTCTACTGTAAGCAGGACCAGGTACAATTGAACATTGGTTGAAATGATATACCGTTCACACTTACACCAGTTTGTACACAGGTCAGCCATAGAATTGGAGCCTCTCAAACCCTTGTCCCGTGATGAACTATACCCATATAGAGTGCCAGACCCGTGTACAAGCTTTGTTGGGTTTTTGCTCGTTTGAAAGGGGTTCCTGAAATCTCATGGTTCGGCCCCAATCCAACCCAGATATTTTGGATAGTGTGAAAGGACCTATAGTCATGGACCAACAGATGGGTACTCCAATGAGAGGTTTTTTAGGGGTAGATAAAAGATGCACATCGAAACTCCACAATTTTGATTTTTCTATTGGTATCTGAAATCTTTAATTTTAAAATTGGTCACAAATTGACCAAGACTTAATGTGTTGGGGGGGGGGGGGTTAACTGATTCCTCATTGATGTTGACGTTGAATTTAGTCTTGGCCCAGTTGACTGTAGCTCCACTTCCTTTGTAGATAGTTTGGAGACACCCTCCATTTTGGTGGAAATATACCGCCCCAGTGCTTAGTCACACATTCCTCATGGGACTTTCCCTTGGCAGACAATAAAATGACAACAGGAAGCTGGATTTGGAACTGATTATTCTGAACTTGTCTCAATAGAACCATCAGCATGTAACGATTAGAAACAGTCAGTATATTGCTGGACACTAATCATGTGTAATCATGTAGCATACCTTGCTGGGGCCAACGCTCCTCCACTGTGTTAATGTTGCAGCCTCTCTTACGCCTCCCCTGTAGTCAATTGTTGCACAAGCCACACATACAGTGTGGAGGCTTCACTTCCCCTTTCCGGCATTGGGGCTCTACGGCGGCCCGTCCAATCTGTAAGCCCCACCGGTTGCTATACCACTTGAGGCAGGGCTCCTGTTGCTGCTGTCCTTGATCTACACATCCAGTGTAGGCGCTAGTATGCCTCCTAGTGCTCCACTTCCAGTAGCCTCCCTGGATTATGTATTGGCCCAGCTTAGCTACACCACACTAACAGCACATACTATGCACTTGCACTTACATGCACTTACCAATTCAAGCACTGACCGTTACCATATACCATTCCTGCTGATACTCTTGTACCAGTGCTGAGCTGTGCACGTCCTTTTTTGATGACTCGCCGATCACAAATTTAGTTACAATATTCCGGGCATTATGTATGAACATGCCCCTTTAAACCCTCTTTTCTTTTGCATAAAAAAGAAAAGTAGTAGGAATCTGGGCCAAGAAAATAGAATACACAGTCACCATACTTGGATCAAATTTCATATGTTTTCAATTGAAATTATGGTAGGAATGGTGCAGGCAGCATACCAATCAAAAGTTTCGAAACAAAAGGATTATGTGGAAACCTTATATTGAATTGAATATTTATTGAGGTATATCAGTATTTGGTACACCCTTGTTTCCTGAAGGCTTAATGGCTAGATGTTCTTTGGGCAGCTGTCCTGTGTTCTTCAGAAAATACTTTGAACATAATAATAGGGTTTTTAAGTGCCTCTAATGACGTAGTTCTGCCTGCAATGAACCTTCAGTCAAAAGTCTGAACAAAGAATGAGTACCCACAAAAAGTCAACTAAACATTGTCTTGCTTAATTATGTTTACTTGTAATGATTGTGTTTGTCTACCTCTAATATGGATATTCATGATGCTTGTTAACAGTTTGTCTTAAATACAAAATCTTATTTGTTGCTGTAAAGGTTGTACATAACACTTTTGGCTTATTCAAATTTTTTACTAATTTTTCTGATGGATATTTGTCATAAATCAATACAGGCTGAAATAAGATTCCATTTCCTCCACAAAGCGTTTTAGTTTTTGATATATTACTACAATGCAAATTATTCTGATGAGGTATAGCCAGGTTCATGAATAAACAGTATTTAGATTTAGTAAACCTAGTTTTATTGTTACAAGTCAGTTATTTGTAATATCACAGTATTTTCCAACGGTAAACCCACAAAATCTCTCAAATCTTGCAGACCTTAAAGTTTGAGGCAGAGTTAGATGGCAGTGGTTTTGTATCTCGTGGGAAAAGCATGATGGAACCATTGAAAGAACACCCACTGAGGTACCTGGAACACATAAGGGCTATTGGGAAGGAATGTTGGGAATAATACTTGCCCAATTTCAGATATTCCAAATGAATGGACCAATTCTGCACACAAAATTACAAGCTATTTTTTAGGTGGAACCACATCCACACGCATGCTGCGGGCATTCTTAAGGATGAGGCGCGCACATTTTGTGAACCCTATTGGTCTTACAAATGTAGGAGCCCGGAGTGTGTGCTACTACATGATTGCAAGCCTGGTTCCATCTCAAGAATAGCTTGTAATTTTGTTTGCCAAATTAGTCTGTAGGCACTAATGTGCAGGCAGGTCCATCACCCCAGACAATGATGAGATTTCAGACATTGTTGTGAGAACAATGTACCTGACACAGTTTCTAGTTAATCTTTTTTTTTTTTTTTTCTTTTTGGTTTTAAATGTTCAGGTGTACACCTGGAGATTTTTATGCTTTCATATACTTTTCATTTTTTGTTGGAATTAAAGATTTTTTTTCACCGTTCAGGCATGAGATTTTCCAGACTTTTATCTGAAATCCGACTTTTTGAATCTGAGAGAATGACATTTTTAGTATAGAAAGATACGCATCTTGCAGACATTTTATCAAGTTTCAGACTTTTTTCAAAATTGACAATCTCATCCCTGCCCGTTAAAAACCTTTAAATGAGTTAAACTGACAACTCGCCGTATATATCAATTTGGATATTCATATTTTTGTCATTTCTTGTTGCCTTACTTGATTCTTGTGCCTAAGAATTTGCATGCAACTGCCGTCCAGTTGAACAAAGCTGTCATTCATATATTTTTGAGTGGAATTTAATGTTTGTGCATTATTATATGTCATTGTAAATACATGTACCTTACATGCTTATGTTTTATTTGAATCAAAACAATTATTTGATGAGTGAAAATTGTCTAAAGCCGTCCATATTCACATTGGAAGTAATGATAGTCAAGGTGTTGGTATCCATTGAATGGGCACCAGTCTTTATTTTGTTTGTTACTTTGCTAATTTGTTGATGATAAGAGTTTATATGTTCATTGTTAAGATGATGTGAACCACAGTTGAATATTGATTGGGATTGCCAGTAATCAGTAGCATTGTGTAATAAGTGTCCAAATATTCTTCTAATGATACATATTCAACTTGCATTGCATAAATTACATCTTGCCCTTTTGATAATGAAATTTTAAATTGTGATTTATTATTATCTATGCATTCAAGTTCTACATACATATGTACACATAAGAACAACTGTTTTTTGTACCTGTACAATTATGCGTACTTTTAGCAGAAGAGCAGATTGTTTGATGTCTATTAGTGTACAGTACACCATATGTACATTCTTGCTTAGTGATAGTTCTGTAAAGTTATGTTTAGAGCACTTGAATAATTAAAACAGATTCTCACATTCCCAAACTGTGGCCATTTTTTTTTGTTATTTTGGTATTCTGTCAACTGAACTGTCTGATTTTTATTTTGATTTTAATACCAATCAGCAAACCCTCACAGCCCCCACCTTCCCCCACAATTGTTGGTTTTTGTTTGCAGAATTTTGTAAAGAGGTAACCTTGAACATTGCCAATTAGTGTCAGATTGTGCCAAGTGCAGTGCTTGGCTCATCCCGTCTAAGGGTGCTGGTGACTGCAAATTTTCTTCACAAAATATTCAGATTTGTTTGCTTCCTAATCGGTGTTTGTCTGAGCACATACGCTTTCTCCCACTTCACCCTCTGTCAGACAATTCTAAAACGTTATTGTACATAGACATATTTGAACAACGCCCCCTACTGTCAGATTAAGTTCACTTAGATGGTGGGCGGGCGGCGATATTTTTTTCCATACCACACATTGGCTATGGGCGTGTATCGAAGCACGTTGAGCTGCAAGTTGGGTTCTCGGACTTTATTTTCCCTTGAAAAAAATCCTCCAAACCGAACTATTAGCAAAAGAAAAAAGATCCAAGTGACTAAAACTTTTGAAAATTTTTCTTTTGCTTATTTGTAGTTTTAGATGATTTTATTTCAAGAGAAAATAAAGTCCTAGAACCTGACTTGCATCTCAACGTGCTTCGGTATAATGCTCATAGCGGATGTGTCGTATGAAAAGAAATATCGCTGGCGGGCTCCACCGAACAAATGCTACCTCGGCCTATAAAGTACAGAAATTCTAAATGCGATGCTATGTACAATAATTGCGTATACCACAGTCCCCCCCCCCCCCTATATAAAGGCTTATAGTCACACCTGCAGAGAGGATTCCGCTGGTCCAAAGATTTCTTCGCTATCACCTTGCCACCTGTAATCCCTGCTTCTGAATACTGATAACTGTGTTGTCTGATGAGAGAACCCGGCGGAGAGAGAAGGTTGCCGAAATATCGGTCAATCCATTTCACCCTGCCTAAAGTTCAATAATCGTGGAACCTGGCCAAACTCAAACACCGTACGGCAGAGATAAACGTGTTAAACTGTTCATCCCGCCTAGGCCTATGAAGAGGGCAACCCGACTACACCCAATTAATGAGGCCGGCATAAGATACAGCTAGCAATCAATAAGTGCATTGAAAAGCCGGCATATTCTCGTGACCTCCATCCACTAAATGATTATGATCAAGAAAAACAACTACACCATTTGCAAAATATTCATTCCGATTCAAGAACAATACTAAGAGAAGCAGGTTTTTCGACATTTCAGCCCAGTATATATATTGATATATGATGATATAAACTGTGAAAATATCGCCACTCTTGACGAAGCCCTCCCTTCCAAGACGCCCTCTTGTGGTATGATCCCAGTATATCACTCTATGATGAAACGATTGCATTCCTTTTCTTGGAAACGAAAGCACGCAAGGCGCTGTTATTTCTCATGATGCTTGATCATATTACTTTACTTGCAATCAAGTACTATATTTCATAATGTATTGGCAGTTTATTTTAGTTTAGTTTGTGAATGTTGCAAAATGGTGCCCATTACCTTTTAACCATTGCCCGTGGCAGTTCAATATACCTTTCGAAACGTTCAAAACGCGATCGCCCGTAAAAAACCTAGCATGCGTGTCGTCTTAATCTGCTATATTATTTTGAAATAATATTGCATTATTTTGGAACTCATTCGACCAAAAGTCAAATTGCCGTGGATCCTGTCCGTTATCTGTTATCGATTGGATTATCTAGTGAGCGAGACAGGCTCTATACAATAAACTTCATTAGAGCCAAACACATGTCCAGTCATCCTGTAGGCATAATGACCCTATTAGGCTGAGGCGTAGCCAGCGAGGGGGGGGGGGGGGTGGTTACTTACCCCTCCCCCACTATTAAGACTGCCCTTTTTCACCAGTGTAAACCCCCCCCCCCATTTTTTTTAAAGCGTGCCCTTTTTGTTTAAGTAAGTGCCCTTCTTTTTTTTATAACAAGTGCCCTTTCTTTTCTTCTTCTTCTTCTTTTTTTTTTTTTTTTTTTTTTTTTTTAAAGAACTTGTGCCTTTTTATCACCAGTGGCTTAACGAGTGCCCTTTTTGGAATTATGCGCGGCCATCGGCACTTGTGCCGTTCTGAAAAGCGCCATCTACAGGGCGTCCTGAAAAAATGGTGCATGTAAACCGGCCTCCATTTTTGCTATTTACAACCAAATGTTTACACCATCAGCGGATGTTTACACCATCTTCAAGGTAATAGATTTAGCTTGAGAATACGGTTTGTTTCATTGAGATTGCTTTTGTAAATCCAAAGATATGTTTGAATAACGGCAAAGCCAAGAAACCCATTTTGTGCCCGTTCTGTGAAGCAGTCACGGTGAAATGAAAATCAGTATTATAGTCCTAGTCTAAAACCAAATCACTTTACTGTTAGTGATATTAACATTTTAAGCAGAGTGTGCAATATTTATTTATATTTAATTGAACTCTTTTATTGAAGTTTTAAAGAAGTGAACCTGTCTGTACTATTAAATTGTTTTAACATGAGAACAAAACCCTATATTGTCGTGTGAATAGAATGTTTGTCTTACACCCATAGGGATAATCTTATCAAAAGAGCCATACTGGCATTGTCTGATCATGGAGCTCCTCTTTGACGCACTCGCTTCCTAAAAGTGGCACAGAATGGTTTTTTTTTTTTGGCTTTGCGGTTATTCCAACATATCTCTGGATTTACAAAAGCAATCTTTATTAAACAAACGGTATTCTCAAGCTAAACCTGTAACCTTAGTAAATCTGTAACCTGGCAGTAAATTCCGGTAGTAAATTGGCGAAAATTATTTTCAGGACACCCTGTCATTGTCCGTTAGTGGCGTCCGATTTCAACAGCGCCCTCTTTGGAAGGTGGTCCCCCCGTACTGCTTGATTTTACGGAGGCTAAGACTTGTCTGGAGAAAAAAAACCTGTTACATTTCAGCACGAACTCCCCCCCCCCCCGCCCCAATAAAAATGACCTTATATCGCCTCTGTTCACTCCCCCCCCCTCCCCCCGCAAGCAGGGAAGGATTAACTGGACTTTATTCATCCTTCCCTTAGGCCTAAGTCGCCCACTTCTGCCCATCACTTTGCACCATCCTCTGTGGGCATTACTGACGGGATAATTAAGAGTGTAAGATAACTGAATTAGTTTTTCTATGAAATTGTGTTTCATGTTAAACCACGAATCCACTGGTTATTAGTAATGTTAACTTCAAGGGAAATAATTTGTTAGAACCCGCTTGTGTTATCACAATTGATAAGAAAGCTTACTGAATATTGACACGACAGATTACGAATGACCGCCAATCGCAAGCTTAATCCTAGCATCATGAGATTACTAATACAACAGTTATTATGTTTTATTGTGGTCTGTACATTACATGGTCATTGCAACCTATTGTAACTAAGGTAACAGTTTACGACCCCTTCTTGAGAAAACAATTGTCTACTGGAATTTACCATTATGTTTGCCCCCGTTTAAACGGTGGCAATGACAATATGATGCGTTACCAATCTGTCCTTCGATAAAGAAATTAAACGATAGCATAAGAAATAGGAACAATGGTAAGTACCCAGAATTAGGAAAGGGACCTACGGATTTCATGAAAGAAACCTTGCTCAAAGTGAAGTATATATAGGCCTATCGTTTGGAAGAAAACAGTCATAGAATGTGGTTTTTGAAGTGTGCCCGCCGGCACACCTTTTTTTACGTACGTTAGCAATGGAATCCAGTTGCGAGACCCACACAATTGTGCATAGGCCTATAATTATATACGTTTCTCAAAATGTATAGTAGCCTATCCATTGAGCTGAAACTTTAAAGGATGAGTTGTTATGCACCCTACACTTATCAGATTTGGAGCAATTTTGTTTCTTCGAACGAAAGCAAAATGCCCCACAACGAGTGTTCCAGCAATGACTTTGAAAACTTTGTCAGACTGATTGCATTGATCAATATTCCGCCATGTTGGATTTGTCAGGTGATCTGAGGCATGACATAATAATGTCTCATCTGAAAGTATCGCTGTCATGCTGAGGTCGACGTAAGAAAAGATTTCGCTTAGAGAATGTTCTGAAGAGTCAATTTTACGTTTTAAATTTAAGGTTGCATTCCCCGTGCTGTTTCGAGTTTCACCACGAAAAACGGATTTTTTTTATCCATTTTCCTAGCAATTCAAAAGTTATTCACTTTTGAATGGGACATCGAACAACAAAATCCACTGACAGTTATTGAATTATTTCTGTACAAAATTCAAATTATTTGCGGCACGACAATTCGGTTCTCGATGAGAAGCTCAAGTTCATTTTTAGCGCAAAATGAAAGCCCTTTCTCAGAGGGTTGCAGACTCCGCAATCGGACTAAATAAAACAAACATACATATTGAAATTTCGTTATGCGAAAAAAATCAAATTCTATTTAAGAGTACGGGGTATGCAACATTAAGTGTGTAACGTTTATAAATGTGTTTCACAAATCCGAAGTGGTCATGCTTTCTGTTAGATAAATAACCACTGATTGGTTGAGAAAATGTCTGATCCTAGACACATGATGAAAAGATGAACCAATAATAATAGCAAGCCCCTTTGATATTGCATAATAGTAAAAATGAAATGATATACTTAATACGATACTTGTATATAATAACTAAGGCCAATACATTATATTATTTACAATATCCCCAATAAAATAATTTCAAATCACTGCTGAGGGCCGAAAATTCATTTTATACGAAAAGGGTCTAATTATACTGTGCAACTATAATCACACAAAATGGACACGTTCCCGATAACACAAAAATACTACGAAATTGTGTCTTATTCGGACGACATGTCCAATGAGCCCCATAATATCTCTCCTATATATTTTTTTTTTTTAAATATCATCCATTGGTGTTCTATTTAGATTTACCGAAATCAACTTCTTGAACCAACAACGGACCATGCAAATGATTATACATTCGGAGTTCGAAAATGACAGCTATCGGTCTGGTAATTCAGAGAAATTTGAAGCAATGACCCCCCCCCCCCCTTATGGAGGGAGCCGTGAACACAACAACCTTTGATATATTTTGAGCATCGTTTAGTTCACATGAGGCGATTTTCAAAGGCAGCTAGAGGGCAATCAAAATGCACTGCAAGTAGTCTGGGATTTATTCACGAGTCGGCCGTATTAAATTAAAATCGAGGTGAAATCTTCATTTTTGGAACTTAGGAAGAGTCATTTCTCTTCCTAAGTTCCAAAAATGAAGATTTTGAATGAATGACATAAAGTATGTTACAAATTAATACCAGTCTGATGAAATACAAAAAATTTTGATTAAACATATCCTGATGTTTTAAGGCACATTTTAAATAGAAATGAAAGTGAGGCTAGAATGTTTAAATAGTCTGGTAGTCTGGTACCATCCCATTCAACAGTTCACAATTTACAAAATACATTTAGGGAACAAGACAAAAATGGCTTTCTCGTGAATTCGCTCTTTTCACACTTCCGCCATGAGCATGCACAGCCTCGATCTGGCAACTTTACACAATGACAGGGGTGTCGGGGTTCAGATCACTGAACCGGCTTTTTTATTGTGTAAAGTTGCCAGATCGAGGCTGTGCATGCCCAATGGCGGAGCGTGAAAAAAGAGCGAATAAGGTCCACAGGACCCCTCGGGGAAGAACAGAGTACAAGTACATTATTTTTTCTGCGAGTCTGGAACAAGCTTCATGTAAATTGCCTGATCGTGTGGCACGGCCCTATGAATCTTACAAATTACGTATCGCAATGAAAAGCTGGAAATATTTGTCTACACCACAGTCTCTGGTCCATCGACATTGACTGGTGGCCTTTCAACCACTACCAAATCGTAGGAGGGAATCGATTCCTTTCTCTGCTCGACCACCCCGTTACCGGCCGGCTGGTCCCCGTTCCCTTGCTCGTCTGACAGCCGGCGCTCGGTCAGTGCCACAGGCTGGTAGTCGTACTTGTCCGTCACGTTGCGTAGCTCCTTGGCGCGCTTCTCCTCGCGGCTGCGCCGACGGTTGATGGGGATTGAGGCCAAGATCATCCCTATACCGATACTGACGGCCGAGATGGCTACGATCATGGGCATACGGGCCATAATATCGGCCTCGGGCTGGTCGAAGGATAGCTTCAGCATGGAGATGGCGATCAGGTTGTTCTGCACGCCGGTCTCCACGCTAACTGTGACGGCTGACTCGTTGGGAAAACGTGCTAGGAACCTGAGTGATGACAAAATATAATCGCCATAAATAGACTACACGATTGTTGACGAACAGTAGAGGTAAGAACAGAGTAAACAAATAACTTGTCATCCTGAACATGAATTGCAATGATCTAACAATGGAGAAACCCATCGAAAAACGAATACCGTCCTTTATAGGAACTTTTCTAATGGGTCATTTAAAATCTTTCCACTGAACGATGGAGATTAGTGTATGATTCACACACCAATCTCCATTGTACAATGAAAACGTGGCGTTTTTCCTCCATCACAATGCGTCTTCCCATTATTGCCCTGCATATCCCTGGTATATGGGGTCTATGGGCATTCATCGAATCTTAACCATGTCGGTTATAGGCCTATTATAACTCTGAGAAAAGATCTGGAAATATTTTTCATCATATTAAATTAAATAGTTTCAGTCATTGAAACTGATCCCACGAACAGGTGAGAAGTTGGTCGAACTCTCTTCATGCTCTTGACTTTTTTGTTTAAACTTACTTGGCCATGATGAAGCCGATAATGAATCCACAGGTAGGATGCAGGAAGCCTCCCAATAACACAAAAGCCGGGGAGAAGATAACGTAGACGTTGGAGTACAGACCCACACCTAAGGTGAGCAGTACCAAGGTGAGGGAGAGAATGTTGAGGGATTTGATGACGTACTCAGCTATCTTAGGAAGCTTGGCACGGATCAGCATCCCGAGGAGTAGCGGTACGGTGAGGAAAGAAATCTGCATGATGATGTTGGTGATTGGGAGGTTTATTCCCGAATCCTCGTTCCCCTCCGCCTTGAAGAAACGGCTGTAGATAAAGAGGTTTAACGGCAGCATCCCAAGAGCCAAGCAGGTGGATAGGAAAGTCATGGTGACGCTCATGATCAGGTCGGCATCAACCAGCAGGGTGATCATATTGCTGAGACCACCACCTGGGCAGGAGCCCACCGTGATCAGCCCCATGGCCGTCAGCGGATCGAACTTGAACAACTTGGAGATAGACAGCGCGACCAGAGGCATGCAGATAAACTGGCAGACCGGGCCTACAAAGACGGGGATAGGACGGCGCAGTTTACCCTTGATGAGGTCCGTGTCCAGCTTGCATCCCATCCCACACGTCGCGATCAGGACCAAGGGAAGGAGCATGTAGTCGAACATGGTGTCAATGATTCGCAGGACTCGCTTGGTCTTCACCAAGTGTGTGAAGATCTTCGCCTCAGCTTCGGGGTTTCTCGGGTCCAAGATCAAAATTTGCAGCTTGGTGATGCCAAGTCGGACACCGTGCAGTGTCACCGTTACCGTGTCATTGTCGTCTCCTGCCGTCGTCTCCAGGGGCACAGTGTCGTTACTGATGACTATGAACATGCTCTCATCGCTAGTCTTCAGGTGCATGACACGGGGAAACCTCAGACCAGAGTAGAAAATTGTCAGGTTCTTGATTTCCCCCTCATGGATGTACATAGGGGACTCATCGAACGATAGAGTTAGGTTGGCGTTCTCTGTTTCTTCGGGTTTGGGGACGACACAGCCACCTTTGGCAGGTGGGACAACAGTGGCCGGGATGACAACGGTGGTCGTGGTCGTGGTGTCGTTTGTCCTCGAGACTCCTTTAATCGTCGCCGTCGTTCCGGATGAATCTCCAGCGGGAGAAGTGATGGTTTTATCCTTTTTATCTGCACTTTTCTTCGTAGCAGGTGGTTGATTTTCTTTTGAATCGCCTGCATTATCAGCTGCAGTTTTGGGGGCATTGGTCGGTTTGGTGACCTGTCGCTTGTTTCTCTGCAAATTCTCCGAGCTAACGACAGTGGCGTCCACAACCAGAGCCAGCACAAGCACAAGTACACCAAAGATTTTCACGCATCCACCCGCCATGGTCAACCAGGAGTTTCTGTTGGTACTCGGCCTTGCTTCGGAAGTGTCGGACAGGACCTGCGCCAAAATGCCAAACAGATGGACCAAATAATTGACAAGAGAGCAGTAAGTGGTGACAAAATATCAGGGTTCCTGGCTAGTTCGATGTATGGTTCGATCAGCACATTATGAAGGATTAGACATGCCAAGGACGACTTGTATAACAGCTGCCGTCTGTTAGATCAAAATACCTGCACACAGGGGGACCAAGAGATTTACGTTTTAAAGAAGTCTTTTCCAGCTCGGTTTTTATTTTAACAGCAGCGCCTACCTTTATTCTTAACCATGTTTTATGTCATTAGATGGTCAAAGCGCAGTTAAATCTAGCTTCTTAATTTAATTTTGAGTGCCGCTCTTCCACCCCGCTTAAGAACCTTTTTGCTAAGCCATGGTACACCACACACTATCTTTGACGCATGCATGGTTCATTCATGTGTTGTTGTTTAAACTAAAGATGTATTCCCCGTGCTCTTCAAAAAACAAAAACAAAGTTTTTTCCTAACGAATTTTCAATTCGGATATGTTTTGTTTTAACAAGAACCGAAGTATTGTCTGGCAGCTAAGACAAATCAATAACGACACATCGGTGGATTTTTTTCGTTCGATGTCCCGTGCAAAAGTGAATTACTTTTTATATTTAACAAAGGTACTTTTCGTGGTGAAACTCGAAAATTGCAAGGGGAACGCATCTTTCATATTTTTTTTCGTGTTATCATCGATCTTTTTATTATTTCCTCACTTTTCATGTTAAAAAAACTGTACATATTAATTGAAAATGTCTCATCCTCCAGCTTTTCGGATTCTTTCTTGGTATTGAACAAACACAAATTGTCATCAACAAAACAAATTAGCTGTTAAGTGACAGAAGTGATGTTATCACTAATAAGAGTGACCTTCGTCTTCGGGGCTTTCACGGAATTGGTTTTAATGCGAACCACGCATTACTGGAATTGAAGGTCCATACCTCTTGGGGTGTTCCGTGATCTGGTACTGTCCTTGCTATTTTCAAGTCCCCCCCCCCCCCACCCCACCCCCCCCAAAAAAAAGGGGGGATTCTTTTGTATTTGCTAGTTTTCTAGCAATACAAATGTTATTCGCGTTTTTAACGAAAATAAAATGCCCGCGTAGTTATGGAATAAGTACTTTCAAGTTATTCGCAATTTAGGCGCATCTTCTTTTTTGGGGGGGGGGGGGGAATTAGAAGCGCAAACACTTTTTTTTTCAGAAGGTTACAGAATCTGGAATAAATCATTTTCGTTGAATAAAACACATCAATTAAAATGTGTCAGGATAGCAAAATTGACTTTATTGAAGAGCACGGATATAACAAGTGCACTGTGTTCAAATTTTTGATTTGTTTCGGGGATCGATCTTGGATTTCAGTTTTATAATATGAGTGTCAAGTTTAAAACTTCTTTGCTCATCACAAAAACTGCGTTGGGAATTAAACTATGGACGGGTTCTCCACGGACTCTTGACCCGTGAACCACGATTGCGCTGCGCAGTGTTTGCAGTAACCATTAAGTTATGAACAGGTATCAAAATTGAGCATTTTCCTTGAATTGAAACATAAATTATTGAATCAATCGAAACATTTTGTTTTTATTATAGTACATGTATCTTCTTTGTCAATAGCCCTAGCATTACCCATTACGTGCAGATGTTGCTTCTGGAGGAAACGTCAAGGGGGGTTACTGCATCGCATAGTTAAGGTATAGGGGGCCTGAACAGGTGGTCAGCAACGTATAATTACGTGAAGGACCTTGAGTACCAGACCTGTCCATAAAAAGTGATTTTATGAGCGAAGCCACTTGTTTTTAAAGGGCCGGAAATCCAATCGAGAAAAGAAAACACATCTGAGGTGAAATGGTACACATTATAGTCGACCTACAATCCCGGCCAAAACTCGCTGGGCCCCCGGCCCCCAGCCAATGTTGTCTCTCATTGCGCGGTCTGTGCTCAAGCGCGAGATGACAGCATTGACCGGGGGAGCGGGGGAGTGGGGGACCGGGGAGGGGAAGGCTCATTGTGTGGCCGACGTGTCCCAACCATTTTGGCCGGGATTGTAGTTCCATATGATTGAAGCTATTTAGGCTACAATTAGTGTGTTATTGGCTGTACGGAAAAATGTCGGCCTATTCTTCACACCTATATTATGTCAAAACTTCAACTGTCTTTCACTTTCTCATGGCTCTTTTTGTGTGCTCTCACTTAAGTTCATATAACTCCCCCTCTTTGTACCTCTTTTTTGATTCTTTTTTAAATTTGATCCCCAGGCTTCCGCACCGAAAATTGGTTCTAGTCCACTTTTAATGTACGCAGGTCCGAAATGACAAACCCACACTGCAGGATGCTTAGCCTCTGGCGTCGGTTTCATGAGATTCTAGGCCCTCGACTTGAGGAACTCCGGCTCTGTGATACTCCATAGTTACCTGCTTCAGGTGCACACAAATAATCCCAGGAAAGTTTGTTCAAAATGGCCAGGATTTGTCGTCTACGTCGCACAAAGGCATAATTTTTAAATGAAATCAAATAATTTGAGCTTGAATGAGCAGGAAGAGTGAAAGCCTTGGTGAGTCTGGGGTCTGAGAGAATGAGAAACGGATAACTGAAAACAATGATCTTACCAAACAAGCACGCAAACGGCTGCACAACAGTCCGATGGACAAGACATGTACACCAGCTTGTAGTCTTTCTAAAGACCACATTTTTTTGTTTCATCAACTTTTATAATTATTATCAGTTTGTTTTTAATCTCTGGTGAGCTTATCTTTAACGCTTCAGCTTCCCCGTCCCCAACTGCGGTATAATCTTCATAATCTCAGCGTACTGTTTGTGGTTCAGATTGAAAATTAATGCAAAGCACAAAATTAATTATGGTGTTTATAAGCTCAAACCTGTCACAAAATATATATCAGTGTAGTTAGAAAGTCTGGTTTTCTGCGAAGTCTGACGTGTGAGTCAAAAGCAATCAGTCCTTGGCTAGGAAGATGATTTGTTTCAGGAAATGATTATCATAGGAAAACGTCTGTATGTTTGATTATTTTGGTCAATGCTGGCTAGAATGAGGAGGTTGTAAGACGATCGAATATCTCTTTCGGATTGAAATTCATCCTTGGAGAATAAAATTAAAAAAATACAATTTATTATTTCAAAAAATTAATTGAACTCTTCATTATTTGTTTAAAGAATTGTGACCGTTGCATGCAACGCGCACTTTGCAGGGAACTTCTTAAGGGAAGCTTAAGCTGACCGATATCGACGGACCACCACACGGCCGGCCATCGCAAATTCGACTTTCCAGAAAGGATTGGGCTTGACTTCATTCGACGCTTGGGGCGCTGTTCATTATACCCAACTTATCGCAAGGTGCATTAGTACTTTACACGAAGACAAACTTATCACCAAAATCAAACAAACAAGAAAGAAAGAACATGCGAAAAACCAGACCTCGGCTTTCAAGGGGGGGGGGGGTCGAACAACCCCCCCCCCCCCCAAAAAAAATAACCTCCCCACTCTATAAACACGTGCCTGAATTTCTTACATATAGAAGGGACCATTACATGAATTTCACACTGGAGCATATCTGTAGCAATTATGCATTCCTCTGAAATGTATGAAAACTACTAGACATCCCTTTTTGGTAACAACTTTTGCAGAGTGCACTTTTGAAACATCTAAAATCGTTCATGTTTAAATTTCCTGACAACTGAGGGCGCTGTTGCGGCGATGTCTAGGAACACACCACAGTCATGTATTCAGATTAGGTTGGGTTTTTTTTCAAATTGTAACCCACAATGCTGCTTATGAAAAAGATTTTGCATACAGTTTTTTTCGTTGTCTTAATGTCATGTACTGAAAAAACAAATGAATCACTGAAAACAGAGAAGTAACCAAAGTAAACCCCTAAACTTCTGGTGACTTTTTACGCTGAAGCAAGTGTGACACAATTTCTGCCTAAAATGACATGACAGTTTTGCTCAAGAATATGTAAATTTGCATTCGCATGAAAAGAAAAAAGGCATCATGACGCCCAGGAAATGCCAAAATGAAGATGAAAAATTAAGTTAAATGGGATATAAAATATATTGATTTTCCCGGCCAATTTCACCAAGTTTTCATTCAATTTAACGCCTGGCTCATCCAATTTAGATTGAAATTGAAAGATCACGCAGATCGTCATTCGACAATCAAAAAGAATCATTCAATTTCACTATCCGAACATATTCTATCGTCTTTTAGCTTCACTCGTCCCTGTAAAAGATGCATTCAAATTAAAAGTATCGTATTATTCATTCAATTTCGTCCGAACCAGCAGTAAAGGGTTGATCGGGCATTCATTTTCATTAATGGGCAAACATATTCCACATTTTTTTCAAGCATCTTTTAAGAAATTCCTGCATGTTCGTATTCTTGTAAAAGTCTGGGGAGAGGGTGGTTCGCACCATCTTCTGATAGGGGCTTTGTTAAAAGCGAACAATCATGGACATTTTCGCTCTGCAAATTTCCCGAAGGACGAACGATTTTTCCGACCGGCCGATTTCGCCGTCACGATTTTGCTCCTATCAGCGTCCCGATTACGCTTTTTAAAAAGTCTAGCCCGTTGCAATCTGCCGCTCTGCACTCCCAACCCCTTACGCCATTGTGTCTTGCACGTCAAGAGATCGATGGGTGAATCAGCGATAAGTTAAAAGACAAAAACAATTACAAAACAGAACGAAAAAGAACAGTAAACAAAGTTAAAGGATTTGTTCAAAATTTTAAACAGGTATAGAACAGATCAACAGTGAAAAAGAAATTCCATATCCTTTTTGTTTCATTATTTCGTGACATCATCCCCTTATATCAGTTAATTTGTTACATTATAAATTTTACAGACACAAAGATTTTGGTAAAATGGACCTCAGAAGAAAATAAGAAAAATATCTATTAAAACATCTTATTAATTTGAATGACCAAACGATGAAAATGACTGCCCATAAACGAAGAAGAAAAGAAAAACGTGGTCATACGTCATATGCCCAGCGACGTTCGCTAATTTGAATGCGTCAACCGTCAAAAGATGTCAAAAACTTAATGTAAGAATGCTGCAAATTGGCTTGAGTGCGCCAAAACGAAATCGAACGCCCCAAAACGAAAACGAATATTGGGAACAAAATGTTGAGTGGATCGCCAAACAATTTAAATTGAATGCCCAACAATAAAAAAGGAAACCTGAAACCAAAAAAATGGTCGACAAGATTATTGACCGTTTTGACATTGTCATGTTTCTCAGTTTTTGTAAAACAACACTCTAAAAATAAAGCAACTATAACCGGTTATCGCTTTTTAGCCTACAATTTACAAAAAACAATAAAAATGTAATTGTTTTTTGTGACTTAATACCGTTTGACAGTTTTACAAAAAGGTAAAACGACAAAACTGTCAATGTCTCGTTTCCTGTTTTGTTTTTGAGGAAATCCAAAAACGGTAAAACGAAATAACGGTATGTACCGGGATTGATTGCCACCCTACTGGATACAGTCTGAGTGCCCCCTTCCTACAGACTAGACTAGGCCCGCCCATAAAACGAAACTACCCATGATCCCTTGAGCGCGTGAAAAGAAAAATGGCGGCGCGTTGTCGTTGTCTGGAAACCGGACAGGAGTATAAAGCAGAGTGATTTGAGCCAGTTTTAAACACAGAGTTAGAAGTTATCGGATCGGAATTTACTGTGTAAGTAGAAATTTAGCCGAATTAATTGCAGAATGACCCACTACTCGGAAAACCCCCCAAAATCAGTGGAGTTGTGTCTACGCAGTCGAACTAGGTCTAGGCCTACTGAGAAGTGAGATGCATGATGCATGTGATGAGGACATACGGCATACCGGACATGGAGGAGACTTGACTTCGAAGTCGAAAGTGTTGGCGATCGTGTAGTGTCAGTAGGGCCCCTGTTTTGTTTCGATCAAATTAGAGTCAAGAGTGTTTTTTATTACTCAAAAATGACATTTACAACCTAAAGCAGACCTCTCTCAGTATGACCCCTTTTTTGTAATTTTTTGAACAGTTTCTTGGGGTAGAAATTACGATCTTCCTACACAGTTTACGGTTGGTGCCATGTGATTCAGCGGCTTTTCCATTCAGCGTGCCTTGCGGGCTCACAGTACATCGCGCGGTGTCGCCATCTTTATTTTCGTGTTGCGTTTTATCGTTGTTGTCGTCGTTTCACTCCCAAATTTCCCTTAAAAATTCAAAACCCTGCCCTTTATCTATGACATACTTTTATGTTCTTAATGTCGCCAACTAGTTTGGTAGGTCAAATAATTTAAAATTAAAGCGGATTTTGCTCCCTTATAAGTTATAGGAACCGGGCCCGTAGATACACGATCGCCAAAGTGTTTCCCATACTAACTGCACAATAGTGAATTGACTAGTGCCTGCATTGTTGTTTGTAGCTAGCTTGTTGTCATTTTGCAGTAGGCTGGTTCTGTGCTTGTATTGTAACATTGTCGTTGTGATTTTGAATTCAGGGGACATCGGTTTGCTTGGCCGGAGGGCCGAAGCAGCGAATTAATTGTGTTATAAAAGTTATAACTTAAAGATAGTGGATATTTTGCCAGAGGTAATGACGGCAAACTAACGTTTACTAAAGGTTTGCCGGCGGCAATCCATATCAACAGAGGGCGCTGTACTCTTTAAGATAGGGCTGAATTATAAGATGTATTAAATTCCCACCAGAAGTTGTGTAGCACGTTTGGTGTAGTGGTTAAGCAAAGGCTTTTGTGAGCGGGATGACTCGGGTTCGATTCCGATCCCCGCCACATTTTTAAGGTTTTTTTTCCCATCCCCAAATAAATAAGAATATTCTTCTTTTATTATTTTAACATGTCTCAAACATTTTATTGCAAAGTATGACATTTTGTTTTTCAGATTTGTGGCTCTGGAGGATTTTTTTTAAAGGGAAATAAAGTCCGAAATTATAAAATGGTCTGAATTCCATCTTGTGAATACGAGGTTACAACGATAATATTGGCATGGAGCCAGACTAAAATTTGTCACCAGAAAATGTTTAAGTACAAAAAAACAGTAACTGCGCATGTTCAGTGCATATCCGGCAAACTAACGTTTACTAAAGGTTTGCCGTCTCTGGCAAAATATCCACTGCCTAACTTAAATAAAACTACACAGGCATGACAGGTTAAAAAACGTAAGTGTATTTTCAGCAGTCCTTTGTAATGCAGATCAATTTTGCAAAATGATTTTTTTTTTTCTGTTTTGATTATTCACTAATTCAGTTTGTTGTCACATATCCTATGTGAACTAACAACATCTGAAAGTCATGCCATTTTGTGTGCTGATGAAAGTTATTGTTTACAATTCTTGGTCACGAACTTAGGGATTTATTGATGTTTGTTCAATTGTGCAGTTTTCCTTGTAGTTGTACTTGTCCTAGCTTGAGAAACTCCAGCTCCAATGCTCATCAGGAATTCAACATTTAGAGCTGGAGGTCAATGTACGTTGTAGCCAGCAGTCTAAAAATGGCGGAGGCCGTGAAATTTGGCCTCAACGCAGCCACCAAAATCATCATTTTTTCCAAATTTTAATCAGTTTGGTCTGTTTCAAGTCGATTCTTTGCTTCGTGAATCATTCACGAAGCAAAGGATCGACTTGAAACAGAGCAAAACTGACTAAGATATTGAAAAAAACGATGATTTTGGCGGCTGTGTTGAGGCCAAATTTCATGGCTTCCACCATTTTCAATCTGCTATGTGCAATGTAGTTTTGTCTCCAACGTTAAATGTCGAATTCCCGATGAGCATTGGAGCTGGAGTTTCTTAAGTTAAGTTATACTTGTCTCAAAAATGGCACAGTGTGTGTCACTGTAATTACATGAACAACTTTAACTTAAGAAAAGAATCACTAATTGTACATTCAATATTAGCCTAATTACACTCTTTAACATCGACAGCTCACTGCCCCCTCCTATCTCACATGTAAACATTGCGAGACATTGCTTTTCAGGTCTAGTATCTGAAGGGAAACATATTTTATGGGGTCTGCAATTGTTTTTAAGCTATGATCTTATTTGATCCCACAGATCAATGGATATCACCAAAGGTAATTTAGATGAGATATCTCGGCCGGCCAGCAACCATCGCAACCATCAGCGGCCAGGGAGTCGTGTCTCATTGAGAACCCCATCATCTGCAGGGAGCACTAGGCAAGGCATTGATACCAGCAATTCCCTGGAGATACTTCCTCCTGAGTCTCCCACTCTCAATCAACAGGTAGTTGGGATAAATGAAAACAGGAGTAGGCCCATTCATAACGCTGTGCCACTGCCGTGCAGAATTCAAATCACTTGAGATTTTTTTTAATGCAGCACCGCAGTAGCATGGTATTTAGAATCATTGGTTAAACAAGGTCTGCCATGCTTCTGCCATTCCATATGGAAGTGGCCCAGCATTGCTCTTAACACTACATATATGCCACTGCTGTGCCAAGTTCAATACAATTCACCGTTGGAGCACTACCATCTCCATCAGAGGATGATCAGGCAAAAATAAAAGGACCCATGACTGTCAAGATTAGCTGTTGCAGTATAGGACAACCAGTTTTGTTCACATGATTCTTGCATGTACATTCATCAGGGCGTTTGGGGCTGTCACTATTTTAATAAGATGCCCAACCAGGCTAACAATAATAATATTTATTTATAATCTGAAATATTTATTTTGCAAATATTGGCTCACTGTGTCAATGTACAGGAGCTGCAGAGACTTTTCACACAGATTCCTTATGTGATTGGTTGTCAGTTCAGTACTGAATCAGCCATAATATTAATTTAGACAAAGTTACAGTCACCCATATTTGTGAAAATCATCTCTTCTATCTCCCAGGAATTTGACCTAGAGGTTGTAGAACTGTTTTCATCAGACACTGACAGCGAATGTGATGTAGGCAACCAATCAGATGACAACAAAGGTATGTAGGTGACTGCTTTAACCCAATATCACCTGTGTTGTATTACATTGCATTTATTTCTTGAACAATCCATAAAACAATGGATTGTTTGGGTGATTTAGGGCGGTACAGGGAGTACCAGTCAGGGCAGTTTGAGGCGGTCAGCCATTGAGGCGGTCAGATTCCATTGTTGAAAATCAATTTCCAGTTTATCTAGGATTTTAATCAACAGAACTAAAGCATGTTCTTGAATAGAATATTTTAATTTATGTCACAATGAAATTATAACCTTTGACTTCAGAGCCAGTTCTGACAACAGCCATTGGTAAACCAGTGGTTGAGTGATTTATCTGTGTCTCACCAACTGTTTATCATTATTTTTTAGGCATGATTTGTCGTATTCCTCGGCCTGTTTTAAGACTAGTATTTCTGAAAATAAATTTCAATTTGTTTCCATCAGAGAACACTGAAACTCAACAGCATCCCAACAGAAACAGTCACAACAATAACGGATCCAAGGACAGCCAGAGAAGTAGTAGGCCTAATGATGCCGCTGACAAATCCACGTCAGCCATGTCTGATCCACTGGACAGCATCCCTGATCCAAAGATCAGAGAGGCAATGAAGAAGATGCAGCAACTAGACCGCATACTGGCCAAGAAGACACTCAAGGTACGTGCCAAGATTGACTTTGCCTTTGCCAAATGTACCAGTTACCTAATCGCTCAGGTATGTCTATTGTATTTCAACCAAGTGATTGAACATGGGTGGAAATATGAAATATATCAAGAGGTATCATCTGTTCCCCTTCCCAACTATGGGCTCCGTGCACCAGCAAAAGAGGGCGCTTTTTGACCACTTTTGAGAGCCCTGTGGACGGGACACACGGCGTATGCATACTGTACTGGTTCGCGCGCGAAGTACGCATGACTACCTGAATGTGCCAAAGCTGTTAACCACCCCGTCCTCACGTGAGCGTCAGGCGTCGTTGGTGCGCAAATGAGTTTAAATTTATCTGTCGATGGGCTCCCAGACTAATTCCCGCCCCCAATAACTTTGGATACATTCGAATCCGCAGTGGATGGACCGGGAACCAGTCTAGGTCTCCCCCATCTCTCCTTTTTTGGCTGTTGAAGGGGTACTTGTGCACAGAGCCCATAGGGAAGCAGTTTCAGGAAAAAAACTCCTCAGAAATCAACCACAACTCAAATGTATTTCAGTAGCTGTACATACGCCATCAGTCCAGCTTGCCTAGGCAATATGCACTGTTTTCCCTTTCCCTCCAATTTGAGTTGGACCCTTGCTTCATCCCCTGTCCCTGACCCAACATGCTGACCTCGTAAGGTCCTTTTCACTCTCTCTGGAGAGTAAAGAGGGTAACTTCCAACCCTTGTCATGATCACGGTTGAGAGTCTGTGTAGAAAATCCATCGTCTACAGCAAACTTTTGGGTACAGACTGATGTAAGTGTGCACGTAATGCCTTGTTGACCCATGTTGGCCCTGACACATGTTGATTTCAACATAGGTGGGCGAGAGCTGATATTGGAAACAGGCCTTAATGATAATCCTGTACATGTATTGCTGATCTTCCCTACCCAGGAGAAGGAGGTCAAACGTCAGCGGTTGCAGGCCCACAGGGACATGGAGCGAGAGCTACAAGGTCTCAGGCCGGAGGGTAGAGAGGAGCAACGGGAAGTATTAGACAACACCAGTCGCTACTTGGCCCTGGTGCCTCCAGCAAGTCATAGTGAAGGTCAGCTCAACTAACTTATGTACATGCATGAAGAGTTCAAGCGAGCAGACAACATTTTGTAGTGCTTAACAGACAAAAGCAGAAAATTGTTGTCTTGTTTGAGGGGCCATGTTTATTATCGGCCTGTTTTAAACATTTCTCACCAGTGTTTGAACAGTGGGTTAAAGTTATTATTCATCCTATCAAAAATGTGCAGTGACTTTTTTAGCATTATTTAATGTGATTTCACTCAGTCATAAAATTTTTTAATTATATGATTGTATTGTGTAATTGAATATGAGAGCATTACTTGACAGGAAACAAGGACTCTGCATCAGTGGATTACTGTGCAAACTCCTAGTCAAGACTTGTTGAACCCATCAGTCCCTATATGACTAACACCATGCTACGCATGACTCCCTATACTGCCTGAAACCTCCCTAACACTGTATGTTATACAACAAAATATACGACCTAAAGTGCTAGTGGGTTAATTGCTGATTGACTTGCAGGGGTTTCCGTGGAGCAGGAGCCAGTGGATCCAGTATTTCCAACCCAGCCAGCTGAAGCAGACTCCCCTGTGGTAGGGGCTAAAGCCAATGGCATCCAGGGGACTAAAGCAAGTAAGATTATTGTTATCATTGCAGCCCGTGGTCACTGCAGACCAGTGTTGTAGTCGAGACCTGATAGTCCAAGACCGAGACTTGGAGTTCCGAGACCAAGACCTTCAAGAGAGACCGAGACCGAGATGGTCCGAGACCAAGACCGCAGATAGTACAAAGACTAAATGTAAAATAATAATAAATTGATAAATAAAACGTTCATTGCATGTACACATTGAACTTGTAACCTTTTTTATTGACGTCAAATATAGCAAGGAGCAAATGACATAATAGAACAAATACGGGCCTGTCACACTGCAGTGATAACTACATCAAGACGAAAAATCAAAATAATGTTGGTCATGATAACCAACGATACTGAAAGAAAACAACAAAAGCAACGTAATCAATATTATGAGCGATAAAGGCTGCATATTGCTGGTCTCGACTCAAGACCAGCAAAAATATCGAGACCACAGAGTACGAGACCAAGACCGAGACCCTAGGGTAACGAGACCGAGACCAGCAAAAAGCAGTCTTGAGACCAGTCTCAAGACCGAGACCGAGACCTACATCAGTGAGTTACCCACAGGCAAGCAAAAGGTGACCATAGTTGTAATTCTCATTCACATTCTCAATAGACCTTCCATGTGGCGAGTGGAAAATTTTTTTAATACGTATAAACATGTCATTTTTAATTTTATTTTCTTGAATTGTCTTCTGTATGTCCATGTTATGTTTCACTGTTATGAGCTTTTACTAGTAATATTTAACATAGTGGTTACTTAAAACTACAGTGGGTCATTTCATTTTATTATTTAATGGCCAAATTCTTGAGGTCCTCAAATGATGGACATGTAAATTGGTCCCTACATGTATCCCACAATCAGTGCATGTTATGGATGTCCAACACATACAAGTAAAGCTTATATCATGGGCCTTCCAATCATTTGTGTAAGGTAAACTGTTGTCACTTCCTTACCAGAGCAGGTCAGAGTTATCACTGTATTTATGATAGTGGACAAGGGACTTTTAACGTTGAATTTCATCCCATCTTGATGCAATCAAGATCACTTTGAGAATACAATGAAAGAATTTCAGGTATCTAGCGCGTGTCAGAACTCTTGTTGCATGGAGAAAAACTGGTTGTTCAATCAGCAACATGGGGTGCTTCCACTGACTGCCCAATATAGCCGTAGCCTTGTTGCCATGTTAGCGGCGCTCTACAATCATTTGTAATACACGTACGCACATGTACGTACGTGTAATAGATGTGACACAATTAATTTGCCACTCCAGCCGAGCAGTTCAGTAGCTCAATGGGTAAGGGCAAAGGTTCAGTGATCAGAGACCGTGGATTCAATTTCCATCTTTTTTTCCTAATTCGTGGCTTTAGGAGGATTTTTTTAAAAGGGAAGTAAGTCCAAAAGTTCATTAGGTCTGATTCCACCCCCTGAATACAACATCACAAAGATAATGTTAGCGGGGAACCAGACTAGGCAACATTGCTACAAGTAACGCGCAGTTTCCACCGCCTTGATCAGTCAGGGAATGCTCGGTGTTCCAGTTGGAACAGGGCGTTCTAATGGGAACCTCAAATTGTTGCAAATGAAACAAGTGTGTCCTGATACTTGGGTTGTTCCATATTAATAGTGTATAAGATAACCGCTAAGAATTATAAGGGAAAACTCGTCATGTAAATCAGCATGGGCTATTATTGAGACTGCCGGTTTTTGAATTTCTACTTCATAATAAGCCACTTGTCAGTGAATCAGTGAATCTTTTTTATTGTATTTTTTAAATTATTTTTTGTATTTCCAGCTGATTCTAAATCCCAACAAGGTAACAGCACAGACAGGAGTAGTCAAGCTGAAGGTGACGACAAGGCTAAGCGTGGTGGCAGACGAAGGGCAAAGGGCAAAGGTCACAATGACACGCAGTCAGCAAGCAATGACTTCATTCAGAGGAACATTGATGTAGGTGCTTTGGGTCATGATTGTTCATATTTAACTGTCAGCGGGTTATTTACTTTTCACTTGTAGTTTGTACATTACCTAAGAACAAAGATAACATTAAATGTGACTGCTTTCAGTATCAATTGCTATATCAGTGTGATCACTTGAAAGCCGAGTGTTATGGGTTCTAGTCCTAACTGAGAAGATTTTGGCTTTCAATCTCTCACAAAGCACAATGGACAAGTACACCCTTGATTGTGGCAAGACGAAGATGCTATTAGTTTGTGCTTATTCAGATGAAAAACAATATGGCGTGTACTTTGCCATAAGTGCTTAAATGTGAAAATACCCATGGTGGAGTTCCCCATTTCTTCAAAAAAGATTCCATACAATGATGATCTGATATTTCAACTCGGACAAGCGCCTTAAAAGAGATGGAGAATTGATGTATGCACTGTGACGTGCAGTACCGCATTGTGTGTTGTTTACCTTGTTATTAGAACCCTAACCAATTCTGATAAATGAAGTATCAGTGTTTAGACCTACCCACCTCCAACCCACTAATGGATATTGATATAATGGCCAATATTCCCAAATAACACTGGAATAATAAGGAACGACAGTGTTCATCATGCTGTTCCTTGCATAGAGGTTCATTTTGAAGGGAGTAAATATGAGCTTGGGAGGTGTTAAACACTCTGTTTAAGACCGGTTTGAGTCTGGATGCTGATAATTACCCGAGCCAACTTTTCGGTCTAAAAGTTAAAACATGTAAAATATCAATTTTCAACTATTTGGATCAATGAAACACACCTCTAGCTATATAATGGTAAGGCCATCTGGTAAACAACTCCTTATATGGAGATTGATGCGCTCGTCGTGTGTACTGCGTAATGTGGCGCACAACGCAGATGTACAGGTGTAGTGTGAATTTAGGACTATGAAATACTGACTCACTGGTAGTATTGCGCATGCCTACATGTATGTGAGGATTGTGAACATTCAACCAAAACAAACAGTGCTGGGCCTGCTGGCACCGTATTCAAAATTGCATGGGACACTGCAAAAGTGTTTAAGACCAGCCAGTCATGTCTTTAATCTACCATTTAAAACTGGCCACGTGACGGGCTCTCGACCAATAGGAGTAGTGACCTGTCTAAGATATTTATGAATAACTATTATATACATGTGGATTATTTGATTGTTGGTGTTTTGGATTTGTATGTTACCAGTTGGCCAGTGATGCAGGGAATGTCATCGCTATGACGGATGATGAGAAGAAACGTCTTGAGGAGTTGCTTCAAGACGTCGAGATGTTGGTTGACGAGGAAGAAAAGGTCGGTATAAAATGATCAATTGATCTGCTATCAAAAATAAATACGATGCTGGAGAGTGGCTTTTTTTTATTCTAACCAAAGTCTAAATGCCGTGTAGTACATAATACTGTGGTGCCTCATTCCATCCTGAGCCAATGCATACCTAGCAGGCCGGTACCCGGGTGCCTCATGCCATCCTGAGCCAATGCATACCAAGCAGGCCGGTACCCGGGTGCCTCATGCCATCCTGAGCCAATGCATACCTAGCAGGCCGGTACCCGGGTGCCTCATGCCATCCTGAGCCAATGCATACCTAGCAGGCCGGTACCCGTGTGTCTCATGCCATCCTGAGCCAATGCATACCAAGCAGGCCGGTACCCGGGTGCCTCATGCCATCCTGAGCCAATGCATACCTAGCAGGCCGGTACCCGGGTGCCTCATGCCATCCTGAGCCAATGCATACCTAGCAGGCCGGTACCCGGGTGCCTCATGCCATCCTGAGCCAATGCATACCTAGCAGGCCGGTACCCGGGTGCCTCATGCCATCCTGAGCCAAAGCATACCTAGCAGGCCGGTACCCGAGTGTCTCATGCCATCCTGAGCCAATGCATACCTAGCAGGCCGGTACCCGGGTGCCTCATGCCATCCTGAGCCAATGCATACCTAGCAGGCCGGTACCCGGGTGCCTCACGCCATCCTGAGCCAATGCATACCTAGCAGGCCGGTACCCGTGTGTCTCATGCCATCCTGAGCCAATGCATACCTAGCAGGCTGGTACCCGGGTGCCTCATGCCATCCTGAGCCAATGCATACCTAGCAGGCCGGTACCGTGGGTCTCATGCCATCCTGAGCCAATGCATACCTAGCAGGCCGGTACCCGGGTGCCTCATGCCATCCTGAGCCAATGCATACCTAGCAGGCCGGTACCCGGGTGCCTCATGCCATCCTGAGCCAATGCATACCTAGCAGGCCGGTACCCGGGTGCCTCATGCCATCCTGAGCCAATGCATACCTAGCAGGCCGGTACCCGGGTGCCTCACGCCATCCTGAGCCAATGCATACCTAGCAGGCCGGTACCCGTGTGTCTCATGCCATCCTGAGCCAATGCATACCTAGCAGGCTGGTACCCGGGTGCCTCATGCCATCCTGAGCCAATGCATACCTAGCAGGCCGGTACCCGTGTGTCTCATGCCATCCTGATCAAATGCATACCTAGCAGGCCGGTACCCGGGTGCCTCATGCCATCCTGAGCCAATGCATACCAAGCAGGCCGGTACCCGGGTGCCTCATGCCATCCTGAGCCAATGCATACCTAGCAGGCCGGTACCCGGGTGCCTCACATTACGTGAACAGCCCTTTAGAAAACCTAGATGGATTCACACATACTTTTCAACCCCAGTGGGGAGTCCTTGAGTAAACACACTTCACCCATGTCCAGCAAGATAATCCCCCTAATCACTTAAATAAACAACCTCCTGTGGACAACACAGCTGGCTGGGTGAGTGTTGGAACTACTTTCAATATGACCACATGGACATGTACATGTACATGTACATACAAATCACGACCAGCGGTAATAATCGTTCTCTGTCATTACTTTATGGAATTTAACCGTTCAAAAAAGAAAACAAAATAACATTTCACACACGTAAATAATAAGATATTTATATGAATTTATATCAAGGTATTTAGTTGCAAAATTGTAAGCTGAATCGTTCAGGCAGGATCTCTTATCACACTCATTATAGGATTAGTGGTGATAACAATCTTAATCCCCTGGGGCACACATGCACTCTCCTTTTAGAAAAGCTCCAAAAGTATGCGTGAGGACCCGACCAGTTGGTAGGTTTGGTCGGGTCGGCTCCTAAAGAGCTGGATCCGTCATGCATGCCATCCTGAGCCAATGCATACCTAGCAGGCCGGTAACCGTGTGCCTCATGCCATCCTGAGCCAATGCATACCAAGCAGGCCGGTACCCGGGTGCCTCATGCCATCCTGAGCCAATGCATACCAAGCAGGCCGGTACCCGGGTGCCTCATACCATCCTGAGCCAATGCATACCTAGCAGGCCGGTACCCGTGTGCCTCATGCCATCCTGAGCCAATGCATACCTAGCAGGCCGGTACCCGGGTGCCTCATGCCATCCTGAGCCAATGCATACCTAGCAGGCCGGTAACCGTGTGCCTCATGCCATCCTGAGCCAATGCATACCTAGCAGGCTGGTACCCGGGTGCCTCATGCCATCCTGAGCCAATGCATATCAAGCAGGCTGGTACCCGGGTGCCTCATGCCATCCTGAGCCAATGCATACCTAGCAGGCCGGTACCCGTGTGCCTCATGCCATCCTGAGCCAATGCATACCTAGCAGGCCGGTACCCGGGTGCCTCATGCCATCCTGAGCCAAAGCATACCTAGCAGGCCGGTACCCGGGTGCCTCATGCCATCCTGAGCCAATGCATACCTAGCAGGCCGGTACCCGGGTGCCTCATGCCATCCTGAGCCAATGCACACCTAGCAGGCCGGTACCCGGGTGCCTCGTCATGCCATCCTGAGCCAATGCATACCAAGCAGGCCGGTACCCGGGTGCCTCATGCCATCCTGATCCAATGCATACCTAGCAGGCCGGTACCCGGGTGTCTCATGCCATCCTGAGCCAATGCATACCTAGCAGGCCGGTACCCGGGTGTCTCATGCCATCCTGAGCCAATGCATACCTAGCAGGCCGGTACCCGGGTGTCTCATGCCATCCTGAGCCAATGCATACCTAGCAGGCCGGTACCTGTGTGGCCATTTTTTAAAATCTCTTTTGAAAAAGGACTATTTTTGGTTTACTCATGGCCAGCAAAACTGATGTGGACAAGCATCGTATATCAATATTTAATTTATGAAGCCTAATTGAGCAAAATCTTTTTTGAGATGAGAGACTTCAACATTTCAAGTAGTGTTTACATTTCTTTCTGGAGTAAAGTTTACCTTTCCCCTGTCCATGGCTTGTGATGGGGACAACTCAGAAAGTGAGAGGGTGTTTTGTGCCCTGACATCAGGCCCCATGGTAAGGACATGGGGCCCATTTTGAGGAGCCTCTAATCACAGAAATTTGCTAAGAAATGAAATTAGCTTAGCTATGCATTGCAGGGTATGCTGCTTGTGACTGAATCGCAGCTGATTTCCTCCTAGCTCATCAATTTGCTTAGCATTTTTTAATTGCTTAACAGCTTAATGAATATGGCTCCTCATATTCCAGCGTTGTACTTTATGTAGTACATCACAAGTCCATTCACAGGTTAATCACAAGTCATTTCACAAGTCTAGTCACTAGTAACAGTTTGGTTACGTGATGTTTTGAGCAGTACACCCCGTCCGTCAAGGAATGCCTTTCTTACAGTTCATTTGAATAGCCTGTGAGTTCATTTGAATATCTAGTGAATAGCCAGATGACTTGTGATTGACATGTAATGGACATGTTGTGACTTGTGCTCCATCACAAGTACCTTGATGGCAACACTTGTCACATTCACCTGTTTTAACTTTTTAATTGATTGCTTGGTTGTAGCCGGACAGCACCCGTACCATGAATGCCTTGCAGCTGTCAGCAGGAGTGGGTTACATCCCTGATGCCACAGACCAACAAGCTCTCCAGGACATCGATGCTAAGCTCAAGGCTCTACTGCCTGAGGAAGACTATGACCGCATCAGCACTACACCATCACAGGTAATTCCAATTAGAAGCAAGTCACTTGAAGATGAACTGTGCGTGCTCTTCAACATATTTGATTTGTTTATCCTAACATTTTAGACTTGCATGTTTTATTTAAACAAGAAGAATTACCTATTTTATATTTTGGACATATGAAATCATCTGAAGCTTTTATTTTAGATTACTTTTGCTCAAAAACAAATCCGCCCTTTGGGTAGACTGGTTGGTAGTCCCTGCATTATCGATTGGGATAGGGGGCTGGAACCAGTCTACGCTGCTGGAACTGAATAAGTGCTAGAGATAACTAAACACAACTTTTAAGAGCCAAAGGAGATCTTTGTTATATTACCAAATGTTTGTTAAGTAGTCTTTACAGTGGCACTTGCTACTGACTTACTTATATTAAATCCTGCTAAGCAGCTAAAGATTGCCAGTACAGCCTTTCTTTTAACCCAACTGTGTAAAGAATCAATGTGTCACCAGGGTGTGCTCTGTCCATGTTGACAATGCAATCTTTCATGTTCGATTTTATCCGGTTCATTAGTGACTTTGTCATACACGCGTACACACCACTGATACTGATTACAAGCACCCATTGGCTAAACACTCAAGTTACGTTAATTTCTGGTTCCATTCGTGCTATGCTACACCTTGTGAAGTACGCATGGGTAAGTTGAGATGACGTCACTCTAACGAACCGGATACCCTTTGGATCTAAATGCTGAGAGATTGGCTGACATGGTGTTTACTACAGTCCCACTACAGTAGAGAATCATACAGTACCTAGGAACCAGCAACATGTCAGCTGTAGTTAGCAGTGTAGTAGTCAAGTCTGTCTCAAGTCCATAAGTCCAGCCATAATTAACAAGGGATGAACATAAAAATAGGAATCCTTTTGTCACAGTTCAATTAAGGTTGTGACTTGGCTTAAGAGAGGAGAACTTGTTATGGACCTGTGATGGACTGGTCAGGACTTGTGATGGACTCGACTACAACACTTGTCAGGCCGCTACCCATTCTAACCACAGTGTGGTCTGGTCACCATTCTACTGCTTGTTGAGTTCTCAGTCCAAGATCACCACTTGGAATTTCTGTTTTTCTTTCAAGGAGAGGGGTGATAGTTATCATAGAGATGTTCCAGGAGAGAAGATCCTGAAAGATACCAAAGATGACAGGAGGCAGCACGAGCGACTGAAGAGAATTGAAGTTGAGCTTGAGTACCTTGAGAACCGCGTAGAAAGAGAGGTAAGTGCATTGCATTGCCACTCATTGCCTAAGACCCATCCATCAGGCCAAGCCCACTGCACATGAGGGCAACAAGTGTACCTCTCCAATGCCTTACTGCATGTTCCAGACGTGCATCAGATATGTGCACACTGATGTCACGCATGGTCAACTCATTGGGCAAGGCTCAGTGGATCAGTCAATTTTAGTTAGTGTTTTGCCAGAAATCAGAGGTCAAAGGATCATTTTGATGATATTCTGGTATATTGTTATTGTACCACTCTACGGACACCCTTATGGTAGATTCCTCCAGCCTGACATTACAAAGGGTTGTCCTACATATGAGCAAAGCTTCTTCTCACCTGTACCTCCTCACACTTACTTGCCCCCCACCCACGCCCGCTAAACCAAAGCAAGTCATTAATACAAGTCAGATCTTCAAAATGACCCCTCCTCTTGACATAAATTTAAACTGAAATATCTAAATACAGTCGACTTTCATTAATACAAGCACGGTTTAGACGAGATTTCGGTTTAGACGAGCATATTTCGTCAGTCCCGACCGAAGTGTGCATATTACTATGAGGGAAAAAATGCTTAATATGAGCTTGGGTGATACAAGATGACGGTTAAGACAAGCACTTTTTTGCAATCTGGCAAGTGCAAATCTATTGTTATCTGTCTATTTCCACGTGCGTTTGGGAAAACAACTTGTCAGTCAATGAACCTAACTATTCAGTTTAAATTGGCACCATGATGATGCTTGCGAACTTCAGTGCCGCGATTTTTATACCAAAGCACACCATTCTTTGTGTTTTCACGGGCTGCATGAGGTGGCTAAAAGTGGACAATGGGCACTTGCGGTTCCCGGGCTATCAGAGGGATTCTTTATGATGGCTCTCGTGCCGCCGGAAGGAACAAGGCAGACAATAGGCATTTACGATTCCCTCGCGATCACAGGGTATCTTTATGGTGCTGCCCGAACGAAGAAGGCCAACAATGGGCGTTTGTCCCGTGCCATCAAAGGGGAATCTTCAAGTTTACGGTGGCTATCGTGTCCTGTCCCGCCCGAACGCAAGAGCGTGCCGCACGATCGCGGCAGGCCTACCATGTTTATTGTGCTTGAAAATAAATTCCCTGTAAAAAAATTAAATAACCCCCCCCCAAAAAAAAAATGCACTTGTAGATGAAAAGTAGATGAATCAATTTTATAAGAAAAAGTCGGAAAATATTTAAATACCCTCCCAAAACCTCAGCTTATTTAAAAAAAAAAAAAAAATTAGTGTTAAAAACAACAAATCCCTGATAAGTATTAAAATACCCTCCCCCAAAAACATATCCCAGAAGAATTAAAAATACGCAGTTTATTAATTTTTTTGGAAAGTTGAAAACGAGAAAAATAGAAGAAAAACTCGCCCCCTCTTGACGCGAGATACGTGAAATCCCCATTTTTTACCCCTCAGCCGAGAGGCTCGAGGGGTTTTGTCATCGCCTAGGGCGTCCGTCCGTCCGGATGTGTGTGTGTCTGTCCGTCCGTCCGTCCGTACGGCCGTTCTGACCAGACCACCCTTGTGGGGTGATGTTCCTTTCAGAACATGTTCCTTTCAGATAACTTGAGTTAGAAATGTTGTTTGGGGTTGTAACTTCGGTAGGGGGTTGCCCTTTGGAGTAGGCAAGTTGGGATTGGTTTTGAGGTCAAAAGGTCAAAGGTCAAGGTCACCGTGGTGAGTTAAATGTAAATGGTTTCCGGATGATAACTTGAGTTAGAAATGAGATTTTGGTGTCTAACTTTGGAAGAGGGTTGCCCTTGGGAGAAGGCAAGTTGGGATTGGTTTTGGGGTCAAAAGGTCAAAGGTCAAGGTCAGCATGGTGAGATAAAGGTAAATGGTTTCCGGATGATAACTTGAGTTAGAAATGAGATTTTGGTGTCTAACTTTGATAGGGGGTTGCCCTTGGGAGTAGGCAAGTTGGGATTGGTTTTGGGGTCAAAAGGTCAAAGGTCAAGGTCACCGTGGTGAGTTAAATGTAAATGGTTTCAGGATGATAACTTGAGTTAGAAATGAGATTTTGGTGTCTAACTTTGGAAGAGGGTTGCCCTTGGGAGAAGGCAAGTTGGGATTGGTTTTGGGGTCAAAAGGTCAAAGGTCAAGGTCAGCATGGTGAGATAAAGGTAAATGGTTTCCGGATGATAACTTGAGTTAGAAATGAGATTTTGGTGTCTAACTTTGATAGGGGGTTGCCCTTGGGAGTAGGCAAGTTGGGATTGGTTTTGGGGTCAAAAGGTCAAAGGTCAAGGTCACCATTGTGAGTTAAAGGTAAATGGTTTCCGGATGATAACTTGAGTTAGAAATGCGATTTTGGTGTCTAACTTTGGAAGAGGGTTCCCCTTGGGAGAAGGCAAGTTGGGATTGGTTTTGGGGTCAAAAGGTCAAAGGTCAAGGTCAGCATGGTGAGATAAAGGTAAATGGTTTCCGGATGATAAGTTGAGTTAGAAATGAGATTTTGGTGTCTGACTGAGGTAGGGGTTTGCCCTTGGGTACAGGCAAGTTGGGATTGGTTTTGGGGTCAAAAGGTCAAAGGTCAAGGTCACCGTGGTGAGTTCAATGTAAATGGTTCCGAATGATAACTTGAGTTAGAAATGAAATGTTGGTGTCTAACTTCGGTAGGGGGTTTCCCATTGGTACAGGCATGTTGGGACTGGTTCTGGGGTCAAAGGCCAAAGGTCAAGGTCACCACGTTGAGTTAAAGGTTAATGGTTTCCGGATGATAACTTGACTCTGGCTGAGGGGTTTCAACAGCAACGCTGTTATTTTTTAAAAATGAATCATTCTCCCACCCATGCTCTTAATCCTAATTAAAACAAAAGTCAGCCCGCTCAGTTCCCGCTAAAAGTCATTTCCCGCTAAAAGTCATTTCCCACTAAAATAATTTAACGTAACCAGGGCATTAACAATTCAACTCAGACTCACGCCCTCTATTGAAAATAAATCGCTGGTATCCCCATATTTACGTGCACACTGAATGCAATTCTTCTGTTGGTCACCAACTAAAAATGTTAATGTACTTAGGCGTGCCTTGGCGATGACAGGAAGGCCGGTGACATCGCATCGGTACGGTAGGCGGGTGGCGACGATTCCGCTTGCCCCGTTGTTGGGTTGAAAGTCAGTTTATTGTTTTTTCTTTTATTCTTCTCAATTACTCTACAAGTTTTACTGTAACATACTGTCGTGGCTTCATTTTTCATACATCATAATTTCATGGAGAACATAACTTCACTTTTTAAGGCAAATTCATTACAATTTCAGCAAGAGCATGTGGCATATGCATTAGCTACATAAACGATCCATGATGCATGTCGGCGAGTGCACGAAAAATGCTCGTCGCTAATAAGACGAGGTATCGGATAATACGCGGTAGTTTCAGAAGTTCCAAGGGCCTCGTATTAACGAGAGTCGACTGAACTAACAAAAAAAAAGCATGCCAAGTGCCCACACTGTGCTGCTATTTTTCCACTTTTAGTGATATCCAGCAGTGCTGGCATCTACATTCTCAGGGCAATTTTAAATCGGTGACCGTGCAGCCAAATGTTTGTTTATAAATTGTAAAATTTTTGCTCAATAAAGTCGGGGGAAAGTAGCCAGAAATCACATAAGATAGCACCTCAGAGGGTCTAGAATCCAAGCACATTTTGAGAAGCGGGCGCCTGACCCCATGCCGTGATGGCTTCACGCTCCGCGCTCGCTTTAGTCCTTGAGCAAATGTTCCCACAATGTTTATGCCCCCTCTAGAAAAGTCCTGGCTATGTCCATGCAACTTCCGCAATACAAAGTTGCAAACCCTTTAAATTAACTTAGGTGTTGTTCTATAGGTGCCACTGTATAAGTTATATTCTCCTTAAAAAAGTTGTCTAATGTCTATTCTTGAGAGTGCTATTTTTTCATGATTTCCTCTTGTTAATTTTAACTCTAATTTCAACTTCAATTTTATTGCCAAAAGAGCCGATGTAATTTGATATAAGGGTTGATTACATTTAACTAAATTCTTATTGATTATCCCTCAGATTTACAAATCACCACGTCTATCCCAAGAAAACCTCTCTGAGCTATTGGAGCAGTGCTCCGAGCTGAGCTCCAGGGCAGCAACTGAGACTGATTCCATCCTTCAAGCATCGCCCCGGTCTGGCCGTACCTACTCCACAGCAGACCAGGATGGTTGCAGCACACAGGTAATCAAAACCTCACACGTTCAATAGTGACTGATAAGTGCTGTAATTGAGTCCTTTTCTGGGCCCGCCAATTATGTTGAAATATAATCTGGTATAGCAGGATTTAAACCTGAGAACCTACAATCCCGGCCAAAATGGTTGGGCCTGCCACGGTCACCCACTCCCCCGCTCCCCTGGTCAATGTTGTTCTCTCCAGCTAATGGAGCACACACCGCGCAATGAGAGACAACATTGAACGGGGCCGGGGGGTTTGGGGCCCAGCGAGATTTGGCCAGGATTGTAGATGAGAGGGATCCAAGTATTGTAAGCTTTTGAGTATCAGTTGAAATCTGACTATCTAAACAAAAAATTATGCTGAAAATGTCCAGGAATTTGGAAAAGGACTCTGAAGAGGTAGATACAACGTAGGCAAACATCAAAAAACGAATTGATCAAATTATCATGAAATACCTAACTGGATTGTTAGGGAATGACAGTCTAAAGCATCCTGTAAAATCGTGGCTCCTTGTGTGCTGACATCATTTTCAAGAAATATGGTATTTTTCCAACGCTGGTCGACCGACCAGCGTTGGAGAAAACTGGCTTTTTTCAAAAAGTGCTCCTAATTCTTCATATTTAGTTGTTCCACATTTTCTTAGCAACTGATTACACACCTGTGAAGGGGTACAAGCCTGCTTGACTGATTCTCTGACCTTACAATTCCCCAAAGTCAATAAATTGCTCTGTTTCATCTTAAGTGGGGTCAGGGAACCAGAGTACAAGAAAATGATTGGTTTTCTTGGTTTGTCCAGCATCTACAAGCCCAAAACGTGAAACAAGTCATTTTAACAATATTTGCTATAACATACTAATCCTCCAAAATCCATTTATTTCTGAAAATTGCAGCAAAAGCAAATGTTGGACATTCCTTTTAAGTCCTTTTGCAAAAGTTTTTTGTATAAAAAACATCAGAGTACTAATAAATGTTTGATAGAGTTCTCAAAAAGCTAACATAAACCCGTTTGTCAACCAACTCTAAACCGCAAACTTTGGGTCTATAGGAGGCAACACCAAGACTTCCTGAGGACATCTTACAGAAACTCCTTGCAGAGGCCAGAGAGTCTTGCCTCTCAGATAGTAGGTTGAGCTCACTCACACCCATCAGCTCCCTGGATACCCAACAAATGCTGACACCAAGATCGGACGGTGGCAGTTTACAGCCGTGTAAGTCATACCCTATTGTAGCTCACTATGTTAGGCAGGGGAGCAAAATGCTCAGAAAATTTCAAACATTGTTCCAAACGGTCCAAAATATGCAACAAGACTTTTTCAAGGATCTCTGAAAATGAGGTCCAAGAAAACTTCAGCCCCTGATATTTTGTCCAGTTTATACAGATTCTGGAAGTACAGCAACCAACTCCATGTTTGTTTTGATAAGTCATAATAACACTTAGAACAATGTTTAAAAAGTGTTGATCTTCATACTAGTGCTTACCTTATCAAGATCCACGGTACCATTAGATAAAACAAGTAAAGACGGGTATAGACACCCAAAATAACTACTCCGGTTATTTCCAAGCTGGCAAAAAGCACCTTCTGAACAGGTCAATAAGTTTTGATAAGTCATAATAACATTTAGAACAATGTTTAAAAAGTCTCGATCTTTATACTAATGCTTACCTTGTCAAGATCCACGGTACCATTAGATAAAACAAGTAAAGACGGGTATAGACACCCAAAATAACTACTCCAGTTATTTCCAAGTTGGCAAAAAGTACCTTCTGAACAGGTCAATAAGGAAGCAAACTTAAAAATCCTTGAGGCCAACAAAAAAGTTGTCTTTCCTTTTTACACAGTTGCAGTGGTCTCCCAGAGCACCATCCAAGAATTACTTAGAAACCCACGAGCGACCTCCACCGTTGCCTCAACAACTGGCATGATCATGGACATTGCAGGGAGGAGCCAGGGTGAGCCAGAGGAGGAAGATTTCTGGCAATCACCGGATGTTGAATCAGGCCAGGCATCGGCCATTCCAGGCACCACCAATGGTTACAGTGAGTCTCCAGGTTCTGGTCAGGTTGCGAGACCTTCCAGCCAGCAGAATACAGTGGCTAATCAGAATCGGACCCAGGAGATTTGGGATGCTCCTTCCTCACCACGACACTCACAGCAATCACCCCAGCCTCGTGGGTCTAAGGGACACCCTAACCAGGGTGTTGAGTCCTCTGTACAGTCTAGCCTCTCACTGAGAAGCTTCTCCAACAGCACTGACTTCCCCACCAGCTCTGTTTCAATCAAGTCACCTGAGCCTCCACCCTCCAGGAATCGCAGTATTACTGATACCTCCAACAGGCCAAGAATGTCTGCAGGATCTCCAGAGCCATCTGCCTCTTCCAAGAACACTTCTTTGAAGTCCAAGTCTAAGCTGTCTGAGACTTTTGATCCTTCACCGCAGCCACCATCATCAAGACAAACCACCAGGAGCAGCAGGTCCAAGAAGGCAAAAGTACATGCTCAGTCAAGCTTTGAAACCAGAGGGACCCTAGACACACCAGCTGGGCACACTGACTCTAGAGCTTCCACCAACACCTTGGTGTCCTCATCTGACTTTGAGTACGAAGATGATGAGGAAGTTGCCCAGCAACTCTTGTCCCGCTCACACCATGCAGAGATCACAGGTCAAGGGTCAAGGAAGGATAAACCTGGCATTGGGTCCAGCATAGCATCCAGGAGTATTGAGGAGAGCGTTGTAAGAAGCATTGCGAGATTTGAGAAGAAAGGAACTGGGAAAGAAAGGTTCAGTCCACCCTTGGTTTGATGTAGCGATATCCTTTCACGGATCTGAATTCTTGCTAATACATGTAACAATTTTAGAATTTGACTTATTGCATTCACAGGTTTCACAATTAAATAGTTGACCATGTGCCTTTGGCTCTATTCTTAATTTGTTAACTTTTGAGTGTACTCGATTGGGAGCAACTGAATCATTTAATTGCACCTCTTAGCATTTAACAGCTTCAAGTGATTGTTACTATTGATACAAGAACTCTTCATTCATCACTTCCACCCTAAATCTCTACCATTCTAAATCCCAACTGCCTTCAAATTGAAGTATTCTTTGGTGTGGTTTCAATTACAAACACACTTGTGACAATCTATGTCTGTTGACAGAAAAAGGAACTTTTACAAACTTAATTGTTCAAAAGGCTTAAGTTGAGGATGTCATTATGTTTTGTTCAAAGATGTAAATTTGTCCTCAATTAACACCCGAGAGTAAATATTTGTGTTGTTATTGTATGCAAATGTACATATGTTTATATCAGCTGCTGTAAGTCAGTGTTAAATACTGTTCCCGAAATAAATGGTTTTCAGACTTTAAGATTCACACATGTCCTGTTGTGAATATTCCATGTATTCTTGCATTTTACTTCTGTGCAGTGCCCTCTCAGTAGATGGAGATTTGTCCTAGATTTTCCTCTGGGCCCAGATGGAGCTATGGGGGCGTTCCTCCTCACCCTCTCCCCCGCCCCCTTAGTTAAGCCTCTGACTGGGGGTGGGGGAATGAGTCATGGGGCAACTCCCCCACCCTCCAATGCCTGCCCTCCCCCAAACACACAAGAGAAAAGAAACAAACAACCAACTGGGAAGGCAAGTGAAGCTTTTTATTGTGACAAACCCATTTAGTGACACCTCTTGTAAATAAGGCCCCTTCACCCTGCAAATTGGACCACAGTAAATTATTACTGCCTTGTTCATAAGTGTTGCATGAAATCGTAAACGGCCAATGTTTGGAGACCTAACTCCTTGTATGAGGACTGGCAACAGCCTCACAGCGTCTAAAATTTCATTGGTTGCTCCGCCCCCCCCCCCCCGGAAAAAGATATGAATGCAAAGAAAATGGGGGAAAAAAAGAAGACAAGACGTTTCAGTTAATTATATAGTCGTGTTCCCTAACGTGGCGCACTTCGAAGCTTACCCAACTTTCCTCATGTAGTGTTGCCAAACCTCTTTGTTGATAAACCTCAAATACATGCAGTGAAATACTGGTACTTTTTACTTTTTAATGCTTGCTATTTAACCTCTGTGAACAATTTCGGTTTCATAAAATTTAATCCGAAATGCAAAAACGGTCGCGTCCGGAAATTGGGCACAAATTGGCGGAGTGTTCCCTAACGTGGCGCACTTGAATAAATCTCAGAAAATTCCAAATTAACATTTAAGAATTTCTGTAAACTTGATAAATTCTGATAAATCATTATTATCTTTACTTACAAACCCAGCCAGATGTTTGTCAGAAAATTATTTTCTTATTTTTCGGGGCATTTTCAAAGGGTTCACTTTGCACTTGAAAATAAAATCGGAAAATCACGCCAAAATAATTTTTTCTTTTAACTTTGTAACAGGTAAATAAACTCGCGATTTATGAACGGGAGTGTTTAGAACTTGATGAAATTTCACTTTCTGTGAAATTTCACTTAAAACTTTTGCTCTAGCTAGGCGCTACAGGCGAAAAATAAAAGTGCGCCACGTTAGGGGCTGCGCCACGTTAGGGTACATCAACAATACTCTTGTTTATTGAACAACATTGGGGAAGGGGCCAATTGTGCGACCCCTGGGAAAACCGACAAAGAAAGGGGGAAAAGAGGGTCGTAGTCAATATTATACTGTTAATTTCATTTATATTTTTGCAGTAGAAACCAACGAAAAGGTCTAAACTAAGAGATACATCAATTCGTACACGTGTCCCTGCCGATTTGTTCTATTCATGGGCAGTGATTTCTCTCATCACTAGTGAGTTCTTTGTCCCCCTCTACAAAATCCTGGTGACGCCCATGCTTGTCGATGTATTTGTTGTGTTTGTTGTTGAAAGTACATGTACATGTAGTGTGTATTGTATGGCTGTTAATGATGTACATTCGTCTCGAGATTGCAAAAATTAGTACAGGTACAGGGTGTATAAAAAAAATATAATCCGAAAACAATGGATTAATAGTCAAAGTTATAAACTTCAACACTGTCAAAGTGGCTCCTTGTAAAAAGAACCTTGCTATTCAAGATGGAATTTGAATTTTCATTGATACCTTATTTGCATCTCTTCAGTCACAGATGACTGAGCACAATCGATTGCAAAACGAAGGCCAAAAAAACCTCTTTTTCCAAGTTTGCTGAATACGTGATGAGTTTAGCTGTCGGAGGAATGCTGTCGCTGTAAACAGAGAACCTTAAAGGGGTATGTAACAGATGTTGCTTAAGTAAGATGTTGCTTAAAATGGTATGTCATGTTTTCCATAAACAATTCATCATTCCGAATATTTTGTTTTTCATCAGCAATCCCATTTCAACAATTAGTTAAACGTAGCTTACAATTGGCATAGCCAAAGGCATGCCAACTTGGGCCGACGCCTCAGCTATGTTTTAAGTACGTTATTTTGTGACCTACTGTCAACAACAGCGCATTTATCCGACAGCTTAACTCGCCACTGATTGGGCAAACTTGGAAAAAGTGCTCGGTCATCCGTGACTGAAGAAATAGTAAACTTTTACATATTAGCCCATTACTTTTTGGATTGGATTACCTTTTCATTGACACACCCTGTATGTGTTTGATTGTATACAAATAAATTAAAAAGGTCTGCGTCACAGTAAAATCCTGTTTGTTCACATAACACGCAGTGTATATATATGGGCATCTTTTGTCTGATCTAAAACCTACGATTTCCCAGTTGTGAATAAAGCCATCAAATTATTTGTCAAAGCTCTCGGCATACAACGCATTGTAATTCACAAGAAGTCCCACAACACAAATAAAAGCGCCTGTCTTTCACGCAACGTTTTCGCAAAGAAACGTCTCATTAGATTTAGGACTAAAACTCCAGCGGCTCGAATTTGGGGAACTGAAATTGTGTGCCCAGAAGTTCCCTCGCGTGATAATTACACACACAAAACGCAGAGTTTTAGGGTTCGGGTTTTGTGGACGTTTATTTTCTACTGTTTAATGATCTTTCCAACTATGTTGGATCTTTCCAACTATCTTTTCGTGTGAAACGCGTTTTATAGAGCCCGAAAGGGCGCACACCATTCGAAAGTCTCCTTTTATTGACCATGTCTCGCAGTCGCATACGGACAAGAAGAGGAAATAACAGTTTCCCGTCCCCACCCGCTTCCTTATTCCTGCCTGCCTCCTTTATTTCATACATGTTGTCAATATATTGTCTTTTTATTTGTTTCCAACAAAATTGTAGCTAGGCCTATGTAGAAAGGGTGACAGTTCCTGTATCAGCAAAAGAGCAGTGAAAATGGAAGAATACATCCGCCATCTTGGGGGGAAAAGAGGGCCGTCATACCTTCTTTTTCTCAAAAAGCCGGGACATGATTTTGTTTTCACTCGACCTAATTCACAGAGAGAGAAAGAGAGACAACCATGAACACAAAACAAGGATCAGTTACTGTCTTCTTCAGCAGTTTCAGCCATATGGTTGCTAACCGCAATAACCGCAAAGCGTCGCCGTTGTTAGGCAAAGCTAATGAGATTACGGGATAACGGAGCAGTGAAATTCATGCACCCCCAAAAACGCAGCATGTTCAACGTTGTATTTCTCAGAAAATATGCTCGGTATGATTGAAATGTTACATTCTAACTGAAGAAGAAATTCTAAACTTCATGTCAGTGAAAAAAAATCGCCGTCATCGATGCCGAAACCTCAATCTTCTGAGCTGACCTTCAAGTCTGGAAGAAATCGTTCGAAAACTTCCCCACATTTATGTATTTATCCCGATTTCTAGGAATTTATTCCAGTTGTTATTTCACGAGTAGTTGAACACTTATATCATCTAAGTATATTTCGAATTTCAGCTTAATCTGTTGTTGCGGACGCTAGTGTGGCAACGTGAACCATCTCCAAGGACAATTTCAAAGACGATCAAAATTATTATTTGCCGACCCAACCCATGTGCGTTGTTCAGCAAAGCGCCGTAGGCACTACGGCTGACGGATTTCGGCCCAGCACACAATGATGATAGGCATATTAGCATATTCATTAACGTCACTCGGCGTGACATGGCGTGGGTCTCGGTATCGACCAATGGAAGCCGGCAAAAAGGGTGATATTTGTCAATTAACAACTCGTGAAGGAGGCTTTTATCCCATTGTTTACTGCACACCGTGATGGATAGGAACCCCATTAATATTCGTGAGGCTTGAAAAGATTAATAGATATTGCGCACGCCAGTGTTACAATTTTCAAAATTGCACGTGGCGAGGCCTATTTTTCCAATTTCAACGAAAAGTAATGAACATATCACAACGACTTTTAGCACATACTTGGATCAATTTAGGGGAAATAAATCCTGAAAGTTGCATGAAGATACGGTCTTCCAAACTGGAGAAATTAATTTTCAAAGATTTCACCCGCCAACGTGACCATGTCTGTGTACATGTAGTTTCATTTAAAATAAAGTGGGAAAAAAGTAAGACTGCTGCAAACTGCTTACTGACTGGGTGGACCTGAAATATATAAATCTAAAAATTAATGTGGCCTGACGTTGCGAACTTAGCAAGTTCTTCTTCAGAGGCTAAAACAGAAATGACAGAGGTACATACATTAACATGGGGGTGCACACAAACATGCAGGGATGAAAGAAGAAACACAAAAGGAGGATTAGGTGGGAAAGGTGTGGAAAGATGCAGGGGAGGGTAGATGAGAGAACAAAGAAATAAAGGGAGATGGCAAACCACAAGGGGTCTGGTATGAACAGGGGAGGGACCAGAAAGGGGAAGGATCAAAGGTCACAGGGAGTGGGAACGGACAAAAGAGTGTGGGAGTGAAGGGGGATTATGCAGGGGGGGGGAAACAGTATGGAGGTGGAAAGGGATGAAAGATGGGGAAAGATGGGGAAACACAAACAATGAAGACCAGGTGGATTATCTGTAACAGAAGACAATGGAGGAAGAAAAATATTAATCATTTCCAAGTTGGATGTTGAGACCATGTGGTTGAATAGTTCGAAGACGATTCATCCACACTTTCTCTCTGCTGAGGCGAACTGAGTCCTTGCGATGGCCAAGAGATTCAATGCCCTGCAAAATCATATCAGAAATGGAGTGGTTAGGCAGGTTGAAGTGATGACCAACAGGGGTGTCCAGTTTCTTGGTGTTGACCGTTGACCGGTGGGCATAGAAACGCTTCTTGAGCGTATTCTTAGTCTCACCTACATACTGCACTCCACAGACCCTGCAAGAAATAAGATATATGACATTAGGGGTGTTACAAGTGATGTTACCAATGGTTCTGTGGGTAGTGACAGAAGAGTGGCCAGAAAAGGAGACAGACTCCTGGATATGAATCTGGCAGACAACACATCTGGAACTGCACTTGAAAGTACCAT